GCTATTTTGGCCTTTCACTCGCTTATTTCGGCATTAATAGTCGCATAGATTAAACAGAAGGGTGCGATTCTATTTACAGACTTGCTTTCACTCTAGTATAAGCAACATTTTTTTCGAGGGGAGGATAATATGGCTGAAATCTGTACACCACTTAATGACACTTTCACTGAAATCAACTGAAACTCAACATAAAATCTAACTGACTATTTATAACTTTGATTTTCATAAGGATTTCCTGCTTTTAACTGCGCTTTTTGATATTTAAACCCTTATTGGAATCCTTTAAGCTCAAAATTTGAGGTTATATTCGATTTAAACCTCTTTAGATTTCACGATCGCGACTTTTATTAACTGCAAATACACAAATTCATATTTTTAAATAAAAATCAATGCATTTTCAACGAAAGATATTCTATTTTTAATTCTTTTTTAATCCTTAATAATTCCACATAACCTAACAAATCGTATGTCAAAATTTAGCTTCCAAAATCACAAATTTTGTAGAATAAAAATACGCAATTTTACTATTAAAGTGAAAATACACAAAATACTTTTAATTTAAGCGAAAGAATGTCTTCTTTTAGATTTTATTTTGTCTTAAATCAGTTCAATAACTTAGAAAAATAGGTCAAAATTAAGATTTGGTTTAAAATTAATATCTGAGAGTAAAATAATCAACGGAAAATCAAAAATTGAAGCATTTCTTGAAACTTCTACAGATCTTCACACCTCTTCCGACTAGATTATCTCCCCCTTGACTTTTTCCACTCTCTCTTTCGCTCTCTATTAATCGTCCAGCTAGCTGAACGCCCTGGTCGCCATAAATCGGAGCACCGCCAAAATGTGAGGCCCAGAAATTATGCCATCAGCCCACGGTATTTGGTCGTAAAATGTAATTAAATTTGGATTTAACCTTTTTTAATAAGTCACTAAAGACAGCAAACAAAACAAGAATGAAACGGTTCACGAGCTTGTTTGTTTTGGCTTTCCTCTTTTAATTTTCTACGCGGAGTTTTCCACCTTTAACAAGGGCCGCCGGGGATGTTTTCCACTCATATTGATCAACCCCAAAAGCAAATTTACATTCCCGGAGGCCAAGCGCGGAGTTCTTTCTGCCCTGGAAAATACAAACGCTGCGGTGTGGATGGGAAAAGTTGGGGGGGAGGAAAGAAAATCGTGCCGCAACTCTATTGACTCTGACGATATAGTTTTCAGTGGTAAATTCTCCATAGATACACAAATATTGATTAAAAAGCTGCATTCTCCGAGTAATTCTCTCTCGGTGGGGACTTTGGGCAATGAGTGCGAGTTGCCAGAGTCAATATTTGCCGTGAAAACTTTCATTTACATCCACTGAGAGGGAAAGAGAGAGGGAAAGTTGCTTCGCATTACGAGAGGAAAAAAAGAACGTGAATAGATGAAAATTTAATCAGCATTTTCATATTGAATTTCATCACTTGTGTGCGTTCTTGATTAAATTATTTCCTCCTACACTGTTTCTTAGATAACTCCTTTTGCAACTAATGTTGCTTCCACGAAAGCATGTGTGTGTGTGTGTGTGGGAGAATTTAATCAACTTTCTCCTGCTGATGCTCAAGTTTGGGCGCCCTTGGAGTGGGCGAGGGAAGCAACTTATGCCCCATTTTTTCCCACAACCTCCACGGATTCCTCCATGGCATCTGGCTGATCCCTTCCGCAGCAAATTGACGAGACAATCTGTTGCACGAGCGGCGATATTAAAATTCATCTCTCCGCATTTGCCGTGCAGAAAGCTCTGGGCGTCACTCGAGAGGTCAAATAAATCACATTTTCTGCAATTTCCCCCCCTGTCGTGACGTCGTATTTACATACAATCCCGACGCACTGCCGGCGAAGGCAAAGAAACGGAGCGTCTTGAGAGCGCGCGCGGGAAAAAGAGGCCCCTTGAGTCACATTTCTTCCTCCGCCCTCCATAAGTCTCCGGGAGAGAAGTGTTGTAAATCTTGTGGGTGAGCATGTGAGGCAAAATGTTTCGCATTGTTTAACATCAATCTGTTTCATGGATTAACACAGGCATTCCATGCCATCGAGAGGGTGGGAGAATGCAAGAACAAAATAAATTCCTCAAGCCATTTCGAGCAGCGCAATAAATTCTGCATATGAGATACATAATTGGGGAAACATTTTGGCATAATTGTTAAACAAATTTCAACTCAACGCATTCGCCATTTAAATACCACAATAATACTTCCCTGGATGTGTGCGAGAGCGGTGAAAAGTGGTCTCGTCATCATTGTGGAGTTGAGATATACAATATTTGCACTCTCAACTCCACCACAGAGTGAATTGTGTGGAGTAAATTGCACTAATATACTTCCCTCATAGAACTTCAGTCGAAGTCCAAAGCCTCTTGTTTAGAGAACTTTTCCCATTGGCAACACATCTTCACAATTAAATACAGTAACCAAGGAGGAGATAAAACGACTTAACCCATCACAAACACTTCCAGAACTTCAGCAGTGCTTAAAACATATGTTTTCGTGTAATCGTAACCTCAAATTTAGGAGTCTCTGGTCACAAAAAGACGCAATTTTTCACTTGTGTAACACTGAAAACTTACGGAAAAAAACAGTATTTAAGAAATATTGAAAGTTTCCAGTGTAGATTTTGATGTGATTCAATTTTAAATCACTCTTTTGGATGCATTTTAAAACATAACTGAAAAATTATCTTGAGATATCTAAAAGAATTTTTGAGAAATAATAATTTGTAATAAAATAGACAATTTTGTATCAATTGAAACAATATTTCAGAGGTTATGATCAATCTCAGCATAATTAACACATTATAACAGTACAAAACTTTTGATTTTCATCAGATTTCAATATTATTGTGTCAGTAAATGCAAATTACACCAACTTAGACGCACAGATTAATTGATTTCGGAGGTTATTTTGTGACAAAGTTTCTTCTTAAATCAATCACATAACCTACAAAGTTGTAAAGAACAAATTTTTCCCTTAAGCATTGCGATTATTTGTTTTCAAAACAACCTTTGAACGCACAACAATGAAGTAATTGAAGCACAACATTTCCCTGTTGATAATTACTTCAATCAACGCGATTTGCATCCCTTAAGATCCCTTAATGATACTCATAATATTTCTATTAGAAACTGTTAGAAGTAAAAATAATGATTCTCCGTCTCAAGTAATGTATAATAAAATTGTATTATTCAAAACGTGCTCTTCGGCGAATGGGAAATAAATTGTGCTTCTTGCAAAATCATGAATCTCTAAAATGCATCGCAGAAAATCATGTAATCCCGAAGAGAGAGAGAGAAAGCGACGAGCACAACTTTCCCATTCAATCCAAATTGCATATTGATGGAGATAAATTGAAGACGTTTCACTCTTTCTCTACCCTTTAATTACGCCCGGGGATCGTGTAGAGAATTCCACCCTTTTCCCTCGTCGCACAGTCACGCCTCACGGCGACAGTGGGTGGCAGAAGTCAAGGATCTCATCAGGAGATTCAACAACCTGGCGAAGAACATTTAGCGGTTGAGGTGATACCGGATGTTCCTCTTCGCCGAGGGATTGGGTCAAGAAGGGGCGCGTGAGGGGGAAAAGCACCCCGTGAGACACGGGAATTTCACCCCAGAGGGCGAATGATTAAAATTACCCACCTCAGCCGGCGTGGTGGGAAATTAAATTATAAAAGATGTGGTCAATTAGGGAAGAACTATGTGGGTTTTCCCGGACTTCCTCGCCATCCACGCTCGCTCATGAGTGACGCCAAAAGCTCGAACGTGAGCATCGTGGGGCAATAAACGTAATAACAAAATAAATTTATTGATCTGCTATGGATGACACGCCATTAACTTTATGGAATCACATGGATTTAATTGTGCGATTCACGCAAGGAATTTCCCCCACGTTGCACAGACGGAAAGCCCCGCAATATGGTGAAGGGAAATCAATAAGGGTGGGAAAATCTATTTATACACACACACACACAAGTGGAGAATAATATTCCTCACACGACTTTCTGCTGTGCCAATAAAATTATTTCAACTCCTCGAAATTTCGCACGTGGAGACATTCGTGGCGAGTGGATATTAAAAGGAAAAATGGGTGGAAATTCCACAAATAAGGTGGAAAATTGGCGTGACAAAAACCCTTTTCTTATGTCACACAAACTCTCTGCCATGTGAATTCCACGAATTATTGCTGAAAAAACCTTTGCATGATATCATTTCATCAAATTCATCTTCTTTGTCAACGTAATCAGCGAAAGGAATTTTCAGTGTTTTTTTTTCTTCTGTAACTGCAAAAAGTCAGCTGGGAAAAAATGTATGAATTTTCATATAGAATTTTTCATTTATTCTGCGGTAAAAGTATTATGTAAAGCTTTCTGTTATAATGCCCTTGTGAAAATGGCTTAAATTCGGGGATGACAGAGTTGATATGGGGAATAATCTGCAATATCGCTTCTCTCACAATCAATAAAATTCCCCTAAAATACCACCTGAGCACTCAATACATTCCAGAGATGAAAATCTGTCCTCGGTAATTGCGTAAGTGTTCAAATTATCTCCTAAATCTCGTGTATGTTTATTGATAAGGGTGATTCTCATTCCGCCACACACAATTTCCACCCAAAAAGCAACCAGAGAATTCGACAGGGAATATAAATGTCTCTGTGGCGATGGGAAAATGATAACCCGAGAGTGTCTGGAGTTTACATGAAGAAATTTCAAAATTGTTTAATCGAACGTCGAGGGGCTTTTCCCGCCGCCACGGCGCATGGACTTTCCCGCTCTGCTCTCTCGCTCACGCTCTCTCTCTCTGCGGGAAAGGAGAGAGGATTTCCCCATGATTCACCTTGGCAGGCGAGAGTGGGTCAGAGCCGCCGGGACGAGGATGGAGATTGGAGGGGAAAGTCACAGCATCCACATGGAGCTTTCCCGTGGAAGCTCGCGAGTGCGAGAGACGCCTCTGCCGTGTCAGTTCAGCTCCGGCCGTTTGGATGATTGGAATGCTTTTGCGGGCAGCTCACGGTTGGCACTGTTCCATGCCATCGAGTACTCTGCAGCCACTCTGAGCCACCCTCAAGTGACTTCCCAAGTGGTTCACGTGTAGCTAATTGACTCGGTTTGCCGGGAAGTGAGACAGAGGTGAAAGTGTGTGAGAGAGGAAAAAAGGTATCCAGCGACTGAGGGATTAACTACAGTGTGAAATTGACGTGAAAAGGAGAAACTTGTGGATTATCGCGAAGGCAAAGGCAGCAAAAAAGTGTGTGTGCGTGTGTTATATTATCTGCTCTCGCATTTATTCTCGCATGCCCAAGTCTCTGGGAAAGTAAATTAATCTGCGGAGACACTGTGAAAATCACCCAGTGAAAACTTCATTTAATACCATCCCACCCACCTGAAGCCATCAGAGCGCCCCTAATTGTGTGGGTGGATTTAGTAAATATATATTCTTGTGCAAACTTCCCTCTCGCGGGTTTTTTTTTTGTCCTGAGTGCGGCGAATGCAAAATGCTCGTTACTCACCACGAGAAGGCATCTCTTTAACCCAGAAAACGAGTGGCTCAAAGCCACACAAGAGCGCATATAATACAACAAAGCAGCATAACAACTTCACCTAACTTAAACACGGAATTAAATACCGTTGATATTCTGACGAGATTCCCAGTGAAATTGAGCTTTTCTCACACTCACATTCCCAACGCGATGTCCTTGCCACAAATTGCATACGATAAATTGGGAGAAAAAGTATGTTTGTGGGAAAAAGTCCACCTTTTCTCTCTGCGGTGTTTCCACAATTTCATATCAATGGGAATGCGGTGGAAATTTATGTGCGTGATAGTTCCGAATTCCACTGCAGTGTCCACAAATGGAATTTACATATCGCCAGATATATATTCTAATTCGATGCAACAAAAGCTCGCTCTTTCCGACTGGGCGGCTCATGAAAATGGATAATCTTGAGCTTTTGTGCATTGTGAGAAAACTGACCTCGTGCTTCTATTATTCTCCCTCCCCGGGAAATAGAGAGAGAAAAAATCTCATGAGGAGGAGTGAACTAATCCACCAAACTACCTGCTTAAATGCTTAACATAATCCTTGAATATAAATTCACAATTGTTTGAATTGTGTCTTCGACATTCTGTGCAAATGGCAAAAGAATCCGTAATTTATTCCACGAAAATTTCGCTCTTTTCAGTTATTCACCCCCTAATCGTCCCACAGAGGATTTTCTTCAGCGACTCCGCACTCTTCCTTTGCCGCCTTTCCGGGCTGGCGAGGATTTCCACGGGAGGCATGATGTAATTTTTGGCAACAAAAGGGTACATGTGGGTGGATTAAAAGTGGGTGGAGTGTATAATTTTGGAACAAATTCAGAGACTTTTCACTCACACAACAACCCCTCATATATACACTTCGCCGGGAAAGGGAGTCTGGCGAAGATATTCAATGAAAATTTCATGCCAGCGCGTATTTTCCCCAAAGTCATGGTGACTGCAGAGAATCAGAGCGAATTGTTGGATACAAGTGAAAATTCATTATGTCTAAATGCCCAATAGTCTTTTCTCTCTGAAACGGAAAATCTCACTGTGTGAGAGAGCTTCAAAAAGTGCTCGCGGGACAATTTGCCCAGTGATTTATGATGGAAATGAATGGACAAACTGCAAAAGAAAACTCATACAGAAATTTAGGTCATTTTCTTTTCATACATCTCCAGTTCCATCCTCCCTCGTTCGTCCTCACAAAACACACACACACACACTCACCCACTCACAAAAAGATGATAAATCACAGACTTTTCACCAAAACCCCAACGCTATGCTTTCACACACTCGCGCGACCCTCACTCATCATCTCGCAATGTCTATTATTTCAAAAATTTCGCAATTAGACAAATTGAAAATGTGTGTGCATGACAAAGAGCATACACGTTTTTGGGGGGGGAAAAGGCAAAACACAAACCGCAGGGATAAAAAGGAGGCTCGAAAGACAGGCAGAAACTCGTGCGCGCAAAAGAAGAAGAAAATTTTGCAAAAACCACATGAAAATCAATATTTAATTAAAACTTCAAAGAAGGATCCTTTCTCGCCTCTACGTGTGGGGATAAGAGAACGAAAATGAAGGAAAGTTTTCGCATCGCCCCGAAAGATGAAAGATTGAGATTGGGATTTTATTTAACATTTTAATTAGTTACATTCAAAATTAATCACTCCGCGGAGCGAACTGAGCCGCCCACGATTTCCCATCGTGACGCTATTTTCACGACGAGAGAGTGGCTCAAAGCTCAAAGTCACCCTCATTTTTTCCACACCACCACGCCTCAATGTGATTCCCATCTCGCAGGATAATCATCCTGATAATGGCAGGCTCATTGTTTTCCACAAAATTTATTCAAGAAATTTACTCAAGAAATTAAAAGTACAATCCTGACTGAAGATTTTCTCATGTCACGCATAATAAATTATTTATTAATCTTCCAAAGAAAAAAAAATTACCCTAAGAATTTAGTAAGGGGAAAGCCACTAGCTGACTTTTGAGAAATCGTAATAGTGTCAATCTAATATTTTAATATCAATTTTTACTAACAAATTATCAAAATTTGAATAAAAATATTCAAAAATGTTTATTTTCCATATGAAATATATACATATTTTGAAGCTAGAGATCTGAAATTTTTCACCAATCTTCCCTTATTAATGAGCAATTATCATGCCGAGTTTGAAAATATTCGGCCTAATCCTTCATCCGTTTTTGACACTAAAACCGAACCTATGTATAAACGACTCTCCTGATTAAATAAACCCACTTGAGCAACACTTGCATTTTATCCATTTAAGTATGTCTTGAAATCTTAATGAAGCTTAAATGTATCCTGAGTGTCTTCAGGATAATTGTCCTGTCGATTTTCATTCATTATCTTGACTTTAGAACTGTTTGATTATATAAATTTGATTAAGTGAATATCAAGACTTTCAAGGATCTTAGGGTGATTTTTCGACCAGAGGAATAACCAGAAGGACCTCTCAATCAAGACCTCAAAGAAAAAATCTCGAAAAATGTGTTGAAATTGCTTGAATAATTACAAATTGAATAGTCTGACAAGGTGTAAAACTTTCCCATTGGAATTTACTGAACACATTTAGTTAAAGGATCAAATTCTGCACGGGAAAAGTAGTTCAGTCAACTTTTGGGGGAAGCAAAACTTCCCCGTGTTTTTATTTCATTAAACATTCACAAGAAAGTCACAAAATCTCACATTGTGTGATGACTTGAGTTGTTTTGCACAAATTGTGCGCGTCTTTGAGCTTGAGCCGAAAGTGTAATTTCGACAGAGAAAACATTTAATTGGCAAACAAGGCTGTATTTGTCCCATTGTTACCGCATTCTGCCTCAGTCGAATGTCCTGAATTTTTCACTCACACCGCAGGAATTTTCTATAAATATTTTATTTGGCCTCCCTTTAAGTGGGATCAAATTGAAATACACACACGACAGGGCAAATGAGACTAGGAATCCCTGGACGTTTTCCGAGGGAAGGATCTCAGGATGACTTTTTTGTGTGTGTGCTTTGGCACTCTTGAGGGCATCAGAGAATGCTTGAGGGGTGAAAGCCTCCAATGGAAATTCATGGGGGAGTGAAAGCACGCGAATGGAAGGAAATCTCTTGAGATTTGACTCAATAAGGAGATGATCATGAGAATGTCAGATGGAACACCTTTACACTTTCATTCTCCCAAACCATTGAGGGCCAAAGTGTCACACACAGGATTATATTTTACACCTTCAAGTGGAAAAGCAAGTCATCCTCACGGGAGAGTGGATGCACATGAAAAGGCATTCCCGAGTAAATTGCCTCAATTTTCGGGCTCCTTTTTTTTCCTTTCCCACCTTTCGAAGGCGCATATCTTCCCTCACACTTTTTGACACCTTTCTTCCGAGGGGGTGCGGATGGGGGATGAGCGTGCGAAGAGGCAATATTGGGAAGCGAGGGTGGAAAATGTCATTGAGGAAAATTGCGTTTTCCTGTTACACCAAGACTCCGCAGCATTATTCTAAATAGAAATCCACTCCCATATAAGCCATTGTGTCATTTTCATATCACAATTCTAAATCGTTTTCCCTTGTTTTCCACCGAAGAAATTAAACACTCACACGCAGCCACATTAAAAGCAACACATGTTCGCTTCAGTGGAAAAAGGGAGGAAAGCAATAATACAGAAGAAAATGCCATCAGCATTCATGTGAGAGGAGTTAAAAGACTCTCATATTCCGCAAAGGCGGAGTGAATAAGAGACGTTCGTCTGAAAAATCTGGACATATTTTCGCTGCAATTTCAATTCGAAAATCTGTCCATATCTTCACGATTGTCGTCCTTTTGGGGTATCCTTGGGGAGAGGCAAGAACGAAAATTCCATGAATTTCTCAAATGAAAGCATCTTCACAGAAGAGATATTACCATTGAAAGGTCTATTTGACTCGCTTCAAATTACTCTTGCAAACAAAATGCTTTCAATGCGAAGAATGCACGGACGCCTTCGAAACTGGGGTAATAATGCAAATAATTCGCCTTTCACATAGAGTGCACACCGGAAGAAGAAGTCCTTTTTTTTCTCCTGCACTCAACAAACTATACAATCCCAGAATGGGGGGGAAAAAAAAACAACACGGGGAAATGTGAGCGACTTGTGACATGAATGAGAAAATTTTCATCACTATGGCGAACATTTCTGCATCTTGGATTTTCCTTTCAGTCAAGCACGAAATAACGTACAAAAGTGGAAATTCATCTGAATCTCTTTCTCTCTGTTTTTTTTTTCACCATTTTGCTGGCTGAGAAAAATGTTTTCCCCCTTTTGTACGGCCCCTTAATGTACTCTTCTGTACCAACTCGTTGGCAGATTCTCGAGCAGCGAAGCATTCATCCCCGAAATTGTGTATAGGAGTAAATGTAGTGTAATTCTGCGAGTAATAATATTAATAGTGAGAAACGCGAGAGATAATCTGTGGAATTTTGTACATTCTCGTAACATCGAGATGCAAGGATAAAAGCGCAATTCTAAATTAAATTAAATTAAGTTACACATTGCCAGTTGAGGCATAAATAGTGTTGTTAATCCGTAAGAAGTAAAGTAGAAGAGAATCCCGTGTGTCGTGTGAAGTATGTGGAAGTCCTGCAAATAAGACTCACAATGACAGAGTTCGAGCGTCGAATGCTTGAGTGGAGTGTGAGCAATGGGAAATTGAGTCGATCCAACAGCGCACGCGAGCAGAAGCCCGCGAGAGGCAGAGAGGCGCTCAAGGCTGGCGGGAAGGCGTCAAAGCGCGAGGTGTACTTCCTGTCGCCCTCCAGGCGGCGTCGACGCGACCAGTCCGCGTCCAAGCGGGACTCCTCCACGCTCTCCCTCAGACAATCAACCTTCCCGCGCGTACTGCCGCCCTCGCGCAGCGCCGCGGTGGCCGAGAGCCGCCTGGACGCCGCCCTGCCCCATCGCCGCCACTCCACGGACATCCAGAACAACGCCAGCGCCGCCAACGACATCTACTACTCAGACTCCAACCGCTCCGGCACGCCGCAGTTCAGCGAACCCCATCGCATCCCCAACCACGCGCCCGCCGACGCGCAAGGATCCCTCAGGCGCAACAAGGGACGCAGCAGCCAGTCCCTCTGCAGCTGCGACGCCGAAACTGAGGTAATCGCGATCCAAAAATGCGCATTTAATGACACTAAAAACTGCCTAAACCAATTATTCTGATCAATCAGCATAATTTAAATGTAAATTCACTCATTAAGGCGTGTATTTGTTGATGAAAAATATTGTAATAAATCTATAATTTCCATTTAAATTGCATGGTTCAATTTGCATATCTAATTGGAATTGCATGATGAAAAAAATCAACACAAACTTCGATTATTATTCAAAAATAATTTCAATCATTATTAATTAATACGCGCGTTCAAAAAAAAACGATGGAAAAAGCAAAATGATTGGTTAATTTTAAGCTTAAAGGTGAAAATAAATTTTTCACAAATAACTGGAATAAAAAAAAACTCTTAAAGGGAAAGTCACGAGCGTTTTTAGATAAATTTCCAATTTTTTAGTTGATTATTCCTTGAAATTCTTAATTATTTTTGGACTGTTTGCAATAAATTTGAACATATTAAATAAAATTTCCGAATCACCCAAATTGGCTCATTGTTAAAATTGAAGTATGTGAAAACGACAATTAATTAAATATTTAGACTATGAATTATTTAAATATTTTGCCAAAAATCGAAATTCTGATGTATTTGGCAATTTGAGGCGTCGTTGCAACATTATATTCACAACATTTTAAATAAACTGTAAAAAACATCATTTCGTAAAAAGTCGTTGCAAGATTATGATTCATAACATTTACTAATGTTGGAAATTTATCTTTTTCAACACTTGAAACGTTTCAAATGTTGACGACTGAAGTCAATTCATATTTTTCATCACGTAAAGACAAAAAGAGCCAGAAAATTCATGTGAAAACATTTTGTATATATTTCAATGCACTAGATTTAGGTTATGTGTTTCCGGACATCCTTAGAGGCTTTCCGACGGAACTAATTGATTTTCCAAAGCATTTTCAAGTACATAAAAGGCTGTTTTTATTCCAAAGATATTTTCCTAGACATTCTGAGCGATCAAATTCTTATCAAATTGGTAGTTTTTACGAACTGAAATATGAAATCTGTAATGTTGCAACGACTCATTACTTTCCCCTTCAAAGCCCTAATCAAATTTGTGATAACTGCAATGTAATGTAATCAATTGTGAAAAGTAGCTTAAGCCTTGACATGAAATAATTTGCAGACCCAGAATTGTGCTGAGAATCTTACCATCAATCACTTCCCTTAACTGGAAGAAAGTACCTTCTAATCCCATCCTCATCATCTTCTCGCCCTCTTTGCAGATTATTCCTGATCCAGACCGCCCCATGTGCCAGTACGGTGTTGACGGGAAGAAAAGTCACACGTACACGTGTGAGCAAAATGCACAAATCCTCATGAGGCTGGAGCGAGAGCGGCAGACCAAATTGGGCTCCACTGGGAAGATGGTGAGTTTCCCGCCCCCCCTCGATGGATTACAGCTAAATTTGGGCTTGAAATTGTCATGTGGTTTGGCACATTTTGAATCGCACGCCCAACCCCTTCCGCATCTCAGGGGGTGAAATGGTGCGGCCAAAGCCACAAGCAGGGCGGCCCTCTTGGCACCCATCCAGCGCCATGCACAGCCCCACAAGCTCCCAGTCAGTAATTCATCAATTGATTTGCATCTAAGGCAATTTTGTGCGCTCTGTTTTGGGGAGAAAAGTCTGCTAAAATCGTTTTTGTGTGCGGTCAATTTCGGCACTCAACGAAATTTACCTCCTAACAATCCATGAAACAACACTTTTGCCACTGCAGAGTGGCACAATAAATTATGCAAAATGCCTGTAAATGAATGAAGAGGGCACAATTTTGCCATGCTCACTCTCCTGGGAGAGCGAGTGTTTTGCTGGAATTTTTGCATGCAGTGACATCAGAGTTGAAGACAGACTTTCCATGCAATTTTCACCCAGTTTTCACTCCTGCATTCCGCATCCCAAATCTATGACCACGGCAACTTCTGTCGCCAACACACGTAAGCCAATGTAACACTCAATGCAGAGGAAAATGCCACAGCAGGACTATCCCAATTTTATTTCACTCTGTCTCTCTTGCCGGAGGTGTGAGCATTAGAGGATGTGGGGAAAAAGAGCGGTGGAAAAACCACAAAACAAGTCAATTTAGAAATGAGAAAACTTTGTCTATTTCCAATGGGAATTCCCACGAGTTCAAACACACCCTCATTGAGGCACTTTGCAACTTTTAACTTCTCACTCCTCCTCACGATATCGACATCACTTATCCATGCAACAAATTTCCCTTCGCAGCACATGTTCTTTTCTTTCCCCGCTCATTTTCACACTGCACCCGAGCGAAGAACTTTGGGGTGGGGGAGTTTAATTGCTGAGGGAGGATTCGCCAAGAGAGATTGAGCTTCTCAATTGGAGTTGTATGTAAATTGAGTGTTTCGCTGCACATACAAATACTCCTCTGACTTACACAACCTCGAGGGGTTGCTAATATGCAATTTTGAATGACTTCGCGATTCGTTTTGTTGTTACAAAGAAAGCTTCGCTCAAGAAGAGAAAAATATATTTCAATTTGTAATAAATAATAAATTTTTTCGTCGATTGCAGTTTTACGTCTGAAGATAGATTTCAAAGGGTTGAAAAAATTATTGTAACCAGTTTGGAGATCATTAAAAGGAATTCATTTATTCATTACGAGGAATTTGAGGTTATGTTTAAAGAATATGGAAGAATAATTAACGATTAAAGGACACTTTACGGTTTTTCTCGACTCTTTCTATTAGAGATTTCCTTATGTGCACAAATTAGCAAATTTTTCCAGTTTCACTCTTATTTTATCGTTAAACCTTGCGTAAAACCGTAAATATCCGATTAGAGATCAAGTATTAAAGGAATATTACGTATAATCATCGGTGTTTGAGTGAAATTCAAAGCTTTTCACCTTCAAAATTCGCTTTTTACTATTTAAAAATTAAAAAATCTCAATTTCTCTCAAATAAACCATAGATTCACAAAGAAGAAAACGTTTCTTTTGTGTGAGTGACACTGCATCCCCAATATTATCAACCCCTTGCACGGATGTCGTGTTAAGAGTGGGAAATATGTTGTTATATTGTTGCTCCTAATTGCAAGTTATTCATGCGCAATGTGTGAAAAATCCATTGAATGAATTGATTGTCCTCAAGATGTGCGAATGTATCATATATTCAATGATTGTAATTAGGATTCCCAGGGAAAATTGAGACGTCTGTTTGCGAAGGACTTAATTGGACAAGATGCATAATCAATGTACATAATCTCCTCTCAATATCACCATTAGACATTCGGAATCATATGGCATATAATGCGTAATGCGATCCCCTAATTGCTTTCCGCACTTCAAAATGTGCTTCAAGATGTGCTTTAAGTGCACAAAAATTCTTATCGCCTCAAGAATTCCATATTTCCCACTTCAATTGGAAAACAAAACTGCTTGCACACTGTTAGGTATCTTCACAGGTGAATTCTTGCGGCATTTTCTCACCATTTCCACGAGCATTTATTAATTGCAAAGCCACGCCAAAGGATGCGAATGTGAAAATTATGCACAAAACATCTCATGAATTCCTGTTGGCAGTGTCGCGTAATCAATTGCATTTAATATACAGAGCGAGTGACTGATATTTCTGCAATTAATCACATCTGAGAGAATATTTGCGTCACATCCAAGGCAGACATTCTTGTACAATTATACACTGAATGCGGTTTTCCCATTCTCGCTCCAGAATCCGTTAATAGGATGTGTAATTAAGTTCCTCCTTGCGAGTCTATATACGCAAGTGCACAGCAAACTAGGCCGCCCACACAATCCACGCTTTTCCTCGTGCGGCTGTCTAATTGTCTGCCACTCCGCCATGGAAGAGGAGAATTGATAGAGGCAATGCTGAAGTCAGGAAGTTCTTTATCACTCACAAACTGCCCTCGATTGTGCACATCACTCGCCCAAACAATGCCACCAATTGTCCAGGACAATAATGCGCGATGTTATCAGGCCCAAACTGACCGCTATTTCGCTGCATTTGATGTCACCACTTTCACAGTCCTTGTCCTGTGCCTCTTCCAGCAAAAGAAAGGCTTACTGGGTGGCACATGAAACATAGAGAGAGAGAGAGAGAGAAGCAATCTCGCCCATGCAGATGACGTTTCCCAACCTCATCAAGTGAAGTCCTTTCAAGCGCAGCTTTCCCTCTGAACAAGGGGGAGATAATACGGCTTCCAAACACTTCCACAATTCCTCTGAAGAATCTTCAACACTTCCAGACACTTCTTAAAACCCTTAAAATGCATTTTCCATCGCTTTTACCACTCCATCATCTCTTTCTCCCACTCAATTCTGACTTATCACAAAGCAAATCCGGGTTTTTGCATCTCAAGTAGTTTAAGCTCTTCAAATGCTTCAGATTTCAGACTGTAAAAAATGATTTAAGGGCCCAGAATTTGTTCATAAACATTTTTTGTCTTCATTTTCTAGTTTAATCTCCAGAAAATGCGTGAAAAAAATTCTAAAAAAATTGTGAGGTTATGAATTTTGCTTAAAAAAATACTTCAAGCCTGGAAATGAATAAAAATGGCGAATATCACAATGTTTCTACTAAGAAATAAGGTGAAATTTGCCAATTTAGAGCACAAATTGCAAAAATAACTAAACAAAGAGAATTCTCTGAGATATTTTTGAGGTTATGGTTGACTTTTAAGCTGTTTCCGAACCGTTTTTTCGAACGCAAATGCTTAATTTTGCCAAGAAAAGTGAAAAAATCCCATCTTGAACACAAATTAGATGATTTTGGGAGGTATTTTATCTCATAACCTCAAATAAAACGAATACAACTGATTTTTAAGCAAATTTAATTAGGAAAATGCCTCAATTTGGTTGAAATGAAAGATTTTTCAGTGCAAATATTCTATGTATTTTGCCACTTTCACCTCTAAACACTTCCCTTCAAGCTGTACACCACTTTCGACCATAATATCTACCCCTTGACAAGCTCTTTGCGAGACTGAGACAGAGAGACCACAAGAGAGTCAACAATTTGAGGGTTAACGGCCCATTGAATTCAAAATCTTTCTCTAGAACTCCTCAAGAGCCATACCTCAACCTCAATCATGCTTTGAATCGGGCAGCTTTCAAGCCCAACTCCCTCTTCAATCGGGAGGAATTGCTGAGAGCGGGGTGAGTTGTGACCGAGAGGGAGGAGAGAGATGGTAATCTCTTGAGCAAATAGAAGGTCTGCCGAGGCTTGTTTTGCCACAAAGTTACGCAAAAATATCGTACCTTCGACTGGCCCAGGGTTGTGTTTGGTTTAACCCCGCAGTAAAGCGATCTTGTTAAGTATAAAGCTCTCTGACAAAAAGCATCGCCCATAAAATTCAATGTACAGTCGAATTTTGGGAAAATGTCTTAGGAATCACAACACCTACAAACTCACCAAATTTACAACCATCATCGCAACTGGCCCCAACTTCTGCCCTCTTTCTCAAGTCACTCGCTGTGTGGATGAAAGTGAAATGGCAGTTGAGATGCGGAAAGTTTTGGGATTTTCGTTTCTGTGATTTTCGACAAAAGCCGTTTCTAGGTCAAGCGCTCGGCAATGCCATATATATATACAATAGGGAAAGCTGAAATCCCTGCGCGACACACTGACGCCCTGTGAAATTTTACATTTTGTTTAGCACAATCACCGGATGTGTAGGTGGCAAAAACTCAACCATTAAGAGCCTCCCTTATGGAATTGTGAGCTCTCCCCGGTCGTTTGTCATTGCTGGACGGCGAGGGAAAATGAGACGGGATTGCAATTCTGGCTCGTGTTTTGATTGCCAAGCGTGACCTTTCTCAATTTTTTCCTACCCTCCACTCAGCCATATCATATCCTTCTCACCCGCTCGCGCGCCTGCCGAGGATTTCGGGCGGTGGTTGTCTAGAGAGATTTAGCACACGGCCTTCTCCCTCTCTCTCTCGCCCTCTGAGCAGAGAGTCCTGGCGAGGAGTGGAAGTAAATTAAATTTTGTCACACGGCCGAGGAGATTCGTGTGTCCACATGGAATTAAATGAAGCGAAATTGGCGAGACCGAGTGGATTAGTGGGAAATGTATGGCAATAAGGGTGCCAAGAGGTGAGAGAGAGAGAAAAGGACACTGTGTCATGGGGGATCAAGTGAAATATGAAAAGAAACAGAAATGCCCAGCCAGAGTGGGAAACAGAGACTTATTCTTGGTTATGTGGGTTCGATTTTATTGCTTCACGTTCAATCTATAATTCCAAACGCATGTGAACACGCACATAATTCACACTGCGAAGACCCTTTTCACCATTCCTCGGGCATTTTTCCACCCATTTGCGCCACCACCATCGGCGAAGGAAGGGGGAAAAGCTCTCCCTCAGGCCGCTCACAGGAAAGGAAAAAATGCCCCAGTCGAGGGGGGGATATGAAAGGCTTTCTCGCACAAATACAATTCTATTCATTCGGTAAATAAGAGCAAATGGACATTCTATAAAATGTGGCCGAGAGCCATTGTGTGATGCCGTCTTGCGGAGGCTCGAAGGAGACGTGAGGGGATGAAGGAAAGGGAATCGAATTCATCGATTTTCCCACTACATTCCCAATGAAACTAAATCCAAGAGCTCCGCACTCATTTGCCCTAAATGAACATCTTTGGCTTATCACGGAATCTTTCCAGAACACTCTCTTCGCGGACGTGGACATCATTCCTCCGCCGCCGCCGCCGCTGAGGCGAAACCCGTCGCTCAGTCGTCACTATCCGGCGACACTCAAGACCACAGTCAGTCCTCCGTCGAGCACTGGCGAGAACATCCAGACCGGGGATTGCAGCGTGTCGCTGCTCAACTGCGCCACTGCCAATATCACGTACGAGCTGAAGACCACCAAGCCGGACATCTGCAACTTCGGCGCGCCCACGGTGACCAAGTCCGTGTCCACGAACCAACTCAGCTTCATGGACAATCCAGCCTTCGAGCCCGGCGGACTGGAGAGCGAGAAGGGCTGCCAGCACTTCCACGAGAACTCCGTCGATCACTCGTCGGGCTTCCAGAAGGACGACGCCACGGTGTTCTTCTACCACCACGAGCCACCCCCGAGCGGACCCAACTTCGACACCCTCGACTATCCAGCGAAGTTCAACACGATCGGGCCGCACAGTGGCGAGAACTACCACAAGCTCAAGGGACACTCGAGCAGCTGCAACTTGAGCCAGTTCGGACATCCGCACGACGGCTGCTACTTCTCCAACTCCCTGACCAACTTCACCCTCCTGCCGCCCGGACACCATCGGCCCTACAGCCACTTCCTGGACACCTCCAACACCCTGGGCGGCTCCTACACCTCCACCCTCAGCTCAGGCACCCTCGCGAAGCACCAGCACAGCGGATCGATGCCCTGGCGCCACAGGCAGTGCTCCAGTCGAGCGTCCAGCAGCTCAGGAACCAGCTCAACCCGTAAGTTCTCCTAGGTAGACTTGCTTTCTCAGGACAAGGGGAAGAACTGGTCACAAGCGCGGTGTACAATCGTTCAGAGTTTCAAAGTTCTAGACTGTTTCCACAGTAATTCGCAAATCCATGCGAAATTTCTGAAAAAATCCACTTAAAATGGCTTTTTTGAGCGTGTCTTCCGACCATAACCTCAAAAATCTCACTAAGAGATCTTAAAAGACCCCAATTGGAAGTTTTGTGGATGATAAGATCGGATCTATTCAACTCAAAATCACTGATTCAGACGCAAAATCGTGGAAAAAGTGGTCTAAATACACATTTTCCAAGCCAAAAATACTCTTTTTGAGGTTATGTTCGACATCAGTACAATTTGCAGTGTTTAGTAATGTTTTATCGCATGAAAATGCTAAATTCTGCTAATGATTAGCAATCTTATTGACTTTAGCATAAGAATTAATGTGCCAGAATGCGAAATATTCACTAAATCCGTTACATAACCTAGAAAATGTTTATTTTTTCGGACAATTCGAAAGAAATGCAAAGATTCTGGATGCTTTGTCAGTAAAAGCAAGATTCAGGAAAGGAAGCTTGTGAGTTTTTTAATCACTTCCACTTCTTAAGTACTTCCGCTGAACTGTACACCACTTCTGACTGTATTATCTCCCCTTTGGTAGAGACTTGAGTATATATATCATCTTCTTGCCACAGCATTGTTTGCTATCGCATTTCTTCCGGCAACCAGAGTGTCCTGTCAAAAACTTTACAATTAACTATCACACTTCCCCCCCCCCTCCCCCCTCCCCCTTCCCCAAAGTGTTCTCCTCATTGTTCAGCGTTTTCAATTTCACAATATGCCAGGAGTTTCGGTAAACTTGTCTCTGACTCCCCATGGCAAATATTGTCAATAACTCCATCTGCCACGGGAAGCAACATAATTACACTAATCATACAAGGCGGCGGGAGGGGGAGGGGGAGGGGGCGTCTTATCGGAGAACGGGAGCCAAGGTGTGACATAATGGAAATGAGGCGGTGTGGGCGCACAGCCATCGACCATATCGATTCCGGCAGGACGTGATTTATTGTCATCCGCACGAGGGTCTGTGGGGAAATTCTGCAAAGCGTTTGACGCTCCGCTCGTCCAGGGATCAATTAAAATTTTCTCTCATACACTTGCTGAGTCTGATTGAATAGGCGAAAAGGTTCCAATCTCAACTGTACGATTTCCCCAAAATGTATCGATCGCTATCATAACTTTCAGCTACAACTGCAAATTCCTACAAATCTCTCGGGCAATTTAGCAAAATACTGTCCTTGTATTTCACCCCTCGCGCGCGCTTTTCTCCGGGTGGTGGTGTGACAAATCATCAAACCGAAACAGCAAAGTGCGATGGAAAAAGTCCGCCACACAGAGCCGGGAATTGGGCGAAGAAAAATGAGAGACAAATATATGAAGATGTAAGATAAGAAAGTTTGCCTTCTTTAAAGTTCCTCGCACTCTTCGCATTTCCCCCGCATCGTGGCGCACAGTAGATGGAGATTTTTCATGAGGAAATGAGAAGGATTTTCCGGGCTATTTTCACATACACGAAAAGCCACCATTCCTCTCGCGCGCGCCAGAATAATCCGCCCCCACCAATGGATGGGAGTCCATCAATTTTCACTGAAAGCACCCAGAGAGCTTGAAGACTTTGGGCGATGTGAGGGGGGAAAAGTTTGCAGTGCGAAGTTTGATTTCTCCCATGAGAAGGACAATGGCAAAGTCCTCCGAAACATCACGGACCAGAGCGACGCAGATGAACAATTCATGCGTATTTTACGGGGAGTGTCGAACGTGTCTCAATGAAATTGAAGATGGAATTTATCGCATTCGAGGCGTGGAGACCACACATATTGGTCGATAGAGAGAGAAGATGAGCAAAACCATGACCAACATGTCAGTGAATGCGAGTGGGTGTCTTCACGAGCAGAATAGATTTATCCCCGTCACAATTTGATCCATCATTTGCCCGTCTTCTCACCACCAAAACTTCTTCTTCTTCACACCCTCGCCCAGGCTGGGACGTTCCCTCGAGACATTGGCTGGCCGTAACATCCATTCTGCTAATTGCCGGAGCCGCCGGGGTTGCCGTTCCACTTGCCCTCCGTGTCACGGCAGGTGAGATGATAGATTTCCTTCCCCACTTGTGCAAACTCTCTTCCTTCATCCTTTGCTCACTGACAAACTTTTCACCAGGCGCACCGCTGGAGGAGCGCGTCGAGGCGGCAACGCAACTCCTCGAAGCTGTTCCTCTCATTGATGGCCATAATGATCTTCCGTGGAACATCAGGAAGTTCCTGCACAATCAACTCAATGACTTTCAGTGAGTAACTCCTCAGAGATCCTTTAAATGCATGCATTCTTTGCACTTTTCATGCTCCTTTTCACTCCTGCAGCTTCGACGAAGACTTGCGAAATGTCATGCCTTGGGCCAAGAGCACTTGGAGTCACACGGATCTACCTCGATTGCGAAAAGGACGAGTCTCTGCACAGGTGAGCTTATCTCTGACTGTATTTTCCCCCTCAATTGAATCAATTTATCATGCGACAGAGAAACACAATCAGCGTGCAATATTCACTGTTTTTCACAAAGAGAAGCGCCAGCGACAAGTGTATCTCGTTTAGGGGATGCGAATGAGAATTCTCTACACAAGCTTACAATTGCAACTACAACAGGGGATTAATTAGAAGGATTATTTTCATTGCAAAGCTCTCTTGATTCTTAGAAATACACGAACAGGTGATTTTGCGCATCACTAAATCGACTTGACAATGAAATTTTACTCTTCATCCTCTGTCGCATTATTATGTTTTCCACACTGATAAGAGGAATTCATTTGTCCTGTGCATGAGTGAAAATGTGTGCGAGGAAATTTTGTTGAAAAGGTGCAGAAGAGCAGAATAAATTACACACAATATGATATCACGTTGGGAATGTGGAGAGAAAGCTTCTCTTCTCTCTCTCACTCTCTCCAACTCACTCACTCTCGTCAAAATATGTAAACTTTATTGATGGTTGAGTGTTCGATAGACCGCGCAAGAGCATCAATTTCACCCACACAATTTGTGAGGATCATAAAAATGCTGTGCAAAGAGCAGATGACAGACCACTCTTTCACGCAGAAGGTGCAAGAGTTTGGTGGAAAAATGAGGAATCCATTGAATATTAATGTCATCAGTGGAATTTAAATTCATTCTCACTTTCTTCATACTTTTGCCAAAGTTAAGTTATTCATGGAGAAATTCATTCTTTTCACCCCGTTTTGGAGCGACAAAAGAGATGAAATATGTCAAATATTTTCAGATGCTCAGCAATTTGGGAATGGCAAAAATGATGGAATTTCAAAAATTGAGTCGGTCTTTTAGGGAAAATAAAACATTCGCGCCTGCACTGAGATAAATGATGCGCAGAAAGGATTTCAAAGTGCAACTCAATTCCACTGATATACGATAAGTGTAAATGATCATCCCGACCAAGGGGGAGATAATATGGTCGGACGTGGCGTACAAATCAGTAGAAGTGATTCAATTTTTGCAATATTTCGTTCACAGCTTTGATTGAGAAATTAATTTTCATTCAAATCCTAATTTTGACTCATTTTTCTAGGTTATTTGACTGATTTAAGACTAAAAAAAATCCTAAAGCTGAAATTCTTACGCTTAAATTGAAAGTATTTTCACTGAATTGTTATAATTCCGTATTTTTGCGTTAAGAAAAAATACTAAAATCAAACATAACCTAAATATTTCACTTCATAATACAAAATTTTGAGCCAGAAAGATTCCAATAAAGAATTAATATCAATTGAAGCGCAACTAAAATTAGAAATTCGTAAAAACACTATATTTTTCTGCTAATTCAGTTAGAAAAATCAGGATTAGAAAACTCTCAGTTAAATTTCGGTTAGATTTAAGTTAGTTTTTGGTTAAATTTCAGTTAGATTCTAGTTAGATTCCAGTTATATTCAAATTATTCGATGATTTTCACAGAAAGTGGTGTACAGATTTTTCAGCCATATTATCTTCCCCTTGCGTAAGATAATTGTTCGCTATCAAGTTAAATGTCTCTGTGGTTTTTCTCAGTACAGCAATTTTAGCCGTAGAAACATTCAAACATTCCCAGATTAAATATGAAGACTGTCTGAGAAATTATTAACATTCCACGAGATGCGATGGATGAGCAAATAAGGAGCGTCGCAAGGGAGATAAGAATTAAATATTTCATAAACCTTCGCTCAGTGCTTCTAATTGATTTCCTCTCTCTCTCTCTCTCGCGTGTGAAAAACACTGCGATTATTCCACATATATGTGGATCGAATGCAAAAGCTTCTCATTGACTGGGAAGACTCTCTCTCTGGAAGGAATCTGCCATGAATGTTTCACTGTCGAGAGTTTTTCCATATTTTTTTGTTTGCCATCAATATTTCCTCCGTCTCTCTTTGCCTTTCCTGGCGCGAAAAGCTCTCCATTCTTCATTCGCGATGAACGAGGCTTCGTGTGAGTTCAAGTGTCTGCATTTTGTCGCCCGGAAGCGCAAAAAAGAGGATCTGGAAAGCTCCCTTTGTGGCTTCGTATATGAAGCTGTGTGTGTGTGTGTGTGTCTGTACATATTTCTGGGGAATTACACATTCCACCCCATTGAGCAGGGAAACATGACTTTCCGGGAGGCTGAATGTCGCTCCCATTTCTTCATCACTCATTTCGTGGGTTTTGCTCGTTTTGCTTTTGATGTTGATTCGCCAATGCCTCGAGCTTTGCTTGTTCCACACAACAATTGCTCCAAGTTGTCTTTTCCTCTCAGTGTTCCAGGACGAACGGAAAAAGCGACAGAGAGAGAGAGAGAGAGAAGGATTGTGTATTGGAAGAGGGAAAAACACCCCGTGTTTCGCATGCAATCGAACCGACAGCCAGCGACCTTCTTCTGTTCGCAGCTTCGCTCTTCCAATCCCTTAAGTGTATCCTTGGGAGAATGGGTGTTTGTGGAATTATTCATGACTTTTTCCTCCTGTCATTCTCATTCTGCGGACAAGTCCACTCCTTCTTCTGAATAGCATGAAATGGACATTTTCTTTTCATTCCCCCCAACTCAATGCTGCTCCTCCTCTTCGCCTCTTTGCAGTTCTGGGCTGCTTATGTGCCATGCGAGGCGCAGTACAGAGATGCAGTGCAGCTGACACTGGAGCAAATTGATGTGATCAAGAGACTGACAGAGAGATACTCACCTGAGTTGACAACGTGTGCTTCTGTGGCAGGTATGCAAGGGGCAGAGAATCACATTTTGACGCTATTATGCGAAAGAGGGATGCTGAGAAATGCTCCTCAAAGTGATAAGGAAGATGTGGAAACATGTGCACGCAAAGTCCGGAATTCCCGCAATTTCCTCTCCTCTCCAGCTCTATTTATCCATTAATTAACCACATATGTATTTATTCAGGTTTGTGATGATGATGAAGGTGAATTTACCAGGAAATCTTTCCTCAATTTACCACCCAATAGTTGAGAGGCCTTTTCCCTTCTGCATTTCCACTGTGCAAACAGAAGACAGTGGCTAGTCAATGAATTATCTCACACAGCAACAAGGACGCTCTCTAATGGATGTTCGTCCTAAATATCAATTACTCACACGCAGAACAAGCTCAGCGTCTTGCTCAGCATGTAGAGCAGAAGTTATGAAGAGTGAGAGCACAAGTGTGCGAGTAATATATTGACCAGACACTGTCTCGACACAGTCTCACAGATCGCCTGATATTATTATTATTCCTCCTACTTTGCGCCTAGGCGGCGAGTGGTGCGGGGCCTTTGAAAAAGGGATACACACACACTCCAATCTAATGTTATTGTACGGCATCCACAGACATCCTGGAGGCGCACAAGAACCATCAATTATGCTCCCTGACCGGCGTGGAGGGCGGCCACTCTCTGGGGGGCTCCCTGGGCGTCCTGCGGACCCTCTACACAGTCGGTGTGCGCTACATGACCCTCACCTCCACGTGCCACACGCCGTGGGCGGACTCCAGCCATGACATCAAGCACGGCGGACTCACAGCCTTTGGCAAGGTGAGTTTGTCTTTTTCCTCGTCGCCAAGAAGGATACTTCCACGAAATTGGATTTCACGACATTCCCCATCGTCCTCGGCCCCTTCAGGGGCCCACCCAGTGCGATTAATGAGATGAGATGGAGGGAAGAATTATCCGCAGACGACAATGTTGCGATACAATTTGTCTCCCATCGGCAATCATGAGCCAAAGATGTTGCAATAAGTCAAGCAACATACCTGCCATTGTCCATCAAAATTGATTGTGCAAGAAACCGCACACTTTGCACGACCATTTAGGGTGGATAAGAGAAAACCCAAGAGGCAGCATAAATCGTGTCTAATACCATATTTTATACCGTCTTCTTGCCCATTTGCAAGAACACACGGCATGTTTTATTGAAACTATGAGTGAATAATAATGAGAATGTACTAAAATTAATTCCCCAGCAAAGTAGAATGAAGTTCATAATTTTCAATCCACTGCAGAGCACGTGAAAACCCCCCAGAAGAGCCAAAAGGGAGCGTCAATTATTTAACGGGCAAATTATTTAATGCTGAGCAAAAGCTCTCGCCCTCGCCGAATTTCCACCCACCAGCCTCAAGGGGGGTGAGAAAGGGCGTCTCATGGAAATGATATTGATATTGAATAAAATTTAATCGATTTGCTGACTTGCCCAAGAACCCAAAGCATCCCCAAAATGTCCTGCATAAAAGAGAAATCTCTCTCCTTTCTTTTTGCTGCTGCTTCTTGCCTTCTGCGGGCGGGCGGGGAGGGGGGAGAATTAGAAGTGCGCAAAAAGGCGAGTGAAGAAAAGAAAAGTGCGGAGAAGAAACATTTTATTGCCCTCTTGAGAATATTAATTTTCATTTTGGGCTCAGGCGAAATCTCAAGATGAGTGGATCGCGTGCAAAAAGGTGGGGGACAAGCAATGAAATAAATAAAATTAAATTTCCCCGCTATAATTTGCATCTCATCTAGTTGAAGAAATCCCATTTTCTGTCTGTTTGTGTGTGTGTGTGGAGATTAATGAAGATTGCGGTGTTGAATGCACAATTTTCACCTAGAGAAAATCATCCCAGCAAACGTGTCGCGGTGGAAAATGGATTGTCTTTTGATTAATGACTTCAATTCCCTTCGCCACAACACGAAAGGTGTGTGGGTGGACTTAAATTGTCTCCAAGGTGGATTTCACCTCAGCAATCGCGCCTCGGAAAATATCTTCTTCGACGTTTGGCAGAAGAGAGAAAATCGATGACATAATTGTGCGGCAATGTAATTGAGAGGGAAAAACCATTGAAGTTTCATTTTGCAAAATGCGTCTGAAGAAATGCTTTTTGTTCTCTTTGACTCAATTCCACTACTATGAAGCTTGCAGAACTAATAGGGTGAGATGGAAGATAATTAAATAAACATTTAAAAGATGGGGAGCGTCATTAAAAATGAAACTTAAGCTCTACCGAATTGTTTCGTCGTTAGTGGTCACAAAAAACGAGACGTGGAAACTTTCTTCTGGAGTTTTTGAGTGAGAAAATTCCTCGCGGCAAGTCTAGAAGAACTCCCAACACCTTACTCTTGGTCGCTTAGATCAGAAATCGTCGTAAATTGCATATTACTTTCCTATCTTCTGCCCCTTAACTTTCCCTTCCAAAGTGAGTTTTCTCCTGCATCGCGCCCACTTTTCTGGACGGGAATAATTAGCAAAGTCACTCTCGGACACTTTCTGCATTCATCTTTCTTCATGACTCAGGCAATTTGCTTCCATTATCCTTTTTTTCTATCCACTTTCTTCCCTTTTTTACACTCCTGTTTCACTCTTGTTGCCATTTCATTGGAAATTCCAACGGTGCCAAGCGAGAAAAGGAAGATTAATGTGCAGCAGCAGGGAAATGAGGAAAGAAAAAGAATATTCTTCAATAATTCACTCTTCTCATTTGCTCCAATTGAGCCGCTGTAAAAGATTCACGGCAAAATGCGCTCTTCTATTTGATGAATATAATGGCAGATGAGAAATCCACTTAAAGTCACACACTTGAAAGCTTTGTCGAATAAGATGGAATGTCTAAATATAGTCGTGGATCATTTATTGACTTCATCATTTCAATTTCAGCAGAAATCTTTCCATTCTGGCTGTTCTGATAGATTGATCAAAGTGATGTTAATACAGAGAATTTATGCACATGTTCTCCATGCACTACACATAACAAGCATTTATAAAGACATGCCATGGTAATCTCCACACATAGAACACTCCATAAGAGGATCAATGCTGAAACTTAACTGCATCTCAGCAGAACAGAGCGAGAAAGCGAGCGGGAGAAAGTGAGAGAAATCTTATCTGGCAAAGGCTTCGTGAGGTTTCTTAACAGTGGCAAGAGAAATCCCACTTCTAACCAGCGTAAGATGAATTATTTTCCCACACAGCTATTCAAACTGATCCGGGAAGGAGAGAAAAAATCGCCGAGCAAACAATTCAATAGAAGGAGCAGAGAAAATCTGAGGAATTTTCAAACAATGTGCAGGAATGTGCGACTCTCTCTCTCTCTCTCGCCATTCTTGGACTGGTGGAATAAATCAAGGAAGTTCGATAGAATCCTCAAGAGCCCATCAAACATTTGTTCGACTGTTTATTTGAACCCACGTCAAACGGCTCATCCCTGGACGGTCTCATTCACGCATTCCATATCAACTAAATGTCCAATATTTCGCTTTTCTCCCGCCGCCCCCAAGGAAAAACGTCTCACAAACATTCCGCTCGCCAACTCAATTTTGACCTTTTCGCCACACAAAGCATTGACTTTCAAATGAAAGCTCAGGCTAGATCAACACCGAATTCTGTGGGTGTCACCGGAAAATTGACTTTTCTCTCACCTCCAGTCGGCTTAAGGGTCTCTCATGAAATCCAGCTGGGGAAAAACTGTGGCATCTCATGGCTGGGAGATGTAAAGGAATAACAGTCCGTAATTAAAATCAAATGAGAAAACTCATTAAACTCTCGACGATTCGATGGCTTTACAATTTATTTCTCTGCCCCAACAGAAGGGAGGAGATAAAAGTGCTCCTCTTGCGGGGGAGTTTAATTAAACACTCAATTATCTCAGCGAATATTTTCCATAGACAGAGGAAAAAATGGAAATTCTCAAAAGGCGATTGTGCGAAATAGTTACACGGGAGAAATTGTGAGGGATTTTTTTCAGCGCACCAATTGGCGGAAATGCTCGTTAAGTTATCCCACTTAATCTCCGCGCGCGAACGGTGCGGAGATTGCAAAATTTCTAAGGGCAAATGCTTTATTAGCAAACTTGAACAATATCTCAAGTCAAACAGTGTGCGATGAATGAGAAGGTGAGGAGGGTGGATTTTTGCCCGATGTACCATCCAATTGATTGCTGAAGGAAGCACAACACTTGAGGAATTTATGGTTTCACAAATGTTTATTCTGCTCTATTGAATGAATTCAAGCAGCAAAAACCCACCCACCGCCCACTTTTCCCACTGCGATCGGCGCAACAGAGGGAAAAAGTCTGTTTTGCCAGGATTGTCTGCTGGAATGGGCTGCGAGATTCTCTGATGCTGTACCTCGGGAAATGTGTCTCGCTGGGTATGAATTGGGCGAAAAGCATCGGTGAGGAACACAAAAAGTCGATGACAACGATTGAAATGGAAAGCGAGAGCACAGGAGAAATCAGTCTTTTCACAAGACTCTCTCTTCTGTGTGTGCAAGTCTATTGGAATGCCTCTGATGAGAGTCTTGTCAAGATCACCCACCCGAAGAGGGTGGGAAATCAGATTGAACATGGAGAAGAGGATTCAGAAATATTCCCCACCCCTCCCACGCGGGGGTGTCTTTCTCACTGGGGGTACTTTGTGTGAACTTCTCAAGCACGATACCAACGCAGGCGATTGAGGAGGAAAAGCGCTGTGTAACACGGGGAAAAAAAGCACAAGAATTCAAACCAGAAGGAAGAAAAACATACAGCTCGTGAAAATTTTCCCTCAACCGAGATAAGACACGTTTTCATCTCAACAAGGCAACAAGGAAGCATCTTGCACACTTCATCGTATCTTGGAGAAACTATAACAACTTTCTTACACTTGCCATTCTGCCAAAATTATCGACTCTAGCTTCAACTACAACACCCACCTTTGTTGCAGATCAAGGGGGAGATACTATGAGTCGGAAGTGATGTACAAATCAAGGGTGAAAGTTTTACGCAGTGAAATTGCTCAACAGAAAAATATTGCTTCCTTAAAAACTTGAAAACTGATTGGTCGTTGCAACAATACGGAATTCGTATTCCAGTTAGTAAAAACTACCAATTTGATGTTGCAACTTTACATTTTCGCAGTTTACATTAGTGGAATGAAATACAAACGAGAAGGCGTTGCAAGGCAAAGTGAAGAGTTTATTTAATACGAATTTAGTGAATTTTTGTGCGAGATTTGCTCTATGAGGGTGTTTTTAGGGCAGAATATTCCAACTTGCGTCCAATTTCTGGCCACTTTCCTCCGCGTTGGATTTTCCAGGAGTTTTTGGCGGTGACTGAGAGGCATTTTCAACACGAAGAAAAAATTCAACAAGGCAAAATAGTGTTAGATATCTTCATCCGCGATTATCTCTGATATTGAGCCTGTTTCCAAGAAAGTTCTTGAAAGATTTCGCTGGCCAAACTGTTCAGGAAGATATGTTTGTTAAATAGAAATAATAATAAGAAATAGAATAAAAAGAAATCAATGAGTTTCCTTGGAAAGAGTCGAAGGATGTCCGGTAATCGCAACACCTTTTTACGAATTAATACTTTTGACAGCTTATTTAAAATGTTATGAAAGCAACGTTGCAACGATGTCTGATTCTATGCTCTTCGAGGTTATGTGACAAATTATTAATTATACTATTCTTAAACCGAAAACAATTCTGGATCTTAAGAGACAATAGAATAACCACAAAAATGGTGTACAGATTTCAACCGCACATCCTCCCCTTGCTGTGTATGAATGTTTTTGGAAGATTCACTGCGCTTCTGCACACAGAAATGTTTATTTGGCCAATTAAAGAGTGAAATCCACGGTTTTATGTCTTCTTTTGTCCTTTCAGACCATCATTCGCGAAATGAATCGCCTGGGGATGATCGTGGACTTATCTCATGTGTCCGTGGGAACTGTACGAGATGCACTGGCTGTGTCTGATGCACCTGTGATATTCTCCCATTCTTCCGCGTATGAAATTTGCAACTCCAGCCGCAACGTGCAGGACGACATCCTCGTGGCTGTCGCGCGGAATCGTGGTCTTGTCATGGTGAATTTCTATTCACGATTCCTCAGTTGCAGCGAAAATGCCACAGTTCACGATGCAGTCGGTGAGTTTTCGCAATTCACTCCCCAAAATTAAATACTCCACAAAATCAATAAACATTCATCATCATCCTGGGAAAATGTTGCATTTTGGGTGAAAAATCAGCGGAAATTCTCAATTTACAATCATTGCATCGCGCACTTGAATTTTCACACCACTTTACACTGGATTTTACACAGTGTAAAAACTTTTTGATACTCATGATATTACATACTATTTGAAAACTTTCTCTCTACCACTGGAAACTCCATGAGATTGGAGAATATGTAATGAGAGAGAGAGAATATTTAATCAATAAAGTGTTCACGAGACACATTTGACCCTTAATCATAAACAAACGCTTTAAATTCCACCCGGATGAGCTTTGAGTGAAAAACCACACTGATTTTCCGGCAAATCAGCAAGTCTGTCCTGCCACAAAGCCATAATAGCCTAGTGCACATTGTGCAGATTTAATGAAAGTGAGCCAATTCTCCTTGCAGCGCACATCAATCACATAAAACGTGTGGCTGGAATCGATCATGTGGGACTCGGAGCCGGTTTCGATGGGATCAATTAGTAAGTTTATATTGAGTTTAACCATGCTTCTTGCGCACGCTGTGTTCCTCCGTGCACAACATCTGCCCCAATTGGAAGTGTACCAGAAAAAATACATTTATATATATGTATTCCACAAATATCCAGAGCCTGTCAGTGTTGATAAAGTGCATTTTTGCCGCCAATGAAGTTGATGCATGTGAAATTTTGATAGTTCTAATTGAGTGGCGAAAAACATCCACATTTTGCCCTAAATAAACTATTTGCCGTATTGACAACATAATTCGGGTTAATCATTAAAGCCTTTTGCCACTCATTTTCATCATAAAATGCACTTTGGCAATTGTGGAATTAGTTTTAGCACAAATTTTAGGCTACTTTTGGTTAATTTTGGACACATTCCAAGATACTCAATTGTGTTCTTAAGCTTTCATTGTGAACATTCGAAATGTTTCACAATGATTATTTGATTTTCACGCTTTCTGGTGCTTGATTTTGATTATAGTATTTATTCAACCACCATTGAAACAGTGACTCGAAATTAAATATAGTCAATTGGAGAACTTGAAACACATTAATGAGCATTCAGAGTTCTGATCACTTGCGATTTAAGACCATTAACTTTGTGATTATTCAATTATTTTTTGATTAGGCCACAAAAATGTGAAAATATTAAGTATTTCATGATATTTTTTTTTATTTTCCGAATATTTAATTTAAATATAAATATGTTTAAATATTTGACTATTTTCTCTACACACAAAGCAGCAGTTTGTAGTTTAAAACCATGTAGAAGTGGCGATTGTGTTTCCCGAAGGCAATTTTGGCCTTTGTCATTTAATTTTAAGTGTACGAATTGAGTTTGTGGCAAATTTAGTGACTTTTTCTATTTAAATTTGAATTTTAATTAAGTATCGGATTGAAATCATAAGAATTCCTTAAAAATCGACTAGTGACGAATTACCCTTTAAGCCCTGAAGTCGTTGAAAGATCCTCAGCCTTGAGTGGATTTTAAAGACGGACAGTATAAGAAATTGGATTTTAATGAGGTTTTTATGGTGCCGAGATTTCTTTAGAGCAACAGTTGTGCAGATTCTCACTTCTTGTCGTGTCTTTGCCAGTGTTAGACGTGAAAATTGTCGAGACTTTTGAGCAAATTATGGGCCGATCGAAGCATACAAAACCTGAGGAACGCGAGGAAATTTTCCGACTGTTTAAGGAAGGCTTTTCCGTGCGACAAATCAGCACGAAGACTTCCTACAGCAGGAAGAGAGTTTGGAATGCGATTCAGCACGTGAAGAAGTTTGATTCGGTGGAAAATATGACGCGAACGCGATCGCGGAAGACAACTGAATTGATGGATCGCAAAATTGCGCGAATGTCCAAGAAATATCCGCTACTGTCAGCTGGTGAAATTCACCGTAAACTCTTTCCTAAGAATCCTGCAATCTGTATTAATACGTTGAGGAAGAGACTTCAGGAAATTCGCGGTTCGCCGATGTGTTTCAAGTTCTCCAGTGTCCGTATTTGATTTCCCGTCACTGTAGAGAAGTGAATAATTCTAATTGCATCCTTTTCTTCCCCCGCCAATCAGCACCCCAAAGGGACTCGAGGACGTGTCCACGTACCCGATGCTGTTCGCCGAGCTGATGGGCGACGGCTGGACGGCGGAGGAGCTGACCAAGCTGGCCGGCCAGAACTTCCTGCGCGTCATGAGCGAGGTGGAGCGCGTGAGGGACGCCCAGAAGTCGGCGGGCGTGCGGCCCCACGAGGAGGTGCCCAACTTCCGGCTGGAGGATCCCTACAACTGCACCTCGAGTTAGTAAAATTCACACCCGCGCACAATCAATAATCTCCAAATGCCTTGAAATCTGTATTTTACTCGTGAAGGTATTATAAGTCCGTAATATTTATGACGACATTTTAGGCTCATTTTTATCACTTACACCGGGCGAAGTGGGAGTTATAATTAGATGAATCTATAATTAAATTGATAGCTGAAATGATGGACTTCTGACCAATTGCCACAAACCTAAAGAAAAAAAACCAAGCGTGGAAAGTGTTTAGCGATTAGATGATTTGTTGTGTTTTAAAGCGTTTTATCGTGCGACGAAAGGAGCAAAAGCGACGATGAGGTAAGAAGTTGGCAGTTGTTCGGGAGTATTGTGTAGAGTAAAGGTAATTTATAATAAATATAAATCTTTTTTTAAGAGACGCAAGAAAGTGAAGAGCAGAAGAACATAAACTCCATATGTGTGTAAATATTTTTTTACATTACTTTCCCCCCATCTCATAAGGACAAATTTTCACATAGCGCTAAGTTATGATCTTTCCAATGAAATTTATATACGGAAAATGGATAAAAAAATGTTCTATATATACCAAAAAAAAACATAACAAGACTTTCCATACGGGGTAAAAAAAGAAATGATGTACATGTTGAGGATAAATTTAAACGTCATATTTCTAAATGTTGAATTTCTTTTTCTTTTTCTCGTATATTATAAGACAAAATGAAGAAAAAAATGTGACGAATAAATAAGGTTTGTTTTTTGGCACAAAAACTCACTCATAAATGTGTTTATATAGTGAAATGAACGATGCAAAAATGTGGTTGTTTTTCATTTTTGGTTTTTTTCTTTCATAAATAAACATGAAAATCTTGATGAGAAACTTATTAATAGGAAAAATATTGTAAAGGAAATTTCTCTATTTCACTACAAGATGAAAGGAGGAGAAATATTAAAAAAAAAAAACTGATGAAAGTCTTTTAATGTTAATTGTCAATCACTGCTGAAATATAGGACCAAACGAGATTAATTAAAAAAAAATACACGAACGTCATTAAACTATGAGATAAAAAGTCACAACTTTTTTCGGTTTGTCGTCAATGTTTGCAGCGTGTGAAAAAGTTTATTGACATATCAGAGAGTTAAAAATGGAATGACATTCACATACACTCACCTGGAAATTGTTAATTTATTATAGTGACAAATTTAAATTTCAGTTGAGCGAGAGAAGAGAGAAAAAAACTATTAAAAAATCCCTATTGTTGATTGAAAATTAATAATTATATATGATATTGAAAGCATTGCATAACATTACATATGTAGCGAATCGATTCACTTCACATAGAAAATTGTTTATACTGAATTTTTATTTTCCCGCCAAATTTCCCCCTTTAAATGCTGTGTAACTCAAGAAAACTCAGTTACTTTCACGAATGAGCAAAAGGTTGTTGAATAAAAATATATAATTGATCGACTTACCAAATGTCTTTTCTTTCAATTCGAGCCAAAGTTGAGAATTTTAATAAGTGTTTTAATGGGTTAACAGCGATATTTTGGACACATTTTCCCTAAGATTGGTTGCTGTCCAGACTAACTTAACGCGAAAGTGCCACCGCTTAACGAAGATGTCAAGTCGTTTGGCAATTCTTAACCTGCCAAAGCAGCTGATAATTTCACAAAATATTGTTGTTTGTAAATAAAACGCAGAAAAAGTCCCTTTTTCCTGCAATTAGACGTAGTGAAGCGTGAATAATTGGCGAACAATGCCATATTTGTAATCTTTATTCTGGGAATCTCTCCCAATTTTAGCCGATGAGTGATAATCGCGATTTAATCCCGGACTAATTTGGTGGTTTTTCTGGGCTCTCTCTTGGCGACTCCCTTAATTTTTTTTAGTGATTGTCTTAAATTAGACCAATAATTCTGTAGGGAATACAGACAGAAGAGAACCCAGATAATGTCAAAGCTCTACCTTCTCCCAATTGCGGTCTATCTGCTCTTCCAGGTCACCTTCTTGGGCACGTAAGTGGCGAGATCTCGCAATGAGTCATCGCCGAGCTAAAGATTCTTTATTGCAAATCTGCTTAGATACATCGCTGCCATAGTTCAGGGTCATGTTGTGCCCACCATCCCTTACATTAGCGATGCGGCGACTTATTCCCCGGAGAGTTGCGTCTTCGGCCAGCTGATAAACATGGGCTGCGTTTTGCGTAAGAAATATCCACGCAATTCCTTTCCTCTTCAGCCACTCAATCTGCCCTCCTTCCGCAGTTGGCATCGTGATCTACATTCGCTTCCGGCAAATCTGCGTCCTGTGCGACTATCACGCCGATCTGAGGGACTCCACGGCGAAGCTGAACGGCCGGGCGCTCTGGATTGGCTTCGGTTCGTGCCTGGGCATCAGCATTGTGGCCAACTTCCAGGAGACCAACATCCACGTGATCCACCTCGTGGGCGCGTTCCTCTGCTTCGGCCTCGGCACTGTCTACTTCTGGATCCAGGCTGTGATCTCCTACTACCTGCAGCCGTACGTGGGCAGCATGTTCAAGGCGCACGTGCGCCTCTTCCTCTCCGTCGTGTGCACCATCTTCTTCATCATGGTGGCCGTGACGGGGATCATCTCGCACATCCTGTTCCGCGGCGAGGATCCCAGGAAGTGGTATCCCTCGGACGGCGGCTGGAAGTACCACGTGGCCAGCTCCATCTCCGAGTGGATCGTCGCCACCACCTTCTGCTTCTACATCCTCACCTTCACGGACGAGTTCCGCAGCCTCTCCGTCGACCATCCGACCATCCGAATCCTCGAGTACGAGATCCTGGTGGACGCAGACCTCGTGAGGAACTCCGACAGCAGCCCCCTGGCACCCTCGACGCCCCCGCCGACGCCCCAGAACAGCGTCATTCTCCTCTGAGCATATTTATTTGATAGAAAGTGTGAATAAAGTGATGAAATTTTAAACACCCGCGCTTTTACAGCCATCTGCGCCCTCTGCACGAGCATAGCGAAGCTGAAGCAGTGCGCAGTGAAAATAAAAGTGAACTTTGATCCCTTTTGACAGCCGGCAAAGTGTCAAAACAGCCCAGTGACAAGCATAAAATTTCACTTTTCAGTGCTTCTATTGCAGATAAATACAAGTGACTAATTGTGAAATTCGCACAAATTCAGAGCAATTGAGAGCCAGTGAACAGTGGAAGAAGTCTCAGTGAAGACAAACACATCAGAATAAGGTGAGGTCATTTCCAAATCTACCCGGAAAAAAGGCCAGTTTCCTTCCCCAAAATAATCTGGTTTCGCTAATGATAACACAAATTGAAGAGAATCTAATTTTTCTGCACTTTGGAGTTTGTGATACTTGAAGAATTCCTCTATAAGAAAAAACAACACTAATTATCTCGCATGATTTGCATTTCATCTTTATCAAATTTCTCTCATTTTCCCCCCCGAAGAATTCTGGTTGAAAGTTGTGAAATTATGCATGAAGAAGAACTTCTGTAATTCAAGCAATCATTGCTTACGTAAAAATTAATGAAAATTTACGATTTCCTACGAAATCAATAGAATCTGGTTAAGAATTCATAACAATTCGGTGTTCGAGGGTCAAATTACAGGTCAGAAAATTATTAGGCATTCGTCAGATTGATAGAAAATTCACGGTGATTTGTGTGGGAAAGTCGCGTAGAAGAAATCATAGGCGGAATAACACATTTTATGACGCTCTTCCAGATTTATCGGCTTACTGTCCTAAAAGTTCTTACACGAAATTGTGTCCTTAAACCCCCGTAAGTAGCGACATCTCTCCCCCAAATGTTGCAATCTTGAGGGGGCAATTACAGTGTGTGTATTGAGAATAGGAACGCCTTTTAGCTAATTCCCATTTCCGCTCTACATATTGCTTGCACTGCAATCAATTGTAGTCTCAAAGAGAGGGCAAATTTTCCACTGAATGTTGGAAGAGAAAAGCGGTCGAAGCGATGCTGTTGGAGTGAGAAGTACAAAGAGAGTAAATAAAAATCACCCAAAATCACCGGATTTGAGATTAGAACGGGAGAAAATAAAATCCAACCCTCTCGATTGTTGACTCCCTCCACAATTTCCACTTCCTCTGCTTTATGTTTATTTTCTCTGACTTTGTACAGCTTTTCCTCTGCTGTTTTTCCGTGCTTTTCCCACTGAAAGAAGCGCCCAAGAGAAGAAGGAGTTTAGTTGATTTCTCACACTGATTCAACAGCCTTAATCTCACCTTTCTGCAAAATTATGTTACGCAATCACTAAACTTGTCAGCATCAACACAATCAACCATTTCTGGCCAATTTGCAAGCAAGTTTTAAGCACTGAAAAGTGCCACTGAATAATTTCTCTCTCGCTCACCATGAATTTTTAAAGACTATCCTAACTTGTGTATCAGCAATTAAGTGTTGCTTGCTTGGGAGCAATATTTATTGGAAAATTGCACCGGAAAACTTCCACATGAATAAATTGTGCGAGAAAATAGCGCACAATATTGGCTTCCAATTGAAAATTCACATCACGGGTCTTTAAACTTTTCTCAGATGTTTTCTATGTTGGCTGGCACAAACATATTTCTATGCGGTGAAAAGCGGTGCATTTAACTCTCGGGAAACCCAAGAAAAATGCATTCCTGCGAGTTTTCAATTATACAGAGACTGTGTTTTACCCGCAAAACTTTCTGCCTTTTTCACTCTGGGGAAAAAGGCTTGAAAATTGAATTCTCATAGCGTTCAGAGTGTTCGGGAAATTCAGTAGAAAATCTCTACTTTATTAAATATTGCCTGAAAAATTATTTTCCTCCAACGCCACGAGCATGAAAAATCACTTTGTGAATTGAGTTATATACTGAGAATTTTTCCTGACATTCAAAAATATATCATTCTGAATTGCTGGGAAAGACGATGAAAATTCCCTCTCCCAGGAATTTCATGCACTCAATATTTAAATTGCTGTCCTTTCAATCCTCGGCAAATGAAATTCTTCTACCATCACAGATGTTTTTCCACGATGTCTCAAATCAAAATAAACTCACCGCGAGATTGAAATTCAAGATATAATGTGTACTTTTTCTATGTCTTCCAAGACATTCTCTCTGCAAACTAGCATTTCAACATCTGTCACTGCTCTAAGTTGTAATATTTTAATGCTTGATGCTTCCTTAATAAACTTTCTGTCATTTTTTTTCTCGTGTATTCTTCAGAATCTCGTGGCTTTTTGCTATAAAATTTACCAACAATAATACAAAACACGAACGACATTTTCCATTATGATTTATGAAAGGAGGAAGTTTATCAGTGAGAAAGGAAATTTCTTTTGCGCTCTGCACAAAATATTTTATATCTTGCATGTGGAAAAATACGATCCCTTCAAGGGGGAGATATTATGGTCACAATAATATAATATTTGCAATATTAGACGTTTAAATTAACGCAATATTTTAATGATTTTTACACTCATTTCTCCGATAACAATCTTATTGCTTTTCTAGGTTGTGTTAAATAACTTTTAGCTAAATTAAGTGACTAAATAACATCAGGAAACTGTGTTTATTACACTAATATTGATCATAACCTCTAAAATATTGTTTCAGGATACAAAATTGTCTATTTTAAGAGCTGTTTGTTTGATTTTCGGCTCCAAAATAGCAAATTTCGCGCTTGATTTTACTACAGCAATTAGTTCATTTCAAGAATTCTTTCAAATATCTCAAGGTAATTTTGAGGTTATGATGAACAATGTATTCAAGAGAGCGAATTAAAAGCTAATCACACCGAAATATTAGCTGGAAACTTAATATATCCCTTAAAATCTGTTTCTTTGTGAGTTTTGTCATGATAATTATGACCTAAATTTGAGGTTATGATTCTTTAAACGGTTAAAAAAACCTATACAATTCCGGAAAAACGGCGAAGAAAGTGCGGAAAGCGCATGTTTTAAGCACTGCTGCAGTTCTAGAAGTGTCTATGATTCTCCCACGGAAATCGTGGAAGTTTTGCCGTATTATCTCCCCCTTAGATCCCTTGGAATCTTCTTTTCACTGTGCATTTGCGCGGGATTTCGCCGAGCATTGAGAGAGAGAGATTAGCCAGTGAAGAGAGGCTTTGAATTATATTCATGCATATGCACCAGGAAAATTGTGCCAGTGGATTAAAAAGTTGAATATTGTGAGGAAATTAAAAATGGCTTCAATGCAGGTTTCGGAGTTGACAAGAAATGAGAGCTTTTGTCATCTCCATTTGCTGGGGAATTATTGAGAATTTGGCGAATTTCTGCTTCGTCCCTGCCAGAGTGTGTATTTGGGACGCGAATTGTCGTGATAATCCCCACTTCTCCTCGACAATTGTATGCAGATGTGTTGGAGCTTTGCAAGCTCAAGTGAGTATTTTTCAACGTGAAAAGCCCCGGACTTCCTCAAGGAGGGCTCTGCACATGGCCCCAGAGGATGGAAAAGTAAGAAAACTAGGTGAATGTTTATTTCAATATAGCGCACACAAATAGTATCGTGAATTGGAAATGTCTGTCGCATGCTTCGCTCTTCGGGGCTATATATGATGATGAGAAAGGTTGGAGGGAAGGAATTCTAACGTGATTCTATTTACACGCGGAGAAACGCTGAATGTTTGTGTTGTGCGCGGGGTGGAAAAGAGAGAGGGCAGAAAAAGGTGCGGGACAAATGTCGTGATGTGAGGAGGAATATGATGTTGGTGTATAAATAACAAATTGAATTCTCGAGAATGATTGATTTCCAGTCACTTGAGTCACATGTACAGATCCCTACTCAATTGACAAAGACAAACAAGGCGCAAAACACCCCAAATTGCCTAATATTTCCACGATATCCTCTCACTCTCCCTCTCTGTCTGCGCTCTGTGTTTGGTCGCGCGTCCAGTCGTGGCACTTTTAATAACATTAACCACATTTTCATTAATAAATCCACCGAGTGCGCGGGTCAAACGTGAGCGCAGAGAGCTTTTCCGTCATCAAAAGCATTTGGCATTCAAATGAAAATCCCCGCCATTGGCTGTGCATGTTCATTACCACAAAAATCCCCGACTTTGCACCTCCGTCCAAATGAGGTTCTCTCACTCAATAATTCATCACTATATGCAGTGCCATTCCGCCACTTCCAGCCGCGTCACTGATGGGAAATTAAATATTATATATATTTCCACGATATTCCGCGAAGAGGTGGGCGAGAGAACATTACAGAATTTATTGATAAATGTAACACATGTTGGTAGTTGAATTTTATTAGAAAATTCGAGGGTTGGCTCGCATTACATCGCGAGGCGTTCTCATGTTTAAAAACAATCTTATATGAGGGGTGAAAGGAGGGAGAAGAACAGACAAATATGTGACATTTGCCATTCCCTCCGCCTCTCTTCGTGGGCGCCCTGCCAGCTGAGGAAACACACCCTCGATCTATGTATGACTGCCACTAACGCGAAAGAGGCGGAAGATGAACTAAAGATAGTCTGGATGGCTTTTTGGTTTACCGAATTCAGCTCAGGTTTTCGCCAAAGCACCGAAAAAGCTTAGAAAGCCACAGAAAGCGGAGGTGGAAAAAAAATGTGAGATTTAGAATTTAGCAAACTGAAAACCAAAGCTTTGACCTAATATTCTTCAACCCCAGCAAAAAGTCTATTATGTGGACACATTTTGCAAACCGAAGGCTCAAGCGAAAACTATGAAAAGTCGATTTTTCATAGTTTTCGTCTTATGTATTAAAAACTTTGAGAAAAGTGCATTAAAAGTACGAAAAAAAATCTTTTAGCACTAGTTTGGATTAAATTGACTTGAAGACTATTTAAAATCGACTTTGGAAAGTTATATTTTCTGTTTTTCCATTCAATTTGCAATATTTTAGTCAAAATTTCCAATAAATATCAATAAAATCAACTCAAATAGAGCAATTTTAGCACTCTAATGCAAGATTGAAAGGTGTTTTGAGGTAAATTAGGTAAATTTTGCCTTGGAATTTTCACAGTTTTCGATGCACCCGTCGAAACAATGAAGTTCGTTAGGAGCAAATGAAAGTGGAGTGAAATTATTAAATGAATTTGACTGAATGCCAAATTGTCGCAGAGAAAAGTGTAATTAAATTGAAATTCTTGCACTTTTTACTCTCTCTTTTGTGTGTGTGTTTGTGTTCAAAAGAGCTGCCAATTTTCATTATTCTTTCTGGATGATAATTTAATTGATAAAAAAAAATTGTGAAACTCACTGAATAAAGAGAAAGAGAGGCAAAAAGAAATTGAAAATACAACTGACAATTCTACGCATTTGTGACAATAAAAGCCTGTGTAGCAACAGCGGAAAAAAGAGAAAGAAGTCATGTAGCATAAAAGTGTCATAGAGCGAATGAGGAAAAGCCAGCGAGGGAAGAAAATGTAGGTGATGCTGTTGAACAAAAGCCACAATAAGAGGAAAATTATGTCACACATTTCCTCGCTTGTTCACCCCCTTCCTGGACAGATAATGCCTCTCTCGCTGGCGCAACTTGGCAAAGGTGAAATATATTCAGAAGAGTGGGCAAGTTTTTGCCCCGGCAATTGCCATGGCGGAACAGCGAACGGAGGAAGTGCAGGAAGTGATTGAGAATGAAATGAGGAAGGCGAATGCAATTCCATGGATCTCCCTTTTTAGTACAATTGCAAGGGGAAATTAATGCATTTCCCACACTTTTTGTCGCGTGTATTATTTTTTCCACTGGCGCACTTCTAGTTTTTCATCAAAATGCACATTCACGCGGACTCTTTGGTGGCTTTTTTTGTCCACTGTTAACACGTGGAAAATGACGATGAGTGTGAATTTCAAGCTCTTTTCGGAGTAATTAATTGCTTTTGAAGCATCTCGCTTCGGTGAATATTGTCAATTCAGCTTGAATATCCCATTATTTACACTCGTGCACTCCTTCTAACTGTCCATTCCACATATTTGTCCTGAATATTTATTGCAATTCGTATTATATTCATTCATTACACATTCAAATCACGCGCAGTTCAATCACACTCAAAACTCCGGGGTGATATCAATGGAATGAATTGCATCCAATATATTCATGAGTCTCTCTCTCTTACTTAATTTACCAGATTAGGATAATTTGTCCTCCTTTCCACTCATCAATTGAACATTGGTGGATTAAGGGAAGAGAGTGAAGATCCTGAAATTGATTCTGTGACAAATTCCAGACGCCTGAATAGGGAAGAAGAAGTGTGCGTGTTTCTGTGTGTGTGGGAAAATCCGCCTGAGCTCTTGAGAAAAGTGGAGAGGCTGAAAAGAAAATTTGTGATACAATTTCGACTATTTGGCAATCGCTTAATCATTTGGTCCTGCGGATTCCTTCGCTGGAAAGGGAAACAATCGAGTTGAATCCATTGAATCGAGATGGATGACTGTTGAGACAGTCGGGCCCAATTGAAATGGAAAATAAATGAATGGCCTGGGTCAGGAGTTTATCGCCACCAAAGGGGGGGAAAATCAATAGGCAGATGGAAAATGAAACGATCGTCTTATTTACTCTAGATTATATCATCAATTATATTCTCACTATATCATCATTTTATTGTTGAATTTTCATTTTAACTACAATATCCTCACACTTTTATAATGGATTCATTATCATCTTTTACATTTACTTTACTTTTTTTTTGGATAAATCCCCACTGAAAGATTAACTAGACTTTCTCCATTTTTCTTCACCACACGCGCGCTTGAGTTTCCGTTTCTTCTTTCGCTCTCACTCTCTCTCTCTCTCTCCCACTCTTTGTTCTATGTTAGTTTGAAAGGAGATTTTCATCTCATCTGATGTGAAAATGAAAATGCATTTTACACTCTTGCAATTCCAGAGATTTTATCGTCATGTACTAGAATTAAATACTAATCTCACCACTTAGTTACATCATTATCTTGATTTTCGTTTTCACTATATTATAGCATTTTATCTATTTTTCTTTCTTTTGAATACTTTTTGAGATTTCTTCGTCTATTTTCTTTATTATACTTCAAACACACTGCTTTTCTGTGAATGTCAAAAAGTTTCCTTCATAATCTTTTTTTTTTCTTCTTTTACTATTATATTGTTATCAATTGAAAATAAGCGACTATTCATTACAGTCGACACAAGTTTCTGGGCTGAGGAGATAAACTTTCTAAAATGGAATGTGAACAAACTCAAGTCTTACCTTCAATTTTCTCTTCAATCAATTATAAATTCTCTTGTCAAAACTTCAACTTTAACCGGGAAAGAGAGTTTAAACTATATTCTTCTTTCTTTTGATAAAATACTTGAATTCATTTCTTTTCACTAAATATTGTTATGTACATAATAATATATAATTTTTTTTTTTTTGAAAAATTTGCTTCTCTGATACACTACGGAAATACTATTTTTCTTTAAGGGTTACTTCTACCCTCCTCTTCTTTGAAGTATAGACATTTTTCCTCTTTCATCTCCTAAAAGTGGTGTTTTTTTTTATCACAATTACATTTAAGGGGTTTGTGTGGTTGATTTTTTATTCTTTTTCAACTTGGAGGAAGAGAAAATATATATATTATTGGCTACTGTGACTGTAAGTTTTCACCCCAACGATTGGCGGGAAACCCCAAAAGAATTTTTCAATGTCGATTGGATGCGGAAAAGTTCTCTTCACTCTTTTTTTTTCATTCTTCGGGAAAGCAATTCTTTTTCATTAATCATCTCGGTTTTCTCGCAAGTGCAATAAATTCTTTCTCCCAGGGAATTGTAATAAAGTTTCTGAGGTTTGGCGGTGGTGAAAATGTGGGGCGGGGTGGGGGAAGAGGAAATCAATGGATTGATTTTTTTGCTTTTGGTGGAAATCGAGGAGGAATCACAGAGATTAGAGTGTGAGAAAGGTGGGAAGAATTGTTCCCGGCGGACAAACTTGTCCCGGCTGAGAAGCTCTTTAAGTCCATCACTTTAGTCACGGATAAACACAAACTCATTGTAGTGATTCCATCGGTTCTCCTCCACGTCCACGCCTGGCTTCAGCTCCGTGGCCGCGCCGGCTGTGCCGGAGCCACAGCTGCCCGCCAGGCGGAAGCCCTGGTCCTGGAGCATGTCGAAGGCCTGCTCGATGAAGCAGTGCTTGAGGAAGAAGCGCGACGTGTACCTGTCCGGGCCGCCGTGGTCGGGATCCCTGGACTCGTTGAGCGTGTCGCCGAAGACGTCTCGGCAGAGCGCCACGCGTCCGCACACGAGAATCCTGGACAGCTTCCGGAATTTCACGTCGGCCAGGCCGTCCTTGCCGAACTGGAAGCTTCCGCGGTAGCCGACGGTGATGCATCCCGTTGGTCTGGCCTCCGACAGCCCGGAGAGACACTTCAGCAGTCCAGCCAGGCGGAAGTGCTCAGCCTCGCGCCGCAGTCGCTCGTTCTCCCGGAAGCCATCGGGCAGCGTGAGCGTGCCGTCGCGCAGATAGTCGAGGATGTAGCGGAAGAGAACACCGTCGCGATCGAGGAAGAAGCGCCCCTTGGCGTCCTTCTCCAGATCCGCCGCACTCCCTGTGAAAATCTCCGCCAGGCGCGAATCCTCGTCCGCCCGGAGCGTCTTCAGGGCGGCAGAATAGTGAACACCGCCAACATTGAGCTCCACCAGAGCCGGAAAACTCTCACTCATGATGACTCTCGCGTGTCACTGTTGTCTCTCAAATTACGGGGGTTTTGGTCTCGTGTGTACTTCCTCTCCTTGCACTGTGACTGCCTTCTTACATTGGCACTGAATGAGAATTCGGCGGAAAAATCGATTGCCACTTCCTGTCTTTCTCTCTCTCTTGTTGCGCTCTCGAAAAGTGTGACTTTTTATCCCTCCTAATGCACACTCTCACCCTTCTTACATTGGTGATCCGTGACTTGGTGAGAAATTGCTTAAAGAGGAAAATTCACTTTCCCCAAATATCAACCAACACACACACACGCACGCACACACCGCATGAACGGGGGTGGGAAAAAAAATAGAACTATCGCGCGAAACTGTGAGGATCAGCGGGAGAGAATTGGTCAATTCCAGAGCTTGTGAAAAATTGATTCCGACCAATTTTCCACTCGCTTTCCCCGTCGGAACTGCCTGGGCAGCACACTGCTTGCGATCCCACGGGCACTGTGAAAACTCCCACGATGGTTGTCCCTCTTTCACCGTTTTCGGCCTCTCCCCACGAATCCTGTGTGTGCCTCCCTTTTCCCCCCTTCCTGAGGGACACACAGAGGCAAGAAAAGAGGTGCAAAGAAGTGGAGAAGTGGAGCAACCAGTTAGCGATCAACTCACGTTTAGCTCCAGTGCACACAGTAAATAAACTGAAGGGAAAAAATTTCTCAAGCTCTCTCTCACTGAAATTTCCTCCACTCCGAACACACTGATAAGGGAAATATACACATCGAAATCACACACATTGTCACTGCCAGAGCTTTCCCGCCACGCACACTCTCTCGCTCTCACGGCGCGGAAGCTTTTTCGCTCAAGGGGTTAACCATGCTGGGAAAGAATTGACTAGATTTTGGACAAATCATCAATTAATGGCTACAATTTCACGTAAAAATATCTCACAAAATCACACTTTCTGGACAAATTTGGGGAGAACTTTTCAAATATCAAAAGCTCAGAATACTCCGCATTATTACCCCCTTTTTCCACACAGAGCTTTCATTGCCTCTCACTTCATATCGTCATATCTCTGCACGAGTGTATTTGTGTCTTCTTTGCCCACAAACCACCAACTTGGCTGGTAAATAAGTGGCAACGCGTATGAAAGGTGAAATTCTTGCTTTTGACGCTGTGTAAAATGCAAAAACCCTCTGAAATCCGCTCGACGGCGGAGCCAAAAGCTCCTTTTAGGACTTTCATGCGCTCGAGTGTGTTGGTGGAAAAGTGTGTTGCTTGCGCACAGCATCCGAAATCAATACGAGCACTTCTCCATCTCACTCTCGCACACAGCCTCAACTTTTCCACTGCTGGGAAAATTCATCCTATTGTGTGTATGTTCATTTTAAGTATAATTTTATGTTATACACTCCTCGCATAGTATTTCGTCCTGTCCCGCATGATCCTCCACAGATGAGCAGAAGTGGAATGAGGAGCCTTTTGCCCTCTTCGCCCCCTTTGAGAGACAGGAGAATATAAGGTCGCAGAGCCATGCTAAGGCCCGGAGACTTTGCAATGTGTTCAAATCGGGATTAAATGGGGATTACAATGCGATGAATAGTGATTAGGTTTGAGTTTCTCTGTCGCGCCTATCTTTAAACCTTGACTTGACAACCATTGAACTTGCTCGCAAACGCATCCATTCTGGGTATCACTTACCTTTCCTCCGCCACTCAGCATTGGAGCTCTTCTCGCCTCTCTGTCAATGCTCTTTGGGCGAAAATCTGAGACAGTGAAATATATTTTGTAGTTTAGAGATTTTGAGGCACTTGAAGTGGTTTTTCCTCTGTCCTCTTTCTCTCTCTCTGTCTTTCTGTGTGTATGGAAATGTGTGAAATCAACTGTGCAGAAAAATAATGGAAAATATACATTGTGAAAGGGAATTGGATAGGGTGAAACGAGCAGAAGCGAGGAGAGAACATTGATAATATTCCATTTGAACTTTGTGCAGAGTGAAACTCTTTTCCATCCTTGCCTCTCGTCACATCTTGATGTTGCCAACATCCCCACACACAGCTATATATACACCACTTTCCCTCGAGCCCATTGCCATTCGGCAACTCAAACAGTATCAAATACAATGGAATTTTCATACAAAGTTTCCATGAGGTCCTTTTGTTATATTAGCCCATCCACTTTCTCTCTCTCTCTCTCTCTCTGTGCGAAAAGTACACACGAGTTATTTTTGCGAAAAAGGGGGAAGAGAAACACGAGATAATGTAATTTAATTGTTGTACCCAACTTGAGTCGTCTTCGTGACAACCATTCTGCGCCAAAACACATTGATTGGCCGCTTCTTTGAGCCCACTTGCAAGACTGCGTGATTGATGTTCTCGCCTCTATTTGCCATCCTGAGGTCAAGAGAAACTTTTCTCCATCACTGCTCATCAACATGATGATTATTATGATGGTCGGGAGTTACTTTGCGGGCAAAAAGTGACACAAATCTGTCAAAAGAGGGACGCAAACTAACAATTTTCACATTTCAATTTATCTCCTGCTCTAGACAAAATTCCATGGGGGAGATAAGATATGCCTTAAATCTGTATACCACTTCTTGACACACTTCTGCAGTTTCTGTGCAGAATCTTCAACACTTCAGACACTTCTGAACGTCTTTGAAGGCATTTTTTACACTCATTTAATACCAGGAATTTGTTTGCCTTTCGAAAAAGCGTAGAAGAATTCTAATTTAATTGTTAGGTTATGAATCCTTCTTGGACGCATTTTAATCCTTTCAAACTTGAATCGATTAAATATTGTGAATATCAAAATATTTGTACTAGATTTTGGCACTTTGAAGCGCAAACCGCGGAAATCATCACGCAAAGAAACATTCTTCTAGACAGAAATGACATTTTTGAGGTTATGATTGACTTTCAAGCATTTTCTCAGCCAATATGAGATTATTTTGAACAAAATTACTCAAATTGTTAGGGAAATGTGAAATATTCCCAGATTAGACATAAATTTGATGGTTTTAAGGGTTAGAAAAGCATTAAAACATGTGAAACACTTCCGATCACAATATCTGTCCCTTTGGAGCATTCCAATCAAGATCGCCAATAGAATCTTGACCATTTCCATCTCTGTTTCCTAGTAAAAAGAATCTGTGAGGGAAAAAAACGTGTTCCTGTCGAGAGAAGAAGAAAAAACAGACAGCAAATGTAAAGTATTTTGTGCGGAAAACAGGGGAAATAGGAAAACACATTGGTGGTGGGTGAATTTGGGGTTGAAAGGGAAGAAAACACACAACCCCAAAAGCGAGATTTTGGCTGAACGTTTGGACTGACAGTGAAAATAAATGGGTCAAAGGGTATTCCGACGGAGGCGAAGCCGGAGAGTGGACAAAGTTGAAAATTTGAATTGCATTTTCACAATCCTTTCAGTCCCTTTTATTGTCATCCACCCATGCCAAGAATTCAATTTGGCCCAGAATAGCGTGGAAATTCACGCCGAGGGAGAGTTTTTCGCCTATATTTTCCTTTTCTGCCACTTGTGGGGAGACATTTTTCACACACAGAGAAATCATTTTTCATAATCTCCGTGCAGAGAAGAAAGTCACACGGAGAATCTGTACAAATTTCCACAATAAAAAAGGACTTCTATGAGCTCTCCTTTGCCACACACACACACACACGCGAGGGTGAAAGAGCGCCGAAAGGGGAAAAATGGTGACGGAGTGTGTTAAAGTGTAAAAGAGTGTCTCTGGAAAATGTAGATTAACTCAAATCATGTTTCTTTAATCTCTTTCTCTGGCTTCCGCCCGTCATAGAAGCGCCCTCGGGGGGTTGAGAGAGAGAGAGTGAATAAAAAGAAGAAAGATGGGGAAGGAGTGCGAAAGACACTTAAATTCCTTTACTAGCGATCATTCTGACATATTTTCCTCATGCGTCTTTATTGCGACTTCGCCTCACCCTCGTCATTAAAGCAACATTATTTACCACACCATAATCCCACTCTCTCTCTCTCTCTCTCATTCTCCTTCTCTTTTCCACGCTGATTTCTATGGGAATTACTGCACAGATCCGCGTACAAGCCTTAAAAATTCAATTTAAATCCATCCACGTGAAATTCCCATGCAATCATATATATTTTTTTCCTTTCGGTGAGCGCTGAAAAGGAGCACCTAGAGGAGCCTAATCCTATTGCAGAGTGAGGGCGGAAGGTGGAGAGCGAGACAGAAATTGTAATAAGATTTTTGCTTTTACATTTCTTACCCGGCAAGATTAAATCGATAGCAAATATATATTTGGCAATTTCGTGGAACGAATTTCTAATATATTTTAAGGTAATTTGACTTGAGATTCGTACTTGCCGTGAGCTATAAATTTAATTTTTGCCAATTTTCTCATTCCAATTTGCAATGTTATTTCAATTCGGAAAATGTGTGTGCTTTTTTCTCTCCCCTTTTTTGTGTGCGCGGCAAACCTAATTCATATTTCAACATTTCTAATGAAAAGGCCTTTTGACTTAGGCAATTTCTTTTTTTTTCTGGAGAAGAGAGAGAGAAAAACAGCGAAAAAGGCACATTTTTCATATATCTGTAATATATTCTTCTCCATCATCGTCACTCAGGCCGTGAGGGTGTTTTGGGGCTTTATCAAAATTGTTTATCAGCCACAACGAGAGGCGGCGGCGTTTGGGGCGCGCGCGAGGATATGACGAAATATGAAAAGTTGGCGGATGGCAGAAAGTGCGAGCTTTTGCCATGGCAGAAGTGTGTTGTGTGTATCTGTGATGGCCTGGTGAGTGGGAAATTCCAATAATGGGCCCTCCTGATGGCGAAAGGAAGGCCAGAGACACACAAAAAGCAATGCCCGACCAAATTTGTGCGGATGGAAAACTTTCAGCCACGGGTTCTGGGCTGTGATCCCTCAAGAATTCCATCCTGCTGCCCATCCTCTTGTCCTCCAGGCGCCCCCAACAGCGTCAGGGTGTCACTTTCTAAGCACTCTTCGTGCCTGAATTTACCTAATTTCGCCCTGACTTTCTCAGAGGGGGGAAAAGGAAAGTTTGTCGATTCGATATCTCAGGCTTTCTCTCGTTCCTCCCGCGTGTCTGCACTGCTAATTAATTTGCTGAAGAAGCTCAATTGGAGTATCATCAAATTAAATGATTTTCACAACATTTTCTCTCCTCACTCGTCTATTTGTTTTTCCACACTTTGCCCCCAACATTGGGGGTGCAAAAGAAGCGCCGCCACACCTCAAAACACTGTGCCCCAAACTCCGGAAAGGGAGGATCCAATTAATAGGAAAAAGGAGCTGCTCTCACAGTTTTTGAGTAATTACTTTTGCCTCCTTTCTCTGCTGCTGTCGCAGCAAATGGTCAAGTTAGGCAGAAGAAAGAGTTGACGAAATATTGGCCAAATTAAATACTGCAAAGTGTATTCGAAGAAAGCTCGTTAAAGTCAAGGAACTTGTCTCCTTTTGCCGCGGGGTTGGAAGAGTAAAATAACCAAAGGGATGTTAATTAAAAGTCCAATTACCGGAATGCTAAAAAGAAAGGGCCAAAGTGAATCAAGAGGTGATGAATTTAGGTGGAAAAAAAGGAAGAACAGTTTCTTGTCATTTCCCATTCCATCATTTGGGCTTTTCACAACTCATCATATTCATCCAATTTGCCATCGAAGAGACTCACTTCTCTTCCTCACTTCGTCACTATTTATGGCATTTTCCACGGGAGAAGTCAGGAGTTTATCTGAGATTTAAATAACCCCCTTTCATCATCGTCCTTTGACATTCTGTGTAGCCTTTTGTCCTTCCCGTCATGTGAATTCTGCCCCACTTTGCTCTCGCCAACCTCTTTCTCTCCTGATTAGCACGCCAGCGATTGAGCTCCGGAGGCTGTGAAAGAGAGTCGACAGCTTCAAAAGAGCCAACAGACAGATAGGCGACAGTACATGACGTGACAATTACGAGCCATAGTTTTTCTGCCATGAAAACACCCCAAATAAAAAGAGGGCTGATGAGAGAGAGAGATGAACAAATTCGCACACGTTTTTTTTTGTGTCCCAAAAACTAATTTGTAACATAAATTTTGTGGGTTTCTCTTCACGACCACGCTCTGTGGATTCAGTGCTAGAACAAATGAATGATGTAGAGCCTTAATAATTGGATTAAATGTTGTGTGTGTGTGTGTGTTTACTTCCTGGGGAAACTTCCTGACATGTTATAGTTGGGAACAAAAATAAACTTGTAATCTCACCTCGCCATTTGCCCTCCCACCAGTTCTCTTACTATAGTTTTTTTTCCCTGCTCCTCTGCTCCATCGTCATCCTAAATTATCATCATTGCACAGCATGAATTTTCCCATGGAAAGCGAGAGAGAGAGAGAGAAGGAGGAACGTGCGATGGCGTGGGAAGAAAAGGCCACCCAAGAAACTCACCCTCATGCGTCTTGTGTCTTTGGGGAATCATGCGAAAACGAGGATTTTGCAACAGGATTTTCTCCTGTGCCGCATAAATATTTGATAAACCGCACCATCCAAATGGATTTCCTATTAATTTCCCCTATTCCTCGACAAAAATTCAATTTAATCCACCCAGAGTGTCTCTTGAAACTTAACTCTGTCACAAACTTCATTCGAAGCTCTTCCATTTCATGTAATGCTTGAAGAATTTTTGTGCTGTTTTTTTTTTCTTTTTTGGAGAGAGTTTTTCACTGACTAAAACAGCCCTGATTGTGAGATTAAATATATCCCACGTTTGCAGTGAATGGAGGAAAGAGAGGAAGATGATTTCTAGTGAGGACTAATTTAATTTTCAGTTTGGACTGCTCATCATCTGGCGCAGGAGGAATTTTCCATCGCGCACGCCGTCCAAGGAAGGGCAAAAGAAAAAGTTCACAGAGACGCAGAGGAGTGGCTTAAGAGGCTGAAGAATAAGGAGAAGAAAAAAAACCCGTCGAGGAGGAAAATATCCACACTGGGAATTATTTTAAGAAAATTTACAATAATAGTATAAAAGGAGGCACGAAAAAGTCCACCCATCGCCCAAGGAAAAGCTCTCCTGAGAGACTCTTGTTCGCATACAGTTTTTTTTTTCTTCCGACCCACGGCAAAAAGGAGGAAAATTATGGTTGTTTGTCGTGTCACGCAGAGATTTGGGGCTCTTGGAGCGGCTTTTGTTGCTCTTCGCCTTTTGTCCACCACATCAAGGTATTTCTGCTGCCTTTGGCCCACTCACTTTCTCTCCCTCTCACTCTCTCTCTCTCCCTCTCTCTCATTGGCAAGCTCTGGGGGAGGAAAAGCGGGTGGCCTAAAAGGAAAATATGTGACAGTGGTTGAAGAAGAAAAAAATTTATAATTACCCAACCGAGTGGATAAAAAATATTTCCCTGGTATTTCTTGGCATCCCTCACAGACCAATAAAACTCCTCCAAGCATTATTTTCCTCCAAGACCACGAGAGAGTCTTGAGAGAGAGAGAGAGAAAGAAGGAGCAGGAAATTTATTTGAGTCCAAAACTTTTGTGAGCTTTGTCGCTGCTTCGCTTTCAGGCAAATTGCACACAAATTTACAAAGTATTTTCTGGGCATACAATATATATATATACACATATATATGTATGTAATAAAATAAATTGAGAAATCGAGAGCACGAGTGAGACAAAGTGAAGCTCTTTGATAATGAAATTGTCTCAAGAGAATCTTTTCGCATAATTAATTCAGGCAATTTTGAGGAAAATTGTGCTTAATTAAATAATCCATGAAGTGACTCAAGGATGAAGATTCCATGGGTTTTTCGTATAGCAACACTTCCCCTCAATAATTCACATTGAAAATCTCATCTAAATATTATTCATTCAGTTGAAAAGATGGAAAAATTTTCACCCCCCCGCCCATGCATGATGTGCCAGTGAATATTCCTGCAAATTAACACACAACAACAACAGCAGAGAGGGTGAGAGAGAGAGGGTGAGCTTTTTGCCATGCGGCTCATAAAAGCTGTGGCGCGCGATAAAAAAAAAGAGCTGCCCACTGATTAATTATCCAGGCGCAATGCTGAAGCACGGCGCTGGCTAATAAAACGTTAAATTAAGACTGGCAGGAGAGCAGAAATTCCGCAGATAAAATTTTAATGAATATTCAGGGACTCCGTGTGGCTCTGGCCGTGAAATTACCGTGATAATAGTGTCCGGCAGTCACTGTGCTGAGGGATGATGAATGGGGCGAGCTCACCTGTGCTGTGTCCTTTCCTTTTGCAGAGTGATGGCGTGCTCAGCCGACCAGGGTGACCCCAAGACGGCCACGTCCGTGTATGACTTCACGGCCAACGACATCAAAGGACAGCCGGTGAGCCTGGACAAATACCGCGGCCATCCGCTCGTGATCGTCAACGTGGCCTCCAAGTGCGGCTACACGGCGCAGCACTACAAGGAGCTCAATGAGCTCTACGACGAGTTCGCAGAGGCCAAAGGTCAGTAACAGGATCAAATAACATTCAGCTAAGGATAAATTAACGACTCTATCGTGGAAGATTGCCATTTATCAAGAGAACAAGTTGAGAATTTAGCGTTAAAAAACGCTGCGAAATTGACTAAATTTACCTCAAAACACCTTCTAATCGTCCATTAAAGGGCTAATATTGCTCTGTAACAATTATTTTGTGAATTTTCCAGCTCATTTTATTGCTATTTATAAAGTGAAGTTCTTAAAGTACTTTTTTTTTTTAATTCTCAATTTAGAAAAAAATGAAAATATATGGCAAATATTGTGTTCATTCAAAATCTAAGAACATTTTAGGAAGATTCGGAGAATCTAAAATTAATATGCTTATCAAAGAAGCCATTTTTCAAAGTAAAATATCTAAATTTTTTAGCAGTTAAACAGAAGAAGAGCTTTTGAAAAATACATAAAACATTTCCGACTTTTCATTGCAAAAATACGCTTAAATTTATACTTTCTGGGGACGTTTTTGACCCTCAAACTCAAATACGATTGAGAGATATTTAATTAATTTTTGCTCAAAATCTCGCTAGAGCAAAGTTAGGCGATGTTTTTTAGACAGAATCTGGCAGTGAGTGAATAAAAATCACCAATTTATAGTCATAACTGAAATGAAAAAGCTCTTAAACTCAACTATGGCAATAACTACTTATTGCCGCCGTAAGATTACTCTATTATGCTGGCAAACGAGAGGACTTAAAATTACTGCCACACTCTCTTCACTTCCCTGTTTATTGTCCAACGACAAAGAAACCCATTTTCTAACTGTAGGAGAAACAATTCTCTGCAGCTCTTTACTTAAATTGGAGGAAACTTTGAGAAATATTGTGGGAAATTACACTTTTTGTGCCACACAATATAAGGAGGAGAGTTTTCCCAGAGAATTTCATTTGCTCAAGAGCAAGAAACAGGACAAAGACTGAGTGGATTTTTGTCTCGTTGTGATGTGAAACAATATGCTCAGTTTGACGTGAAATTCAATATAAGTTTAATCATGTTGCAGGTCTGAGGATTCTCGCCTTTCCCTGTGACCAGTTTGCCCATCAGGAGCCGGGCACAAGTGAGGAGATTGAGTGCTTCGTGCGTGATCGAAAGGTGAAATTTGACCTGTTCGAGAAGGTGGACGTCAATGGGAAGACGGCTCATCCTCTGTTTGAGTTCCTCAAGAACAAACAGAAGGGGACGCTGTTTGACTTCATCAAGTGGAACTTCACTAAGTTCATCATTGACAAGGAGGGACAGCCGGTGGAGAGACACGGACCGAGCACCAGTCCGCATGAGATGAGGAAGAATCTGGAGAAGTACTTCTAAATCACTTCTGCAACGGCCAATTTAATTGACACACGCGCAACTTTTCCTATTACCCCAAATTCTCTTTGATACGCGAGGTGCGAACCTAATCAATATATATATACGTTCTCTTTGCCACCTCTTAGGCCTCTTAGGCGTCTCTGGTAGTTGAAGTTCTGCTGAAGAAATATAACTTTTTTTATCTATGTACTGCTGCTGAAGTCAATAAATATGTTCTTTTTTCTTCGCGCCCTCTTGAAGAGGAAGAAAATGAGGGCGCGCGCGTGAAAATTCTTAGCAATGTGTGACATCTTCTTAGAGCGATTACAGCGATTACAGACAAGCCGATTATCCATGGGAGATTCAGCAAGAACGCGAGTATGACTGACACTTCGCTTAGCCACAAAACGCGAATAATCCCTCGATATATCGAAGGTTCAGCTGTTTTTTGGAGGTTATCGAAAGGCAAAATGGCGAATCTCTTGCGAATGATTTCCTGGATTATTAAAATCATCAAATTCTTCTGCGAATCATCAATTTTCGCAATTTTAACGTTAAATTTCACGCTTTTGAAGTATGCAAATCAACTGACAGCTGAACAACTGAAACACAATGAAGCAAAATTGTCGCTAGTGTCGAAAAAGAAGAATAACTCCTGAGTGTGTTTAGCGCCAATTCATCCACGAATTATCGCTGATCCGACCTTTACACACTCCAAACTCTCACGGACGATTGATCCGAGTTCGCGCCGATTCGAGGATAATCGGCAAGTCTGTAATCGCTCTAACTCTCACGCTCAACTCTTCAATTTAGATGCAAATTGATTGACATTCTTCTCCAGCCGCGCGTCTCACACTCCGCAATGGGGAATTTCATTCCCGACTTTTCCCGAGGAGTTGAATGAAATTGAGAAATGGCCTCATTTTCCACTCACCCAAATATATATTCACCACTTTGTGAGTGAATTCAGCATTTCATCTCCATTTGCGCGCTCAGACAAGTGCACTTTTCAGCATTTTGCATCATCTGCTGATTATGTGGAATGAAATTTATCAGACAAAGAGGATTTTTCGACGTGCTTTCCTGAAATGGGCGGAATTGCAAGTGCTGAGAGAGAATGAACTTTGTGAACACATCACTGGGAAAAGGAGCAAAATGCAAATGAAATTGAATTTGTCACACTGAATGTCACATGAAATTCACTACCTGAAAGTCTCTCTTTTTCTCTTTCTCTATCCATTGTGAGCTTCTTTGGCAAAAGGAAATGCTGGAATTTTCATGAGAATTATTATAATTATACTTTATGTATTAACTCCATCATGTGTGCCTGCTTTTATTGACTCTTCTTGCTTCACTGTCACGTGCTTAAGTAACTTTTCATCTCTCTCCCGACGAACCTTTCCTCCTTTTGACAAACTTTCAGAAGTTTTACATGTTTTGAGAGCGAATAACTACAGAAAATTAAACTCATTTATTCATTTTCTCTCTCCGGCCCTAATGTTTAATAATTTCTATTACGCAAGTGCGCCTCAGATAGATTCATAGCCAAATTCACTGAGAGCTTCCTTAAAGTTGCCTTACATCCTCCAACATCGTCCTTAGTCATATAAACCATGCGAAATATTTAATATGCGGTCTTCGTATGCGTCTTGAGCGCACATTTCTGAGGGTGAGCGACATTAATTTAAATTAAAATAATAAAATGAGAATAGTGCGAGTGTTTATTGTCGGCACGAGAGTGGCTCAGCTGCTGCAGCACATCTCAGGAGTCTCGGAGATTATCTTTATGGCTAATTCAGGCTTCCTTTTCCCACGCATCGCATTGTCCAAATTGGCCTTTATTTTGCACCTTTCCCGGGCAAATACACACTGTTTTATTCATTGAATGGTGCGGCCCAAAGTATTGATTACTTGTGCCCGAACGACGTGCCGATCTTGTCGAGATGAGCCGTGCTGGATGTCGTGTTCAGGACATTCGCCATTGCTGTGCTCCTCGACTCGGACTCCGCCTTGGACGATGAGCCCTTTGAACCTGTTGAGCCGCCACTGCCATGAACGCGAACGGGCTTCGTGGTGATCCAAACGTTCAATGCAAATTTCAGCTCTGCCTTGAATGCCTCCCACGGCGTTATCTGCCGCCCAGCATCGCCATGACCGATAAATTGACCGTCCGGGCGCCCAATTCCCCAGAACATAACCAGGCATCGAGGGTTTTTGGTGAGTGTGTTTGCATGGCAGAGATTTATCGGCGCGCCCGGTGGGATGTGTGTTGTAATTGAATTAAAAGGGGTTGGAGGAAGAATTAAATGAACATTAATTCTCTCATTTAATTCTCAATGTCACTTCATGGTAAACAACATGAATTTATGCGAAAACATAAGCGTCGTTTTTAGGCACAAAATGCAAATAATTTCGCAATATAGGCACAATATAGGCACAAAATCCGGGAACCTTTTCAAGTGGTTTTTCATTTAATGTCACTCGATTATAACTGGAAATTGTCAACCACCTAAAATAGCCTCTAAAATGCTCATAAAATCAATGCACAAAATGTATGTTATAAACGCAAAATTTAAGCCACAAAAAACCCCCACTAAAAACGAAACGATAAGAATGTGAAAAGTGGAGAAAAAACTATATAAAAACAGTCAAAAGGAATGCAAAACACAGAGAAAATATGATCGATTGAGTATTGACAAATCATCATAAAAAATAAGGCTCCATCGGCAATTTTTCTCCAAGGAGATGAAGTCTCCTTGAGTCACTTCAGGCGCGCGGAGCGAGAAATCGACAGGAAAGTGGAGAAAAATGTGGCAAGAGGGTGGAATAAATATATGCGGAGGGCACACGAGCCCAGGAGGAAAAGCAGCGATTCTCAAAATTCACATCCTCAAGTATCATCAAGTATTTCACCTGAGTGGCTTTCAAGGTTGAATTGTTGACTGTTTTGCAGATGCGAAATTCAACCCTCTTTTCTCTCACACACACACATAGCGAGAGCTTTTTCTCACGCCTCCCTGGCGGATTCTGGCGATACGCGCGGAAGATTAGGAAGATGAAAGCTCATGCGATAGCAAAAGGGAGAAGAGGTTCTCCTCTTATCATATCTCGTGCAAGTGATACAAAAAGTAAATCATCAAGGTAAATAACTAATAAATTATGTGTCAGAAGTGACTTTTGCGTGTCTCTCGGCTCTTCCTCCTCTGTCAACAATGTAAACAGGCATATAATCTATTTGCGCCCCCCCAAAATTGCCCACAAAGAAAAGCACACAAATTTTCTCTCTGTCTCACAACAGAAGCACTCCATGCAGGCGAAGAAAAAAAAGGTGAGAAATAGCACGAGTGGAGGAGGAAAAAGTTTAATAAAGCACATGAAGATGCGAAAAGTGAAGGAGAATAATAGACAGTTGAAAAAGCAGCACGCATTGGACGAGAGAGAGAGAGGAAAAATGAAAGAAAATTCAAATGACACTCACCTTCTCATCCACAGCCACTTGACGGCAATTCCAGAGGAACTCGAAGATGCCGATCATGAGAGCCACGGAGCATCCAGAGGCCAGGACAACAAAAACGCCACCCACATTATCGATTCCCAGTTCGGCGGCGCTATCAGATGAACTTGTCGTTTCCGATTTACAGCGTCCTGGCGGAGGAAGAAAGAGAGCGAGAGATGCTGAGAAATGGGCAGAACTCTCATCATGTGACACTCACACACAGACCAGAAGCGCCCCATTCTCTGGGCAACCCATTTAATATCACTCAAAGGCAATTGCCCGCAACCAAGAGCCAGAGGCTAAAGCGTTCTGGGAATTTCCTTCAGCCAAAGGACATTTCCACCCACGCGCAAATGCCTAATCAAGCAGTTTAAACTCTCACATTTCATCAGTCTTCTTCGCTCTGTCGCTGATAAAATGCCAAAGCTCGATAACCAGTGAATAAAAGTCGTTCATAGAGAAATTACAAGGGGGAGATAATGGACTAGAAGTGGTGTACAAATCAGTAGAACTCTTGCAAATTATGCAATATTTCGCTCACGACGTTCATTATTTGACTCTTAGAAATTAATTTTAAGCCAAATACTAATTTTGACATATTTTTCTAGGTTATGTGACTGATTTAAGACTAAATAATATCTTAAACTAGGCAATTTGGAATCTAAACTGTAAGAAATTTCACTTTCTCAGTAGAATTGCGTATTTTTACTCAATGAAAATCGTGATTTTGGAATTTAGAATATCAAGAAACGATGCTTAAGTCAATCATAACCTCAATTTTTCACTAAACAGGAGCGATTTCGAGGTAGAAACGTAAAATTTAATGGTTTCACTTAGATTTTAGTTAATTTTTGATTGAATTTCATGATTAAGAACTAAAATTTGGCACAATATTACAAGTTTTCGCCTCTTCACGTGTTTAGGATTTGTCATACAATTTATGAATCGCTTTGTGACTTGTCAAAGACATTAAAAGAGTGTAAAATTGAAATTCTTGCAGTGTAATCAGCCAAAAGAACAATTAAAAGAAGAAAATCATGAAATATTGTATAAAGTTAGATTTCCTTTAATTTCAGTCTTATTTTAAACACTCCATTAAGTCTGAAGTCCTGGAAAGTGTTAAGGATGCTTCAAACAAATAATATCTTCCCCTTGAGAAATTATTACAGCTAAAATGTCAATTCTCTTTCCCTTCTCTTTATGACAAATGGATCTTCTATGGATGGCAAATCGCTTTTTAATTAGCCACATTATTTCATTGAGCATTAGGCAAAAATGCAATTTGCTGGAGGAGCTTTGGCAGAAGCTCTTTTTATTTATTCCACCCTTTTTGCCAAAGCCACCAAACAAATTAGATTCACGTGCTCTGAACAATTTACTATTTCTTCCCGACATCACGAAAACATTCTTCCCGGAGACAAGAAACTTATTAAAAATAATCCAGGACATTTTTCTCATTTTAATACCCGCGCGCGCGTCCGCAGATGAGGAGGAAAGTTGAGAAAGATCCTGGGAAAAATTGTGTCTTATTTTTCACGTGGGGTTTTTCCGGCTCTTCTTCCCTTCACATTTTCCTTTTCTCTTCCCTCGAGTGGCAACATAATGAGAAAGAGCTTCCGTGTGATTTTCTCAGAAGAGAAAAAAAAAACTTTTCTTGTCATATTTCAACAGATTTCCCGATTTTTCACTCTCTTTCACTCACATCAGAAAACATCGTGCATTATTAATTCCACTTCCTCTCTTCCTTTGACTCTCTCTCCTAGGCACATATTTTGGGGCCCCAAAAAGTGAAAAACCCATCAATTTATGGGTTTTGTGCGTGAGAAACTTTCGACTCTCCTAAAAATCGCAGTTCAGCGACTCTCTCGCTCGCTCGCTTATCTAAAATGTAGGAATTTTATCGACATTTCATGTGATTTAGTGTCTAAAGGCACACGAGTCTCCCGAAGGGATTTTCTCTCATGCAGAAATTTCAACTCCAAAAAGGATGGAGTGCCTTTCACTCATCCCAGGGAATCCATAAATAAAATGGGTGCGCGCGTATGTTGTATCTCATGGTAATTCTCACTATAAACACTCTAAAGTTAGGATGCTGCGGCAGCAGATAAATTATTTTGACTCACCATCTTTCCACCACTTTGTCTTCAGCTGATGAAGTTTTCCCTCTTCTTGCATTTTTAACACAGCACCGCTAATTGCCGTTCTGTAGGGCGAATCTGTTGAGTACACACGGAACAAGAGCTATATAGGCATTCATTAGGATTTCATGAGCCGACAAACTAGCAATTTGGCTGAAATATTTCCACACACACTTCTGCACGACTCTCGCTGGGTTAATCCATTTCAATTTTTCGCAATCCCCAGCGATTTGGGGGATAAAAATCAATGAATGGAAATATTACTCCCACCCCAAAATTCATAGGTAAGGAGCATAAAATTCACGCATAACCGCACAAGAGAGAGAGAGTGAAGCTTTACACGGCTTCGGCCGAGAGTTGGGGGAGAAATCGATACAAATTTTCAGTGGTTAACACGAGAGAGATGCCCAATTGAAGGCGCCTTTTCAGCCAGATTGAACAATCTCACAGATTACAGATGGCAAATTCCACACTCTGACCACCACTCAACTCTGCTTTGGGGACAATTTTATTCACCCCCGTAAAGATCAATTCACTTTATTATCGAATACAACATTTCCGCCCAATTTTATCACCATATATAAAGATTAATTGAAAAGATGTAAATAAAAATTGTGGTCACAATCAATAAAATTCACAATCCGCAAATTGTGGACGTCTTTCAATTCAAGCCACTCAACAAAATTTTACTGCCACCAAGGGCGATTCGTCGTGGCCCAACCCCTGGACTGAGAAAGAGAATTAGTGAATTTAGTCACGAGAAAACTTGATGAATTACCCCGTGAGTGTGGGTCGAATGAGAAATTCATCATGCAAACTAATTCACTCGTGCATCCACTTAATCCCAAACCCCGGACTGTGTGACGAGAAACTTGTCCTCTTCTCCAAACCCACGCAGAGAGTCGCAAATTAACTCCGCAATCCCACCCCAATTTACCTACATTGTATAAGAGATATTTTTATAAATTCTTAATTAGTGATTCCCCACTGGAAATTCCTCGCTGAAACGTGCCATGAATTATTCCCAAACCCCTTTGGATGCAATCTCAATTCCCTCAAGAGCTCTTTGCCCACCCCAATTGGGAGGGGGTGGGAAAAAAGACATGCTAAAATTCCAATAGAAAAGAATCCTTTTCACCTCAAAGGCCATCAAAGAGAAAATTCTGAAAAATCTATCAAAAGAGTGTCTTTTGAGAACTCTCGTTTCCTCTACTTTCACATTGCAATTCAGTAGATTTTTTCCACCCTCTTGCTTTGCTTACTTCTGTGTGTGAAATAGAGTGAATGCGGAGCTCCAACAGTGCCCCAACAAATTATACATTCACCCGATAGGGCGGAAAAAAAATCCCATGATTGATTTGCGGAAGGGACGCGATAAGGAGTGACGGAAAAACATGGCACATACTGACTGGCATGGCGATTCCATATCCTTTGCTGTCCAGCAAGCCACCGACTTGCATCAGATCGCAATTCCGCTCCGTGATGTATTCCAGCGTTGTGGATTCCATCAGGAAGGCGTACAGGCGCTTTCCCTTCTTCACGCGCTCCATTCCCTCATTGTTGTCCTTGGCGAAGACTGACGGCCGGGCGTTCTCCATGGCGGCCCACATTCGCTGATAAGTGGAGAAATTCGACTCCTGGCCAGCCACCGAGAAACAGATAAAAGCCAATGAGAAAAGGGGGAAAAAACTGCCAGAGAACTCACTCAATAAATCGCAAAATTTAACAAGTTACCCCTATTGCATTACACTTCACAGTTCTTCTCCCGCTCTTCCCTCTAGACATCACCTAAGGGGTGAATAAGCGTGACGATCACAGTTCGCTTGAGTTTCCATCGACCACAATCTTTCATTCCTTGCAAATATATTGCAGAAACACGAGAAATTTAATGAATTTCGATTCATATTAAGTGTAATTGAAAGCACTCAAGTTTCTTTAGCATTCCAAATACCAAATGATCAGCGTAAATTGCAAATTGTCTTGAATCTTGTCTTGCATCTTCCCAAGCAACACGGCGTCTAGAAGTCTTTCGCATTTATATAGCAAAGCCTAGAACTACTACAAAAAGGTGCCCAAAAATTGGTCGGTTCTGGGTAATTGAGCATACATTTGTCGGTCATATAGAATACTCATACGACTCGATTCCAACCGCGAACTAGCACATACGATCGACACCGAATTTGACACTCGGGCACTGTTCGGCACCGTTTTGGGCGCTAGAGCGCGCTGAAATGTGTCTTGAGACTCTAATTAATTGCATATTAAACGCAAAAGTTTTCATATGATTTCCTCGAAATTAACTAACTGTCACATTTTCCGGTCTGGTCATCCTTGTGTCACTTGGGAATTGTCTTGAGTTAAGAACGAGAATAGCTATTAAAGTAATCAAACTTTGAGCAGTTTTGTAGTTGAATTTGAAATAGAATTGAGACATCTATTTCCCCCTTGGATTTTCCTCAAATTGCACAAGAAAGAGGGAAGATTGGAAGGCCCTCCACTCCATTAGCTTCTCAGATTTAAGCACTTTGGAGAACAATTAGATGAAAATGCTTCAAGTATTCCAACATTGAAGTAATTGCAGCTGAACATATGGAAGGATTCCAATGTGAATACTATGTGAAAACTTCAGCCAAAACCGCTGACAATTAAATTCTTGTATACTTTGAGATCCTATTAAATGATACCATCCTTGACTTGCGCTTCAGTGACAGTGAAATTCTCTCTAATTTAGCACTGTGGCATCCACTCTAATATCGCTGTGTGTAGCGAAATACAAAGCGTATATTCCTTTCAACTTCTGAAGGGTAATTGGATTTTCACAGCAAAATATTATACTATTTCCCTCGATATTCTCAAGCGCGCGCGCGCCGCCCATCTTGTGCAGACCATAACGAGCCCCGAAATTGATGAGATTCTCAAGTTTTCTTTGAAATCTCGCCTCAAAGTTTTACACATCTCTCTATAAAATTAAACGTCATCGACAGAAGCTAAAAATAATTGCCTTTTCTCTCTCTCAATGCAATCGATTTGGCAAAGAACAAAAGCTTTTCTTCCGCTTTATCATGTTTTATCACAACAGTTTATAGATTTTCCACTCTCTCTAGCTCTAAATTTCTAAAACTTCCCTTCAACATTCTGTGCGCGCCTGCAAGAGGGTGAAAACTTTCCACCAACTTTCTGTGACTTCGTTTTATCATCTTCACCTGAGTTGCCCTGGCGCAAATGGACTCACCTTGAACATTTGCAGCGTACTGCCTCCGATGACGGCACCGTACTTTATCTTGCTTTGCTTGGCCAGATCCTCGGCACTCTCAATGGTGGCGTCCATTCGCTCCATGGTGAGGAAGGCGGCGAGATTTGCCGTGTAGGATGACAACATAATTAATGCGAAGAACCACCACATCCCGGCCACAAGTCGCGTCGAGATTGCCCTGCGGAGGAGGCCAAGATTCAATTTCCTCAACCTCAACAGCGAAAAAGCGCCAACATCAATAATCTTCCATTGTGTTTCCTCTGTCATTGGCCACTATTGCACATTAATCGCATTCTCCAGTGTCACGCTGCTCCTTCTCTCTCGATCGCCCTCTTCATTCCTCCTTTTTCCGCCCCCTTTTTGCAAGTTACAAGAGTGCAAAGATTGAAGTATATATCTTCCTCCGGCGGGAGAGACAAGCGACAAATCCCCAATGAGATTTGCCAGCGTAGCCAGAAATGCAAATGATCCGACAGAGGATGGAAAACACTCAGCCACAATACCTCAAATTGCTCATCAAATACTCACTTTGGCAGAATGTCCGAGCCTTTCGTTCCATCCGGCAGTCAACGAGTCATTCATTAGAGTGCCGCGCCAGGATGAACATGAGATTAGAGATTGTTAATTGCAAGAATAAGCGGAAATTTATGCTAATTTGCCCTCCTCACCTTGACCCATAATGGAGCCCATTGTCAGCCACGTACAGTTGCGCATATTCCAAATATTCTCCACTTCCTCAGGCTCCTGTGCGAAAAAGGGATACAATCATAGAGTTCATTAGAATACAACACTCTCAGCAGCCATCCTTGCAAGGATACCTAATAGCCCCTCATGGGAACTTAATCATCAATTAATTAAGGATGGGAAAACATCAACCACACAAATTCACATTCTATTTTCATAGAGCTTTTCCAACCCCCAAACCATGCTTACATATGATGATTAAAGAGAGCGGAAAAAGGTTTTTATTTCTCTGTGGCTTTCATTCTCCCATTCTTCTTCATTTGCGGCACACACACAGACACACACACATGTGAAAGGCAAGGATAAAATGAAGGTTTGTACCGTGTTGCACGGATGAGGATTCTCCCAGTCGTCCGGTGCCATTCTGGCCAGCGCGAAGAGCAGCACAGAGACACCAAGATAGGCCGACGCCATATAAATCCACACATCCAATGACAATGGACTGAGGAATGAGAATAAATCCGGAGGCTAAATAATTTACACATAATTAATTTTTTATTATATCACCTCCAAAAGCTCTATCGAGAGCCCGTGTGAGAAGGGAAATGGGCTCAAGGGGTGGGAATTGTTTGGGGGAGAAAGAGAGTGAGTCATTTAATTCTTCGGGGCATTTAATTTGCCTCTCTTTTTTCCTCCGCCGCCGCCGGCCGTAAAATGGGCGGAATTCCAATGGACAGTTTCAAAATGGGGGAAAGAAAAAAAATCTCCCAAGAATTTCGCCATCCATTGAGCCAATTTCTCGGTCATTTCGCCGTCAAATGGGCAAGTTAAGTGCCCCTTGAGAGAGGGTGGCAGAAAAAAAGTGGTATACTGAACCTGCTTCACTGGCTTGGCGTACAAAATACTGATGCCCAGGGTCATGAAGGGCATCGTAAAGTCCACAGCAGTTCGCCTGTCGTAGGTGATTGTCAAGTCGCAAATAGCCAAGTCAGCTTTCTGCATATTATAACCAAAGCCGGCATTAATAATACAACAAATATACATTCTCCCTCATGGATTTTTCCATCATCATCATCATCCCCAAGGGCCTCAACTTCCCCCAGAGAGAGAGAGAGAGAGGAAGAGGCGGAGAATCAATTGGCAGAGCAACTCTGCCATCACAACTACACAATCATGAGGTAAATTGGTCAATTTGAGATGGATTCAGAGACTCACCCGATCCAGGAGCTGCTTCACCAGTCCATCCCACTTCTTTGTGACTTTGTTCAGTGACCCGTACCTGTTGTCCGGCACCAATTCGATCCGATAGGCGAATCCCAGAATCTTGGCGATGCCATCCATCAAATCGAGTGAGTATCCTGTGTAGCGTGCATTGCCCTCAAAGTACTCGCCCTCCTTGGGCTCCCTGTGGCGGAGGGATTGAGGAAGTGAGACAGAAGGAAGCAATGATAAGCAAACACGCGAGCAAAACGTACCGCACTGAGAGAAATGGAGCACCAATACGTGACGCCACAATGAAGGTTTTATTCTGCAGGGATTCGAAAATCTGCGAATCGACTTCACTCTGAGTTCTTGTGTAGTTAATTCCATGTGTTGGATCCCACTTTGCTGTCAAGAGGGGGAATAAGTTATAAGAAATCCTCCTGTAATTAACTCAAACATAGACAGAAAGAACTTCTCTCACCAATTCTCTTAAAGCCATCCTTTGACGATTCGATGATCTCCAGCTCGAAATACGTGCGCCGACCTTGCAAATTAGATTGTTTGTAAATAGAAGCGTCATGTTTAGTAATTCAAGAGGTGAAATTTAACCCTTTAGCAGCGGCAAAGCGCGCCAGACTTTTGCCCCTGTGTAGAATGAGCATGAAAAAGGGCAAAAGTGGCCAAAAATCTCGCCTCACTCTCACCTAAATCATCAAATGTGATTGGTCCTGTGATGCCATGTTCAGTCTTCTGCACAATACACGCCAGGAAAATGTGCGCCAGCGAGGGAAGAAATGTGGTGAGATGTGTCCGTGACACGTGAGATAGGCAAAAGTTTAATTACCAGCTTCATGTAGTTGACAATCCTCAGTCCGTGTGGCCATTGCGACGGGTGTTTGCAACTCATCGGCACTGCGAAAATCTCCTCTGAGCTGTCCAACTCCTGCAGAGCGGCCGCAAAAGCGCGCACAGCATCGTGAACCACGGCGGGCTCGGTCTGCAAGCATCCGGATTGCTTCACACACAATTCCCATGCATTGCACTAACGCCTCACCTTTGCATGCTCCGGCGAGACGCGGAAGAGGCGATTGAAGCGCTTCTCACCCTCTTCCCAATCATGCACGGCATTCCTCAGTTCATAACTCTTCGGATCAATCAGACGCAGGCTCGTGATGTTGGAACGGGCGAATTTCAGCTCCTCAAAATCAATCGTGTGCGTGTTGAGAGACGTTATAACGTAGCTCTGCAAGGCAGAAATTCATAAATAAATTGATGAGCACTTTGGGAAGATTGCAAAATGAATACTTGATAATCTTCCAGTAGTTTCACTTCGCGCGCCTGCCGAAGAATGTCCAGGATCTTGTCTGGTTCGCAATCCAGCACAATGTTGTTCTCGCCAGACGTCTGAATCTCCTTCAGCAGCGGTCTGTAGTCCGGATCCTCGCCCAGCTGGCGCACAGTTATCGGGCTATCCTGAGGCCCATGAATCTGCAGGACATCCTTGAGACGCATCAGACCCTCGTCGGTCTCGTAGATGATTGTGAAGCTCTTCCAGCTGTAGTCCACGAGCAAGTCGGCGAGCGCACGTGACAATACATTGCTGTCCGGATAGACATTGAGCGTCATTGAGCCAATGCTACGCTGGCCACCGAGTGGCTCTGGTGACCAGTGAGTTATGATGTGTGGCACTTCCATTGTGTGACAAATGGCACTGGCAATTCCTGCGGATTTAGCATCAACAATTACACACACACTTGGAATGCGAACCCTCAAACGTCGCTCCGTGTCGCATTGTTTCCGATGGACGGATGTGATTGCACCTAGATTGCACCCTCATGCGTAACGAGCACCGCAGCCCGCGTCAGTGATAGAGGCCACCCACTGGGCGTCAGGCTCATTGAGGTGTCATCGGGAATCATCAGTGTCACGCAATATCGATTGTCCGGGAATTTAGGAAGACGACCAGGGAAGGAGAATAGAATATTGTGCATTATGGAAATTCACCAAATGCATTTCAATGCTTTTCCACTCCATTCAAATTAATATTCTGTATAAAATCGGTGCTTTTAATTACATTTCGACGGGTGAAAACTAGCAAAAGTCCAAATTGTCACTCCTGATAGACTAATTTCTCTGCAAACTCGCACTTATTGTCCATTAAATTGATAATATGAGTGAATTTCAATTATTTTTAAAACCTTTCAGTTGATTTCATTAGTTAGTTATTGAAATATTAACTAAAATATGCAGAATTGATAAATTAATTCACAATATTAAGTGGAAAAAACCTAAACAGTTCGTAAAGAGCTAATTTTCACATTTTTCCTGTACAATTTACAATTGCAATGATGAGATTTCTCTGCAAATAATGATTATGTCACTAGTTTTTCCGAATCAAATTCATAATTTGCGTAATTTCATTGATTTTATTCAGAATTTAGAATTATTCGTTATGATTTTTCACCATATTTGATATTTTTCATCCAAATGTTCATCAATTTGAATGATTTCATGTGATTTTAAGAAAAATATCCATTCGTATGAATTTCTCAACTAATTAACATCAAATATCTTTGAATTGCAATCAGAACGGAAAATGCAGTGAAAATTGAGTTTCTTTCTAAGTTAAATGTGATTTTCCTTATTTCTTATCAAAAGGCAACTCTTGATAGTTTTCGAGAAACTCGTCGATTTTCAATTTACCGAAAATGCATTGACGAAATGAGGAAAATCAATATAGCAATTTTGGGGGGAAATTGCATTTGAAAGAAACACTAATCGAATGAAATCATACTTTAGGATTAATTTCACTCAACACTGCACATCTTCTCTTGGCAGTTGGATGAATTTGAGACATTTTCGCTCTCCTCGTCGAACTTCTCCACTTTACAGCAATCACACCCAGAAGAGAGTGTGACAATATAACGAAATTTGCAAGTTTCCCAGCGACAGCAAATCTCGAGCACATAACTTCTTCTCTCCCCTATGACGCTGGGAAAGTTCATGGAAAGTGTGAAATGGGTGCACTCTGCAGCACCATTGCTAATGTATTTTCTTTCACCCAGCAGACAAGACGACGACACTTGGTGATAAAATCACGAGATTTTATAATTAATTTCCCCAACGTCAGAAAATGTGTGTGTGTGTCTCAGGGAGGGAATTAAATTAGCCTCTCACGTCAAATGTATACTTAAGTCAGCGCCTGTGATGGAGAATCGTCGATGGGAGCGTGTGTGGAAATGTGAGAAAACATCTCACACGTCGTCATTTGAATGAATATTCAATTTTGTGATTTTTCCATTTGCAATTTTCATCCGTCACTTATCCTCCTTTTGTATGGAATAATTCAATTTCTTGATTACCTGCAGCTTGAACAGAACTCGGCCCGAAGATTGCAGCAACACCTTCGCTTATTAATTCACACACTTGAAAGAATGCACAAATGAAGACATAATCAGTGCTCTATTTGTGTAATTGATGCTGCAGCATAATTACCAATCTTCTCCGTGACAAAACTATCCCATTCGGTGACATTCTTCACGATTGGCTTCAGTTCAAACCTCCTCTCGTGCATATTTACACGATTGACGGACGAATGAAAGGCGATGACCGACTCATAATCGTTGCTGTTGAAAATTCCGCCTGTTTTCGGTGGGTGGAAAACCGCAAATTTTATCTCACACAGCACCATTTTGTAAACAATCAGCGCTCATCATCCCATTATTTACCTATCGGTATCAATCTCTTTCCACTCGCCATCGCCAATTGGGCCACAACGGCGAAGAGAACCACAAAAGGCATCCTCATTTTGCCGTCTTGGGCGCGCACTTCTTCGTCGCGTGCGCCGGGAAAAAGCGCCACTTGGGAAATATCGGAGTTAAAATTAATTTATACACTGACCCAGAAAGATGCCACTCTCACTCTCGGGCCGGAAAAGTCGACAAACTTGTGTCCACGACACTTTGCCAGCGACTGAGAGCTGCCGACGAGGAGGAGGCAAATTCATCAGCATCAACTATAAATAAAATACACATGAGGAAAACACTGTGATCACACGACGATCACGCTCAGGGTCCAGTCTCTTCGCCACAGACTGTACTCCTGCCCATCTGCAGGGTGGCAAGGAACAACAGAGTAACTTTCATTAACATAAATTATGCCCACAAGTTAATTGGCAGTGAATGCGCGCGGAAAAGTCCGATAAATTATTATGCTCGAGACCTTTTAGTTAAATGAAAAGTAAACACAAAACTCTCTCTTCATATAAATTTTACAACAAAGCGCGCTGTACCAACAATTGTTGCGAGTTTTTCGTTACAATTTCCACTAATAGTTCTCTCATTTATTCTCTCGCCGCAGAAGAAAAGTGGAAGTCAAAAATGGTTTCACCCATAAATCATCCAAACATCATTCTGGGCGCAGAGAAAATGGCACGAAGAACGAGGAGAGGAAAAAAGTAAGCAAACTTGAGGAAGAAGTACTGATTTTTCACAGTCACTGCATCTTGACTTGTTGTGTGAGAGTGTGAGAAAATCCCCTCGTGAATATGAGTGGAAATACAAATTAGTAAACTTTCAGGGCATTTCCACAGTTTGTACATCTTGAGAGTGACTCAAGTTGAGTGTGGAGTTTGAGGTGGAAATTAATAAACTGATGACTTTTCTTCCTGAAATGGGAAATTTTCCCTTCTCCTTCTCCCTCCCCCCCCAGAAAACAGTCCAATTAATCAAGTGCAGAGCAAAAAAAGGGCATCATTTCACCCAAACATAACGACCAGCACGTCGAAGAAAGCTTGTCTTCAGCACATGCTGCAATTTCAACCATTCGCCATCGTCTTGCGAAATTGCATCCAGTCCAGAGTTGGTTGGGAAAAACAATGAGAAGAATTTCCTGTGAATTAGATTTCATTCACTCCATCGCACCAAGTCTAATTGGCAAATATTTTGCCACGATAAGCGCTTCTCTGATGAGAAATTAATGCAAATATTTGAAGGAAAATGCGTCTAAATGATTTGAAAAGTGTCTCAAAAGCATCTATATTTAAACCTATTTTGCCTCCTCACGAGAGAAATAATGTATTGACTCAATTAAAATCCATCTACAAAACGACAAATTTCCCACTGTGAACACAACCAAAGTCGTGTTAGTGAGATAATCATCAATTGCCCGTGAGGGATTGGCGGGAAAATTGGCTGAGACATTTTTGCAATAGCGTCGCGCACTTCAGCTTCTTCTTCTTCTGCCCAAAACATCGCGCGCGCCAGAATTTTCGCGTGTCGAGAAGATCCCAAACACAGAAGAAGAAGAAAAAAAGATGACGAGGAAGAAAGTGAATGTTTGAACAAGAGCCAAAGCACGAAGGCTTCACGGTATTTTCGTGAATGAAAATTGATTGTAAACAGCTCAGATGAGGAGTGACGAGGAAATTCCTCTGCATGTGTGTCACACTGAGATATTGGATTCAATTTTTAAAGCCATCTCTCGTCCAGTTATTGGATCAATTCGCCCGCCCACTCGTCGATACTGTGACGATATGAGATATTGCTGGGCTAATATATATGTGGGTCAGTTGTGATATGAAATTTTCCAGCCAACATAACATTCGCCAACTCATCGTGACACATGGCATTTTCTCATCAAAAGTCCGCCTTTCTTTTCACCGGAGATTAAAGTATTAAAAGTTCATCCGCATTTTCAATGCACTGCAATCTTTCCTACCTTGGCGAGGATCATTGGCAAAATACGGTTGAAACTGTGGTGAAAATCCCCTAAAATACACCTAAAACCCGCCAAGCAAATACCCAAGCATTAATTAAATGCTGTTTTGCAACACTGAAAATTAATGTTTCCAAGAGTTAACACTGAATGCAATTAAGGAGATTGAATTAAGTCCGGAAAAAGTTGCTCTTGTGCACAAAATTTTGTCTCTTCACTGTGCAAAACATTTCAAAATCTCGTGATAAATACTTTTCTTGGCATTAGAAATGCACCATAAATTTTGTTTCCCTGTCAATTCATTATCACTTTTCCCAGGAACTTTCTTGTGATTCTCATGGTACAAGGAAGCATGGTGAATTTCAATGTGAAAATTGTGTATCAGCATCATGTAAAGCACCGCATTTGATCAATATAACAATAAGCAATTTTGCCACGCTGTGTCGATAAATTAAACAATGGGCGGGAGCTAAATTACCTCCACAGGATGCAGGGAAACATCACAAAAGTGGTATTTCCCAGAACCAGAAGCGACGACAGGGTGATTCAGGAGTGAATGCTTTGTATTCATCTGGGATGTCTTTGCTAAGATGCGAAAATCATCCCACTAAATTCCTCCGCTCGCCAAAAGCTCTACCCCCACCCCGACGCAGCGGCATTTGAAAGCTTCCCGGGACCCTCACAGCCACACATCCTTCCCCATCTTGGTCGCCGTTTCTCCGTCAGGACACAAGCAGAGAGGGTGATGTTTTGACGCTCCTGCGCGCAAGCGCACACGTTTCCCTCGACAGAAGCCTCTTCATCCCTCTCCAACGAACCCTCTAAGTGCCAAGGGACAAAGAGAGACAGCGTGCTGGGGGTGATTTTGGCATCCTGGGGAAAATTTTATCGAATTCCAATGGAGAAGTGTGTACATATACGCTTGAGTGAAGCGCAGCATCCAAAAATCTTCGGACAGCGAGTGTTTTAGTTGTAATATCAGCCTCACAATGGTGACAACGGACTCCGGCCGTCCGCGGTGTCAGTGAAAAGTCACCCAGCTCCAGTGGCACACCATTCTCTCGCCCCCCAAATGGCATCCCCGTGAGCCGCAACACACTCCCGTGCATCGTTCCCAGTGAATTCCGTGCGAGATGCATCGATTTCTTGTGATATTCCAAGTGTTCTGTGCACTTCTCTGTCCCAAAACCACGCACTGTCTGCCAGATATCATCAAAATCGGTGAGTCACTCACTCTGCCAGCGTCAAACTTCCGCGCTGGACAAATATAGCATGAAGAGCGCGCAAGAATACTTTGCGACATTCCAAGATTCCTCACACTGCGCGAATTCCTTCGCCATTGGTTTGAGGGATGTTCAAGTCCCTTTCTTATGCAAATCACCCCAAGATCTCCCACTCTCTCTGTGTTCATCTCTGTGTTCATCCACCCACAGACCACAGACACATTTCGCAGCGGCCCAAGAATTGTGCGTGAAAAGAGAGAGAGATAATAAAAAATTATAACTCATTGGGTGTGTTTGACTCTCCCTCAGCAAGTCTCACTCCTTTTCTTCTCCCAACCCTCCTCATGACAAATTATTCACACTCACATACAACAAATAATTTAAAAAGTTAGCGGGAAAAATGAATAATAAACCCCCTTTTTCGGTGGGGCTTCAAAGTTTCACCGAAATTTTACACTCGTGTGATCAAAGGGCGAAATAGTGTGTGTGTGTTTGAAAATTCTGCAGTTCACTGAAAATTAGGCTAAAATCATAATTGAGTTGAGCGGAAGAAGTTGTGCCGAACTTTCATAAATACATTACACACATCAAGTTGCAACGCCAAAATGTTGCACAGTCTTAAACACATTTTCAGACTAACTAAGCGAGAGTTGAATGAGAATTATAACCCGAAAACTTTCCAGCGCAATTTCCCACTCAACTTTTCGACCCTTTTTACCTTATTAGCTTTCACGGGAAAATCATTAAAACTGTCAGTCTGAGAGTTAAGTAAATAATCACGAATTTATGAGTAGAGATATAAATCTGCGATAAATGTATTTTACAATAATTCAAATAGCATTCCCAGTCTATAATAGTATCAATATTAAGCATATTCAATGCTTGCATATCTGATTGCACTTTCCAACGATATAATGAGGATATTTATTGAATCAACTCCAATGATTTAACACCTAATTTGTTTTTAATCATGCACTTCAAAAGCTAAATTCCTCTGGAATCGCATTCATTACGGCGATCAGTTTTAAGTAGATTGAAATATGAAATATTCACACAGCATATCCATTACCTAATTACCATCTTTGTCCAGAAAATCCACACCGTTCGCCTCTGCCGAGCCAACAATGCTCTGTAGAAAATCCCCAGCTAAGCTTACCAGTCCCAGAAGATTCACCATGAAATTTTGAACCCTCACGTCAAGACACTCCTTGCGAAAGGATACACGGCATTTTGTGCTCTTGTGGTTGAGCAAGGAAAAAACGCACGATATTCACGCCTTCCTTCGCATTGATTGCGTCCTGGGGAGAAGGAGTGTGTATGAGTGTGAAAGGATTCCCTTTTTTTCTTCTCCCCGTAAATCCACTCACTTGTCACGCCGGGGAGAAGTGATGAGAGTGTTGTGAGGGAAAAATATGACTATCATCCTCACCCTTCCACAGGCGGACTCTTCCATCCTGGCGATGACACCCAAGAGGTGGCCTTCCGCTATGCCGTGGAGAAGATAAATTCCGATCGCACAGTTCTGCCGCGCTCCAAGTTATCCGCTCAAGTGGAGAAGATAAATCCCCTGGACAGCTTCCACGCCTCCAAGCGCGTCTGCCACTTGCTGCGAACCGGCGTGGCGGCAATCTTCGGCCCACAATCCGCCCACACGGCCAGTCACATCCAGAGCATTTGCGACACAATGGAGATACCACACCTAGAGACGCGCTGGGACTATCGCCTGCGCCGCGAGAGCTGCCTGGTCAATCTCTATCCCCATCCCAGCATGCTGTCCAAGGCCTTCGTGGACATCGTGCGCGCGTGGGGCTGGAAGAGCTTCACCATCATCTACGAGACGAACGAGGGCCTGGTGAGACTGCAGGAGCTGCTGAAGGCGCACGGGCCCAACGAGTTGCCCATCACAGTGCGACAGCTCAGCGAGTCCGGCGACTACAGGCCGCTGCTGAAGCAGATCAAGAACTCCGCCGAGTCCCACATCGTGCTGGATTGCAGCACAGACAAGATCTACGAGGTGCTGAAGCAGGCGCAGCAGATCGGCATGATGAGCGACTATCACAGCTATCTGATCACCTCGCTGGATCTGCACTTGGTGCATCTGGATGAGTTCAAGTACGGCGGCACGAACATCACCTCCTTCCGCCTCGTGGACCCAGAGAAGGCCATCGTCCAAGACACCATCGACACTTGGGTGTACGGCGAGACGAAAGCCGGACGGAAGACGTTCTTCGGCAAGATGGTGAGTGAAAGTGCTTTGAAATTGAAATACAATTGAGCCCTCATTGCCCTGCAATTTCAAATGCAAAGCCCCTTGAATTACCACACAAATAATGTAAATGCACTGCATTATCGTGCGAAAGTCAATAAAACCACCGAAAATGCTGTGTGTGTTTAGTGCATGAAATTAGCGTAAAGCAACTTTGCCTGAACAGAGAAATTCCCACAAAATCATTGACCACATCTCAGTGAAATGCCACGAGAGCTTATCGACTCAGCGTGGATTACCAGTCAGTGGCTTAATAAATGAATTTTGCACAGTACAATTTATCTCATAATTGCACAACATCGCAAGCCACATAGTCGAATGTAACGCAATTATGACGAGCTAGCCTACAATTTTGCATCCCTCTAATTAATCTCCTCTCTCCGTTGGCGACGACACGAGGAAGTAATTATTAAAAAAAAAATGCCTGCTCAAATAACAATTATTGTATGGGCGCACACAAAAGGGACATTTTTTGTCCTGGGGCTGATTAATTAAAAATTTATGCTGAAAAACTTTTTCCACATTTTTTCCACTCTCTCTCGTTCCACCCTCAACATTGTGCAGACAAACATTTCCGTGATACGAACGGAAACTGCCCTCATGTACGATGCTGTTCACCTGTTTGCAAAGGCCCTCCATGACCTGGACACCAGCCAGCAGATCGATATTCAACCCCTGTCCTGCGATGCGTCCGACACTTGGCCGCACGGATACAGCCTCATAAATTACATGAAGATTGTACGTGATGCAGAATCGCCACGCATAATCGTCAAAGAATCTTATAAAATCTTGATTTTCTCACTCACCTCCGCAGGTGGAGATCCGCGGACTCACGGATGTCATCAAGTTCGACCATCAGGGCTTCCGCACGGACTTTGTGCTGGACATTGTGGAATTGTCACCGCTGGGATTGCGAAAAGCCGGCACGTGGAATTCCACGCAAGGTGTGAACTTCACGAAAACCTACGGCGAGCAGCAGATGGAAATCGTTGAGAATCTCAAGAACAAGACACTCGTTGTCACGACAATTCTCGTGAGTTTTTAGCTGTTCCATTTGATGGTGTATTCATGCGGAATTCCGCTGAATCCACAATATTCCTTAGAAGTGCATGTGACACGATTTCTCAGAATTGTGGCAGAAAATCTCCCTCCAAATCGATTTTTCGATGTGGGAAGAACGAGGCTAAGCCCGAGAGAAACATGGGAAATCCATTAAAATCCATTCATCCTGATGGTTATTATTCTCTCCATTCGCCAGAGTTCGCCGTACTGCATGCGGAAGGATTCGGCGGAGAAATTGACAGGAAATGATCAATTTGAGGGATACGCCATTGACTTAATTCACGAAATCTCCAAGATACTAGGTTTCAATTACACCCTCAGACTCGCACCTGACGGACGATATGGGAGCTACAACAAAGAAACTGGGTGAGGAGAAGTACAAATTTACGAGTCATACACAGTGGCTTTGGGGTCCCAAATGGAATTCCCAGTGCTCAATGTTCACTCTCTGTCTCACCATGTCTAACCGGAAAACCAGCGAGTGGGACGGTATGGTACGTGAATTATTGGAGCAACGGGCAGATTTAGCTATAGCCGATTTAACAATCACCTTCGATCGGGAACAGGTGAGAATTTCCAGCATTTTCCCTCACTCTGCGCCCAACCCACACGCTCGTGTACATTGCTGGGGCTGTTGTGGGTGGGAGACAATGCTCAACAAGATATAGCACGAGTTTGCTGACAGACAAAAAAGAGGGCCATACAATTTGGGGGTGAATTGTGTGAAAAATATCCCTCTTGTGTTCAATCTCTCTCTCTCTCTCTCTCTCTCCTGCCCAGGTTGTGGATTTCACAATGCCATTCATGAACTTGGGAATATCCGTGCTGTATAGGAAGCCAGTAAAGCAGGTGTGTATTTTATTTCCTCAACTTTAACCTACACCCCAACCAACCCCCCCCTGAACAATCTGCCCAACCCTCAAGCAATTAAGAATCACTTAGTGATATTGAATTTTTCAAGTGACATTCCCACCACAGCATCCAGAGGGAGACTTTATTAAATTCCTCAACCACTCGGAAGTTTTCTTTTATTGCTCCTCTTTCTCTCTCTCACCTTTTCAGCCACCGAATTTGTTCTCCTTCCTGAGTCCCCTTTCATTGGACGTGTGGATCTACATGGCGACAGCTTATCTCGGTGTCTCTGTGCTGTTATTCATTCTCGCCAGGTATGTAGGGGCATAATCCCTTTAATTTCCCACCCTACGCGCCATAAAACTCGGTCAGAGATCCATTAAGTGGCACCCCGCGAGCATCTCGCCCTCGCGCGCGCAATACTCTCCGCCGGGACAAAGGAGAGACACTTGCAGACATTTGTTGTGTTAAGAAAGCCCACTCACATCGCCTCCCTCCACCCCCCATTCAAGATTCACCCCCTACGAATGGCCATCGAGCTGTGATCCCGGAAAGATGGAAACGCAATTCACACTGATGAACTGCATGTGGTTTGCCATTGGATCACTCATGCAGCAAGGATGTGAGATTCTACCCAAGTAAGGACAATCTCTATTCACGAATTCCCCCCACCCCACCTCCATCCGAAATTCCCCAGAAAAACGCCACCCACAAAATTATCCCCCGACAACACTCACAGAGAATTTTTAATACTCAATTGAGAAACGTGCTTCGAATGGCTTCGAGAGCCGCACAGCCCCGAAAAAAAAACTCCGCACTTTCACTTCCTCTGCCTTTTTCTTCAAATTCTTTGATGTCCTTCCTCGCCTGAATTTCTTTTGGTCCTCCAGAGAGATTTTTTTCTTGCGCTCAAATAGAAGAATTCCGTCTTCTGCTCCACCCAACCCAACCCCAGTCCATTGCTCCGCTAATGGCATTTGCGCCCACTTAGCATCGCCCAGACAAAGTGACATGAAAATTGAGAAGTAATATTGCGAGGGAGTCAAAATTGTAAGAAAATAGGTGAAAAGCACGAGGCATTTAACTCTAATTCTCACTTATTCACTTTTGCTTCTCGCACGCATTCTTCCAAAAGTCATTCGAGTGTCTCTAATGTGTAAAATCAAGAGCAGAGCTATACATTTTGAAAGCATGACAAGTATTTTCCCGAGTAATTTCATCAAGAGTATGCTTACCATTATTTTGCTGACGTGGTCTGTGTTTTCTGCCAAGAAGAAACTCCCACTTTTCACGGGGGGGGGGGGGGAGGAAAAGCATTGTCGTTCCCAGAACTCCCGAATATGTTCCTCGCGCGAGCATCTTGTGCGGGAAAATCCCTGGAAAAGTGGAAAAGTTGGAGGAGTTTGCAGTCAGGACGTAAATTTACTTGCAACCAACGAAGAATAGTCAGAGATTTTCAACTGCCAGAAGGAAGAGAAAGAGGCAGAATGATTACTTGAGACGAGTAAAAATTGCGAAAAATCATCCACGAAGCAGAGCTTTATTGTGTCACAGAGCTCTGGAATTGTATACTGTGAAGAATGTCCAATCTGTGCTAACAAGCTACATTTTCCGATTACTAGACAAGAACTATGCGCCCCATGGGTGAAAATGCTGAGAATGACATGTCACAGAGACTCACCCGAACATTTTGTAATACAGGTTTTCACCTCAAGAATGGCAAAATCCTCATCCATGCAATCGTGATTCCAGCACATTGGATAATCAATTTTCCCTCCACAATTCCCTCTGGTTTACCTTTGGTTCCCTCATGCAACAGGGCTCTGATATAAGTCCCAAGTAAGTACTTTTTCTTTAGCTACCAACACTTCATGCATAACTCAGGCTCACTCACTCACTCTCTCTCTCTCTCTCTGTGCCTCACTAAACACACCATATCTCTCGCCTACATATGTATCATCCCCAGTTGTGGTGAGGACAGAACCTCTAAATACTTCCCCACAAGAGACACTTTCTCACTTTGGCAGAAACTTTGCAATCCTCATGTGTATTATGTTACATTCCAAGAGATGGAAAATTTATAGTGGCTAGACTTGTGTGAATTTCCATACAAATAGTGGTGGTAGACGGAGTTTCAGATTATATATATCATCTATTGAGTCTCTATAATCTCTCACAGCATTGTAAATATCCAGAATAGATTGAACTGCTATCCTCTTTTGTCTCACACACACACTCGCTCTGATATGGTTTACCAATTATACTAATTTATGTATACAAAGCATTTTGTGTTTCTATATGTAAAGCCAGATAAATGTTATAACATATTATACTTTCTCTCCATCCAATACCATAATTTTCCTACGCTCTCGAGGCACGTTTCAACAAGAAAACCTTTCCTATTTTCTCTCTCTCTCTTCTCTTCTCTTAAATCTCTCATTTATTTTGTAAAATATACTATCCAAACCCTGGCAAAAACCATCCAATTTTCCCAATAAATTCCACCCAGCGCTGAAGAAGATACTAATTGATTTCTTTCTCTTCCATCGCACAAAATTAATAAAAACCTTCCAGAGCCGTTTCCACAAGAATGGTCGCCGGAATGTGGTGGTTCTTCACGCTGGTAAGTGAAATTAATTTTCCCCACCGCAGAAAAAAACCATTAATAACACTCTTATTAGAAGATCTCCAATGGAAATTTCATGTCAAAAGCACACAAACACACACACACACACAAAACAGAGATTTTCACCAAGTTATTTTCACTCTCGCAAACTCTTGGGACCACTTGAGATTTAATTGCAAGAGAAGAAAAGGTCGTTATTTTCTTCTGCACGCAGATATGCAGATTGAAAATTATTTCCCCAGGAAATGAAAATGGGTGTTTATGGAAGGAAATTCATTTAATGATTTATTGTAATGATGTGCATTAGTCTAAAAATAATACACATTTCACACACACAACAATTTTCCACCATTAGAGAAAACACCGCGCGAAGAAGAAAAACTCACACCGCACGCCGAAGATTCTCTCCAGTGCGAAAAGGGATGAAAGATTTTCGCGCACGAAAATTATCTCCTTTGGCAAAGGCAGATAGAGAGGAAGTCTTTTCACCCAATTATCACCCACAATCACTCTGTTTAATCTTATTCAGCCGCGCCGCGTGCAAGATTCTTTGCAAAATCCCCGCACCCGTGAAATTCAATTAAGACGAGATTGTTGAAATTCACAGGAGATAAAAAGATATCATCATTATTTGCCAGAGAGGAAATGTCGGCGAGTTAATTGAAAACTCCTTTTGCCAAAAAGCATCAATCAACAATTCTCCGTGGAGTTAATTGGCAATATATATATTTTTTTATTGTTGTTATTGGTTGAAAAAACTAACAGAACATCATCACATAAATTAATTTATTAAATTAGCGACAATATCAATAAATTTGGGGTTTTGAATGGTGCCCAGTGGAGAGCAAATTGCATATTCATGGGAAAATTGTATATGGTTTTATTTAATTCAATTCATCTCTCCACACAAAGTGTGTTAACAAGAACTTTATAATGCGATTTTCCCGGGCAAATATGTAATTTCATGAATTCGCCACATATATATATTCTGCCAATGTATTTTGATAAACTTCCTCACACACACACACTCGCTGGCGCCCTTTTTTCCCGCCAGCGCACGTATCAGAAACTCTTAAAAGCTTAGTAGAAGTCGTATCGCAACAAATTCTTTCGCCACAGAATCCCCAACCTTTGTGAAAAATAATAAAAATAAAATAAAGCACGGCAACGGAAAGATTTTACGAGTTGAAGAGACAATACGGAAGAAATCTCTCTCTTTATCCTATCCCTTTTTTTTCCTACAACATCTCAGATTTGGGTGCAAATAAAATAAACCCTCGATGGGGAGTTGAGAGGGTGGCAAAAGCGATTGAGAAGGAGATGTCGACTATTTGGGAAAGAGGGAGAAAAAAATCACACACAGAGAGAAAATTAAAGCCCCCAAAAAGTCAGTGTTTTTCGGCGTGAAGAGAAGGAAGAATAATTGGATGTCTTCACTTACAGATCATGATTTCCTCCTACACTGCCAACTTGGCGGCCTTCCTCACTGTCGAACGCATGGATTCACCGATTGAGAACGCCGAGGACTTGGCCAAGCAGACCAAAATCAAATACGGTGCACTCGGCGGTGGATCAACAGCTGCATTCTTCCGGGTAAATACACCAAGCTGAGCCGCTGCCACCTAGAATAGACAAATCAAATTGACTATCCATGAGTCTGCACACACTCCTCCCCACCCCCTGGCCGTCACAATTGAATCATGCTTTCAGAATGTGAACCACATACGCTATAACTGAATTTCCTAACTCGATATTCTCTCGCCCGTCCGCAACAGGACTCCAATTTCTCCACTTATCAGCGAATGTGGTCCTTCATGGAGTCCACGCGGCCGTCCGTGTTCACGACCAGCAACATCGAGGGCGTGGAGCGCGTGGTGAAGGGAAAGGGCAGCTACGCCTTCCTCATGGAATCGACGTCCATCGAGTACGTCATCGAGAGGAATTGCGAGCTGACCCAAGTGGGCGGTCTCCTCGATTCCAAAGGCTACGGAATTGCAATGCCACCGAGTGAGTATTTTGCATTACAGTCTCTCGTTGATGTTCAATTCATGGACTTTCATCCCCCCAGCATGCTGAGGTTGAATTGCACTCTTTTTTTTCGGGCAGAGCAGAAGTTGTGAATGCAAATTGATAAAATTTCTCCAACCATCTTCACAAGCGCACATTCACAATGAAGCCATCGCAATGACTCCCGATTTGATAACGCTTTTTCTCTGCAATTCCATCATGACTTTTGGGGGGGGGGGGGAATTTCCTCGTCAATTTATTTAAATTTGTCCCAAGGGGGAGATAATATGCCTTTGCGCTGTATTTCCACACTTTCTGTGCACAATCTTTTACTCTTTAGAGACATTAATTCTAGATTTTTCCCTCTCAAGAAGTTAAATTTCTTCAAATGCTTGGATTTCAGACAGTAAAAATTGATTTTAATGTCCCAGAATTTAGTTTACTATTCAAAATATGCTTTAAAAAGATTCTGAGCAAATTGTGAGGTTATGAATTCGGTTTAGAAAATACTTCAAGCCTCTAAATGAGTAATTATGGCAAATATTACAATGTTTCTACTGGATAGTGAGGTTGAATTTGTCAGTTTGAAACACAAACCATGGAAATAGTAAAGCAAAAAGAATATTCTTAGACATTTTTGAGGTTATGGTTGACTTTAAAGCTGTTTTCTAACCAATCTGGAGTCTGTAATAGAAATTTTATGATTTTGAGGGTTATTTTATCATCACAATCTGTTTAAAATCAATCACAAAACCTGAAAAAGCGATCAAATAAATTTTTCTAGGCAAAATAATGCAGAAAATGCCTCAATTTGTTGAAATGGAAGCTTTTCCTATTATATCTTCCCCTTGATTTCTCTCATCTTTTCTTCATTTTCTCATTCTCGGAACTTTTTACAGTATGTCATTTCGCAAATTTTTCCGATTAAAATGTATAAAGTCAAACTCATTGTTATGAAAATTCATTGATGAATTTCAGAATTCATTTCCTTGTAAAAGCAATCATTTGAAGTTTCTCACAACTTTAAAACAACTCAATTTCGCATGAAATGCATTTTGTATTTGCATAAGAATTAAATTCAATTGGCAAACACGAAACGTCGTGAAGTACTTTCAATCTCTGGTTCTCTTGTATCTTAAGTCAGTGCCAAATTGCTTTGAAAAGCTTCGTCTTGAAACTTTAATTCAGCCCATTCGCTCTCTTTCCCTGCATTTGCATTAGTTAAGTCTGTGTCTTTGTCAATTACATGAAAACATTAGGCACAATCGCAATAAGACACCGAAATCTCTCTCTCTTCCGCCACAGATTCACCCTATCGCACTGCAATCAGCGGAGCCGTGCTGAAGCTGCAAGAGGAGGGCAAATTGCACATCCTGAAGACTCGCTGGTGGACGGAAAAGCGCGGCGGCGGATCGTGCAGGGTAAAAACATGGGAATGTGGCGTGGAAAATCACTGCTCACCTCACGTTTTCCTCTCCATCCGCAGGACGAGCAGTCGAAGTCGAGCAGCACGGCCAATGAATTGGGCCTGGCCAATGTCGGCGGCGTTTTTGTGGTGTTGATGGGTGGAATGGGGGTGGCGTGTGTCATAGCCGTGTGCGAATTCGTGTGGAAGTCCAGAAAGGTGGCCGTGGAGGAAAGGGTAAGCCAAATATTGCATGAAACATAGCTGTAAAGAGTCAGAATGGCAGTTTTGATTCGCTCTGCGGAAAATGCGCACGAAAAACAGAGGACAAGGGAAGTGAACATGAGAGTCAAAACTGCAAATTAAAGCAAAAAAAAAGGGACAAGAAAAATTTAATGCAAGAAGATATTTACTAGAAAAAAATCAATTTCTAAATTAAATTAAATTAATTTAATAAGGAAATCATTGTATATATAGTGAAGAATTATAATCTTTCAGAGGAGAAATTATATTATATAAAGGAAATTTCAATATGGAATTTATGACAAATTGTAGGCATTTTATCATGAATTTTCAAAATACACACAAAAAGGAGAAAAAGAAAAGAAAAAGAAAAACAATTAATCAATTGACACGGAGTTTAAGATGAAGAGGTTTTAGATAAAGAAAATGTTTCAAATGAATTTATACATATAAATACCTATTTATGGACCAAAAAGTTACTTTACGCATTTCATAATTAATTATAGCTTCACCTTTGTTCACAATTCACCCCAAAAATTACCCTCTTTGTGGACAGATATTTATTAGATTGGTCAGTAGAAAACATTCATGGAGGCAAAAATTGCTGAAGAGAAAAGGAATAAGAAAAAAATTAACCAATGTGAATATATCATCAACATTCCAACGAATTTTTGAATATCGAATAGATGACAAATTCCCCTTATTGCCAAAAGAATAAAGAACAAAAAGGATGAAAGACAGAGAGAAAAGCGAAGAACAATGATAAATAAAATTGTATAATTGACAAATAGGCATTATTTTGGTGAAAAATTGCCCAGAAGCGTTAAATTTACTGCCAAAATTTTACTTTTACTGTAGAAAGTATGAGCAATAATGCGAGAAAAAAGTTGTACAATAAATTATTTATTGCAACAACAAACGAAAAAAAGTACCACTCATTCTTTTTCCAACTCCAAAAACACCCCTTAAATTATTCATGCAGTTTTTATATTTCCACAATTCACGGTTTTGTTCCTCAAAAATCCAACTCATTCTCGCGTCTCAGGCATTTCTTCTTCACACACACCCAATAAATTCATTTTGAACATTAAACCAGACGAAGAAAGTAAAATTGTCGAGGGGTAGGTTTGATTTCCACGAAAATAGGAGACGCTTTTGCTCCGCAATTTCCCAAGAATTCCCATCCGGAGCGGATTTTCTTCCTCCTCGAAAACCCTTCTTTTTTTTCCCCAAATCATCTTGAGTGCCTCGAATCTGGGAGGAAAAAAATGTGTGCATGAGTGTGTGTGAGTGAAAACGATGCAGAAATTTCCTCAGGGAATCAATAATTCAGTTGATATAGAGAATATTGGAAAATTGAGACGAAGCGCGCCTCTGAAGAGTGGCACGCGGGAGGAAAAAAAAAGCTCAGGCAAAACATTTATAGGAAATCTCAAATGCAATATTTTACGAATTTTCTCTTCATAAAAACAAATATATTGTGTGCAAATCTTTTTTGCTTCCCGCTTGTTGGCTCTGTTGGAAATAAAATAGGAGGTATGTTGCAAGTTTAATTCAATTCTCTCTCTTATGCCTTTATCACATTTTGCCATCATTCATGCAGATAGTGTCAATTGTATTTCAATTGAACACATACATACACATCACAGTCACTCTGCTTCGTAGAAGACAAATTAGATTTTACTCACAAATTTCCCACTTTCTCTCTCTCTCACCCTTCTCCCGCATCCCCCAATTTGTGTCTTGCAGGTTTCACTGTGTTCGGAAATGGCCTCAGAGCTTCGTTTTGCCCTTAAGTGCCGCTCAAAAACACGCGGAATTCGCCACAATCACGCCGTTAATGATTTGGACAGTGCGGAAAATCATCGTTTTCACCCACTCGGACCGCCCTATTCACAATACGAGTTCGACACTAAAGCCACGATGGAATAGAATCTCTCAAATACTCAACAGTCAACACTTAGCAGACCATTCGAAGTCACACATTTACACGCGCATATTTATCTATATAGAGAGCACTCGGTATTTAGAAAATAAGGGTCGCGAGAGAGAGGAATGAGAAATTGAAATTACTTGTGAAAATCTCCTTAAGAGATGTCAGATCGCAAAGTAAATGGCTTTTGGCACAGAAGGAAGGAAGAAAAGAGCTCTCAGAACTTTCTTTTGTACTTTTTTACAATAAAAAAAAACTACCCCCCCAATTGACTACAAAGGAATTTATATAAATATATTATATTGGAAATTATTGTAACTACTTGCCAGAAGAGGGTGAACTGTTCATTGTATAATCTCTCACCCTCGAATCCCATTTGCATTGCGCCATTGTCGTGGAGTTGCTGATGATCCCGAGGGATCTTCTCTCAGGCTGTTAAATATTCAAATTATACACAAGCAATCTGACTTACACCAGACGAAATTCACTCTCCACGCGCAGTCTTTGCGATGCAAATGAGGCGTCCTCTTGTTCAGACCTTTCTTTTTCGCATGGAAATAAAGCCAAAGAAGAAAAAAAAACTGTGTAATAGCAATAAGTCTCAATTAAATATCCTCATCAACAGAAGAAAACTCACTGGAACTGTTTCACTCCATCCACGAAGACGAAGCCCGCCCAATTAGAGTGCCACAAATCTCGTTTGTATGTGCACGAGAGACATTGCAAGTGTGCCGTGCAAATGCAACGCGAGCTCTTCTGCACTTAATTTGCTGAAGATTCGGGGTTTAAAAATAAATTCACGAGAGTCAGTTTGTTGCCAGCTATCTAAACATCCACTTGCACTCTTCCCATTTGCCATTTTCATCAGCCCTTTTCGCAGTCGATCTTAGGAGAAAAAAACCCCCCCTGGAGGGAGAGTTTTCGCTGTGCCACGAATTGTGATGTCGTGAATTAAGACAATATTGTTCTAACATAAATTATGGGAGTGAATCAATTACATCTCTCAAGTGTCTCACTGTGAACCCAGCGGAGCGCCCATAAAATTCCACCTCCATCTATGGATACAGTGAGGATTTTCTGCTTTTTAGTGGCATCATTCCACATTCTCAGCACACACACTCTTGGGAGTAAGATAAGAATTGGTATGGAGTGGAAGAAAAAGGTGTTTGAAAAGTCAAGCATAAAAATCTCGCTGAATTTGCTCTTCTCCTCTCACAACTCACCGTCAATCCAAGGCGGGCTGTTTGACACCGACCAGGAAGATGTGCGACTCGCCTTTGGCTATGCCGTGAACATTGCCAACACGGAAATCCTCGATCCTGCCAATGGATTCCAACTGGAGGCGCTGCAAGTGGAAGTTCCCTTCGGCAATGAGTTCTTGGTGTCGAAGAAGCTCTGTCGCCTGCTCAAGGTGAGCGAAAGAGAGGAACAGCTGCTTTAATTTTAGAAGCACTCACTTATCGTCCCGCTAATTAATCGCGTTATAGTGCGTGCTTGTATCAATTGATGAATATTATTTCTGGCCACACTCACAGCCTCATCTCTAGTTGCTCCGCCACATTGAATTGAGACTTGGAAATGAGTCAATATTGACTCTCTGTTGATGTTGATTTTCTCTCCCAATCAAGTCATGCAGAGAGAGAAAAAAAACCCCACAAGATCCTTTGCCCACACTCTGTGTTTTGCCTGGTGAAAAATTACTAAATTTATATTCCATCACATCGCATTCAGTGGTGGACAAACAGAGCAAATTACTCTTCTTCTCCAATCACTAACTCTGCAGTCCATTCCATGTCATCCTCATATAATCTCACCGAAATGAAGAAATTTCCTTCGCTGTGGCAAAAAACATCCCCGTGATGAGATTGAAATGAAATACAAGATGATGATTTTACGCATTACCATTGCATGATGCCATTCCGATAAATAATTCATGAGCCAACACACGAGAGAAGTATCCTCGCTGGAAAACAACACAATCTCCTCTCACTCTCTCTCTTTCTCTCTGTCTATAGAGTGGCGTTGCTGCCATAATTGGCCCCCAATCTCCCGTCTCGGCGGTGCACGTCCAGAGTATCTGCGATGCCAAGGAAATGCCCCACATTGAGACGCGCTGGGAACCCGTGGCCACCGCCGGAATGCCCTCGCTCAACATCCATCCGCACGCCCAGACGCTCAGCCGCGTCTTCGTGGATTTGGTGCGCGCTTTCGACTGGAAATCATTCACAATTGTCTACGAAAATGGTGAGTTGCAGCGCAGTTGCACGCAACCACAGTCCAACTCAACAATTTCTCCCCTCTTAGCGCCATATCTCGTCGCTCTCGCGGACCTCCTGAAGCTGTACGATCCCAAAGGACACACCGTCACTGTCCGACAACTCGACTTGGGCCTTCAGGATAACTATCGAGCCGTCTTGCGGCGTGTTAAGTTGTCAGAGGAGAAGAATATCGTTCTGCACTGCTCCGTTGACATTCTCCCTGAAGTGCTGAAGCAAGCGCAGCAAGTGGGAATAATGTCTGAGAATCATCAGTACATCATCACATCAATGGATCTGCACACAATCGATCTCGAGCCTTATCAGTACAGCGACACGAACATCACGGGGATTCGATTGATTGATCCTGAAGACCAGAGATTGCTGCAAGTGACGGATTTCTGGAAGAATCTCCACGAAGAGGAGAATCTCGAGCTTCCGGACTCCATGATGCCGGCGAATATCAAGACAGAAGTCGCTCTGACCTTCGACAGTGTTCTCCTCTTCGCTGACGCCTTCAATCAGCTGCACGGAACCAAGCAACTCAAGCCAGTCTCGCTCAACTGTGACGACGGAGACACCTGGATCAACGGATACAGCATTGTGAACTACATGAAGACGGTAAGGAAGGAAGACAGAATGTTTCTCACCACTTACTTTAACCCTTTCTTCGCAGTCTAACACCAGAGGACTCACCAGGAACATCAAATTCGACCACAAAGGCCACAGAACGGACTTTCTTCTCGACATTGTGGAATTGGGAGCTGCTGGATTGGAGAAAGTCGCTGTCTGGAACTCCTCCGAAGGACTTCAGCCGGCTAGAGCGACTCCTGCCGGTGACGGCGGCATGGAAGATGGTTTACTGAAGAACAAGACATTCATCGTGATCACCGCTCTGAGTCCACCATATGGAATGCTGAGACTAACACCCAACACACTAACTGGCAATGAGAGATTCGAAGGCTTTGGCATCGATTTGATTCATGAACTCTCACTCATGCTCGGCTTCAACTACACTTTCACACTGCAAGAGGACGGAGTTTACGGAACCATGGATGAGAATGGCAACTGGAATGGAATGATGAAGGAATTGATGGATTACAGAGCTGATCTCGCTATCACAGATCTCACAATAACAGCTGAACGCGAGAGTGCCGTTGACTTCACCATGCCATTCATGAATCTCGGCATTTCCATCCTGTACAAGAAGCCCACGAAGGTATCTTCTGTTCAGTGTTTGTCTGCAGAATCACACTTTAATCATTGCTCTATTCCAGCTCGCGCCGTCGCTCTTCTCCTTCATGAGTCCCTTCAGCGCCGAGGTGTGGATCTACCTTGGCTTCGGCTACATGGGAGTGTCAATTTGTCTGTTCATCCTGGGCAGAATATCGCCTGGTGAGTGGGACAATCCCTATCCGTGCATCGAGGAGCCGGAATTCCTCGAGACTCAGTTCACCTTCCGCAACGCCATGTGGTTCTGCATCGGAGCTCTGCTGCAACAGGGCACGGAATTGGCGCCAAAGTGAGTTGAACAACTCGTGCTAATCCCATGTTTAGGTGTGATTAATCACTGGCAATCCATCCAGAACCCCATCAACGCGCGCAATTGTGTCAATCTGGTGGTTCTTCACCCTCATCATGGTGTCGTCGTACACGGCAAATCTCGCCGCCTTCCTCACCGTCGAATCCCTCTCGCCCACCATCGGCAGTGCTGAGGATTTGGCAGGAGCCAATGGGGCGATTAAGTACGGCGCCAAGAGGGGCGGCAGCACTTTCAACTTCTTCAAGGATGCCGAGTACGAGACGTACCAGAAGATGTACGAATACATGAACGACAATCCAGACATGCTGACATCGTCTAATCCAGAGGGATTGTCACGCGTCAAAAACGAGAATTACGCCTTCCTCATGGAATCCACCTCAATTGAGTACATCACGGAGCGGGATTGCGACGTCACAATGGTGAATGGTTTGCTGGATGACAAGGGATACGGGATTGCCATGAGAAAGAGTGAGTTTTCACATGAGGGCCAGTAATTCCTCCATTCTGATTGCTCTCGTGTCTTCCAGACTCTCCGTATCGCAACACGCTGAGCGCAGCTGTTCTGCAACTGCAAGAATCGGGAAAACTGGCGCTGTTCAAGATAAAGTGGTGGAAGGAGAAACACGGCGGAGGAGCTTGTGCGGTAAGGAAATCCATCCCAAGAATCTCCCACAAACGCAGGTCAAAGCGAGGCCTCTTCAGCCACCGAAGTGGCCTCGCCTTCTCCTTGGCCTTCCCATGATCAAGAACTCTCTATTTCTGGGTGTCTTGCAAAGACCGTCGGCGGTGATAGTGCCGCCGTTGCATTGGGAATAGCAAATGTGGGTGGTGTGTTTTTGCTCCTCTTCATCGGCTTAACGGCAGCTGTTGTCATCAGTCTGTTGGAATTCCTTTTCGATATCAAAGCACGCGCCAAAGAGCTCAAGGTTCGTGATCATTCCCTCGCAGATTCCACTTCAATCTCCCCGTGTGTGTGCCACATTTGGAATGCACAAAGACGCGCGCCATTCCACACGTTTTTGCATTACCACCCCCTTTTTTGACCACCGTTGCTCATCTCTGAATGCCAATTTCTCTTCCTCCTCTCTCTCTTTTGTCACAATACATCAAGAGGACAAGTGTCTTCCCGTGATTTCCAGAGAAGAAAAGTCCCTCGCCTGATTATCTTAGTTAAATATTCTAAACACATGCTTTTAGAAAATTGCTAGATTTTTACCCTTTCACGAAATTCCTGCAAGCTTTTCCTCCCTTCAAACTTTTCCCCCCATTCTTCTTCTCTCTCTCTCTCTCTCTTTCATGGACACTTCGCTCGCTGAAGAGAAGCAGCCTCGATGGTAAACCCAAGGATTTAGATATGGCCAATGTCGGTGGCGTTTTTCTTGTCCTCCTAATTGGAGCGTCTTTGGCTCTCTGCTACGGATGCTGTGAATTTTTCTACACGATGGTAAGACGAGCAAAACAGCATCGAGTAAGTATATGAGAAATTTCTCTATCTCACAGTCCCTTCTTTTGCCCATATGTAACTAAGAAACCCTCCTCAACTCAATAACCAACCAAATTGCACTCCATTTTTCTCCCCTTTTCCACCCCCTTCCGCGCCCTCTTGAATGATTTTGTCACCAGAGCTTTTGCGGGACAGAGCAAAAAGCGCACAGGATGAGCCATAATAAATGGGTGAAAGTCTTGTTTTTCTCCCTCGTGTGACGGAAGAAAGATAAATCAGCGGAATTTGATTCACTTATCCAATGGTGAGAAATTATCTGGCCATCTTTTTCACCCACTCTGTAGGTGTCTTTTCGCGAGGAATTCATCGAGGAGATGAAATTTGTGGGCAAGTGTCACGGAAACACGAAAATAGTTCGTCATCGGAAGAGTTCATCATCGAATTCCAAGTTGTCAGCGTCCACAGACCACATTGAGCGCGGATCTACACGCTCACGCTCCACTGATGGCAAGAATTCGTCCAGAAATATCGCCAATGTGCCGGATATGATCGTGACAGCGGCCAATGGACATCCGCCAAAGAAGGAGAATTGACGGAGAAAATTGATTGGAGTCTCGAGAATGTAAACGAAAAGTATTAATATAAATATTTCTCGCCACAGAGTGAAGCCAAACACACAATTTAGTGCAACTAATGAGACTCCACTTATGATGATGAGAATAAATTTGTCACGCTCGCGAGACTGCAAGACATTCTCATGCAGTTGTGGGTGTTTATGACTCTGAAAATTCGACTCGTCTTATTACTATGACTCAGTTTCAGGCACAATTTCACACATATTTCGCACGAGATGGGAATTCTACCCAATCCAAGGGGGAGATAATACGGTCAGAAGTGGTGTACAACTCAGCAGAAGTACTTGAGAAGTGAAAGTGTTCAAAAACTCACAATCTTCCTTTTCTGCGTGCTTCTTTTGCTGACTAATCCCCCAGATTCTTTGGATTTCTTCAGAATTGCACGAAGAAACCATTTTTTTTCTAGGTTATGTAACGAATCTTAGACAGATTTTGTGAATAATTCACATTCTAGCACAACAATTCTTATGCTTAAGTCACCAAATTTGCTAATCTTTGCCAGAATTAAGCATTTTTTAATCTTTGATACTAAAAAATACTGAAAATTGTATTGAACTCAAACATAACCTAAAAAATACATCTGAGATTAGGAAAATGTTCATTTAGAAAATGTTTTGGACAATTTTGATTCTTAATCAGCAGTTTTGAGCTCATTGGCAAATCATAACCAGATCATTTTGTGTTTTTGAAGATCTTTTCGTTATATTTTTAGGTTATGGTCGGAAAAGATGTCCAAAATGTGTTTTTAAATGGATTCTTATAGAAATATCGGATGGAAACTTAAGAGATTCATTAAAATTTGGGAATTAATGTTGAAATTTGAAAGTGTTTAGAAGTGGTGTACAGATTTATGGCATTTTATCTCCCCCTTGACCCAATCAATTGTCTACAAACTGACCAATGAAGCAGCAAAAAAAGCGGGAAAAACATGTGGAAAAATTTACGAAACATCAAGCAATTATCAACAACATTTTTCATCTACGCAACATACCATTTTTTCCTTAATTCCCCCCAAAAACCACCCTTGAGAGTTAAATTGTGCGAAAAAGCAGCCAAACAAGTGCTGGAAAATTCATCCTAAATCAATTTTCTGGGCTCAAGAAGTGGACAAGAATGTGTGGAAAAGCGTGTGGCTCACTCTTTGGGGATCTCCCATGATATTTCGCCAGCGGAGTTTCCTCTCTCGTCGTGTTATATTTTCCTCGCATCTTGTTTAAAAATAAATTTTTATAACTTTACACACACACCGGACGAGGTGTGGGACACAAGGAGGGTCGCCAAAACTCAATTTTCACACAGTTACTCTCAATTCAGCTCCTTCAGTCACGACCCGAACTTTCGCCACGGAGGATCGTGAAAGAAATCGCCGTGCTCGAAACTATCGTGCGATTGAGCAACACTGTGGAACTTCTTTCTGTGTTCTTGTGTGGTAAAGAGAGAAAAAGGGATTGAAGGACAATATTTGCAAAAGTGCCTTGAAGAGTGAATGGAAAAAAGGACGAGATAATTGAGTTATCGGATCGAGAAGGTGAAGGGAAGAAAGGACATTTCTCGTGTTGATGGATGATGGTTTATGGTGAAAATAATGAATGGGCTTCTAAGTGTTTTCTTATTGAATTATCTCCTCATCTTTGCCCTCGCATACGAACCGACCGTGAAACTTGGTGAGTTTTCAAAGAAAATATTCACCGAAAATTGAGTAAAATCCAGTGAAGAGATTATTCTTCGCAAAGAAGGAGAATTTCTGTCCGCATTTTCGTCAAGTGGCGAGAAAGAGTAGAACATTGTTACCCGAAATAAAGTGTGAAAATCTCCGCCTCCAAAATAAACCCAGTGCAAAGTTGCCAGTCTTTCGCCTCTGTGCGGGTGCGTGTTTGTTTCACGGCATAATTTAGGCCAAACGTGTGGTGACCATCAATTTTGGCGCCGCGCGACCGAAATTTCCCACTCTGTGTGTGACAATTTCTCACGCTCGCGTGTCCTTTTTCTCCTCTCTCTCTCTGTCAGGTGCAATCTTCGAGGGACCCGCGGACGATGCCGAGCTGGCGTTCACGTACGCCGTGGAAACGGCCAATAACGAGATTCTTGCACCCACAAACAGTCGACAATTGGAAGCCGTTCCAATTCGCGTGTTCGACAGCAATGAATTTATGGTCTCCAAGAAAGTCTGTCGAACACTTCGTGTAAGTTTCATTTTTATCTCCACTCTCGCAGCACATCGTTAAACTTGCAGATCAATGCTATCGCTAAACAACTTGCTCACTTACACTCCTTTTTCAGCTCCAATACATCTTTTTTTTTCCCTCTTGCCTTTGACTTGTGGCAGGAAATTGGAACTCTCTTTGTCAATTTCGCCATTCATAGTCGCTCTGATGGGTTTTTTTTTCTCCTTCTCCAATTGCTAATAAATCACTCTGCGAATGCAGTGGATCACCCGCAAAAGCACGTCTTTCATTAGAACTTGTGCATTAACGGATTTGTTTATTTAAATGTCAATCTCCATTAATTGACTCCCAATCGACTCTTGCGATCTACCATCGCGTCGTAAACATCTATTAGCAGTCTCTCATGCTAATGCATCAAACATAAAATCAAATGATGTTTAAATACAGAAGCTCCCAGCGCGAGCGCCGATGGTGAGAGACAACGAGAGAATGATGTAAATATTTACATTTTACTCATGGCACACAAACTATCACTGAAATCCACTTTGAGGCAGCGAGCTCAACTCCTCCGCTCTGCCTTCCCCAACTACGATAAAATCCCCCCATTGAGAGTGATTTCATTAGCACAATCATTTGGCCAAGACACTGCCATTCAAGCCACAGCCAGACACGGGCGGAGAGGGAGAGGGAGAGGACAATAAAAAGGACAATCAGCAGCGAATTTAGATGCAAAGATTAAAGGGATCTCTCCCCGCCCACCCAATTCTGGCTTGTACACACAGTGAAGATATTTTGTATAATTGCACAAGACATGAAAATTTCATATAAAACACAGTGAAGAGACACAACTTTCCAATGACTTCCATTCTTTCGCCCATAGACGGGAATTGCTGGAATTATTGGTCCACAATCGCCACATTCATCGGTTCACGTCCACAGTATCTGCGACGCCAAGGAGATGCCCCACATTCAGGCACGTTGGGATCCCATCGCCAGCACCCCGTTCGCCCTCAACATCCACCCAGATCCTCACACGCTCGCCCGCGTCTTCGTCGACATGGTGCGGGCATGGGAGTGGAAGGAATTCACAATACTCTACGAGAATGGTATGAATTGCCTCTCTCAGTCTTCTCCGCCTTTTCAATTTGCCACACACACACAGCATTTCGTCTTGTCTTGTGCCGCTCGCCAAAGCATCCAATGTCTCACGACTCCTTGCGAATCACAATAAAATCGTGTAAAAATTGTAAAATGCTAAACAGATACAATGGAAGATTGCCAGGCGAGTGCAGAAAACCCTTTCATGCACAAGGAAAACCGATAAGAGCAGCCAAATCATTTAAATATTCCCATGCAGAAAACTAGGCTCACTTTCAGCCAAGAGTATTCCAAGGGAGAGATATTGTGCCCCTTGGATGCTCGGTGTTTCCTTAGCCGCTCGGCTTAAAGTTTTCTCCACACACACCCTTATAATTTACTGCTTAAAGTCCGTGGTATTTGCAGTTTATATCGTGTCGTCATAAAGTTGAGAATTTAAGAGACTTCGAGAGCTCCTTATCGCCCCATCAGAAACTTCCCCATTACGCGCCAAGGGAGAGAGTTTTGCCACTAACATTCCCCGTGTATCTCTTAGCGGCCCATTTGCCACGATTGTCAGACCTGCTGAAGATGTACGACCCCAAAGGTTACACCATCACCGTGAGACAGTTGGACTTGGGATTGCAGAATAACAATTACCGCTCTGTGCTGCGAAGGGTGAAATTGGCCAGAGACATCCACATTGTGCTGGACTGCTCGGTGGAGGTTCTGCCCGAGGTGCTGAAGCAGGCCCAACAGGTGGGCCTCATGACGGACTACCACCAGTTCATCATCACCAATCTGGACCTGCACACGCTCGACCTGGAGCCGTATCAGTACAGCGGCACCAACATCACCGGCATTCGCCTCTACGACCCCGAAGATCTGCGCGTGCAGCAAATCACACAATACTGGCAGCATCAGCACCGAATCCAGGGCCAGGAGATGAGCGGGGGTGAGTCTATTCATTAACCAAAGAGACACGAGTCCGCAATTGCGACAATATCCGTGAATGATGGCGGGAATTTAATTAAATTCCAAACAGCAATATCGAATGGTGAGGATGAATAATAATAAATTACTCTCGATAACACCCTTCACACAGGACTCCAGGCGCACAATTTGAGCACCGAAACTGTCCTGGTCTTTGACAGTGTCATTATATATGCCGAGGCCCTCAAGCAATTAAAGGGCAGTCGACAATTGCGACCAACTCAACTCAATTGCGACGACAACCTGACGTGGAGCAGCGGATCCAGCATTATGAACTTCATTAAAACGGTAGCTCATAAATCTCTTTTGTCTTGTTTGAATTTGTTCTGTGACAGCAAAAAGACGCCAATAATTGAAATTTGCAAAGTCGATATGATGTGAAAGAATTCCTTTAATTTATCAATCTTAGGAGTCGTTGCGACATTAAGGATTTCGAATTTCAATTCGTAAAAGCTACTAATTTGGAGTTGCAACTTTACGCTTTTCATAGTTTATGTTGCCAGCCGCCCGGCGGCGCTAGTGTAAAGTAAGAATAAAATACAGACGAGAAGACGTTGCAAGGCAAAGTTTGGGTTTATTTAATACGAATTTGAGCTGTAAGAACGCCATTTTATTGCGGCTATTTATTTAATATCAACTTGATCTCAGTTTCTGGCCATTTTTTCTTCCCATGTTCTAGAGAAACTAGTTATTAGTTACCTTGGAAAGGGTTGAAGAATGTCCGGAAACACATAACCTCAATCTGGTGTATTGAAATGTGCACAAATGGCTAGAAAAATACAATACATCATTCCTAATCACCTAAAAACATAAATAAGTGTATTTTCCCTTGATTTTCACGTGAATTTTTCGGCTAATTTTGTCTTTACGTGACGAAATATATGAATTTAGATCTCGTAAAAGTTATGAATCGTAATCTTGCAACACCTTTTTTGAATGGTTTCCTTTTTTTACCAGCTTATGGAAAATGTGATGAAATTAATGTCGCAACGAGGCCTTAATCAGAACTGTTTGTGAAGAATACGCAACAATCGTCGTGCTTGATTGGAAACAAATTCCCTGACTTTTCCCATCATTTTTCTCCATCTCTCGCAGAGTCACGCCCGAGGACTTAGTCGTGATATTCACTTCGACAACAAAGGACTCAGAAGTGATTTCCTCCTCGATGTCGTTGAACTGGGTCCGGCGGGATTGCACAAGATTGGCATGTGGAACTCCACGGAGGGCCTCAATTTGACGAGACACTATCAAATACTGACAGCAGACAGCGATGAGAATCCACTGCGAAATAAGACTTTTATCGTCTTAACTGCTCTGGTAATTTTCACTCATCATCCACCCCGTTTTTCGTGAGAAAAACTTTTTGACGCGCTCGCGAAAATGGAATGTTTTCCCATCCAAAACTTTGTCTCTCTCTCTCATCTTCAACTCCTCCCCTCAATTCCAGAGTCCGCCGTACGGAATGCTGACGGAATCCGCTCATAAATTGTCGGGCAACGCTAGATTCGAAGGCTTTGGCATTGATTTGATTCATGAGCTCTCACTCATGCTCGGCTTCAACTACACTTTCACCTTGCAAGAGGACGGAGTTTATGGCACGAGTGACGAGAACGGCGAGTGGAATGGAATGATTAAGGAGCTGCTGGAGTTCAGAGCAGATTTGGCCATCACAGACTTGACTATCAACTCAGATCGCGAGAGTGCCGTTGACTTCACCATGCCATTCATGAATCTCGGCATCTCCATCCTGTACAAGAAGCCCACGAAGGAGCCGCCGTCGCTCTTCTCCTTCATGAGTCCCTTCAGCAAGGAAGTGTGGGGATATCTGGGAATGGCTTATCTGGGCGTCTCTCTCTGCCTCTTCATCCTGGGCAGAATATCCCCTGGTGAGTGGGACAATCCCTTTCCCTGCATCGAAGAGCCTCGCGTCCTGGTCAATCAGCTGCACTTCGGAAACTGCCTGTGGGGCACGATTGGCGTTCTGCTGCAGCAGGGAAGCGACGTGGCGCCCAAGTGAGTAAAAATCCCCCAAAATTCAATTAGCATTCAATGGACCAGTGAAAAATCCTGCAAACTTTGCACTGAACGCACTGAAGATGAACTTTTTTCACGCACCGTCACTCTTGAGGGATTGTCTGGGTGAATAAATTAACTCAATCGCACTTAATTCTCTCCCCCCAAGAGCTCCATCTGCACGCGCCGTTGCCTCCATTTGGTCCTTCTTCACATTAATCATGGTGTCCTCGTACACAGCCAATTTGGCCGCCTTCCTCACAGTCGAATCCGTCCATTCGCCCATCAACAATGCCGAGGATCTGGCCAACATGAAGGGTGCCATCAGATACGGCGCCAAGAGGAGCGGCACGACATTGACCTTCTTCAGGGATGCCGAGTATCCGATATACCAGGAGATGTACAAATACATGTCAGATCACCCAGAAATGCTGACAGCATCGAATCCCGAGGGATTGGCGCGCGTCAAGTCAGAGAATTACGCCTTCCTCATGGAATCCACCTCAATTGAGTACATCACGGAGCGCGAGTGCAATGTGGCCAAGATCGGAGGACTGCTGGACGACAAAGGATACGGAATAGCAATGCGGAAAAGTGAGTATATCAACCATATTCACGAAGGCTGTAAATTTCAGTAAACTCTTGACCAGATTCCGCGTACCGAAGCGCCCTGAGCGAAGCTGTTCTTCAGCTGCAAGAGACGGGAAGACTCAGTGCTCTCAAGACAAAGTGGTGGGAAGAGAAACGCGGCGGAGGCGCTTGTGGTGTAAGTCCACGAAGTCACACACTGTAATCCACGGGAAAGTGACTCTCTGCTCGTATTTTCCAGACCGATAAATCCAATGATGGCGCTGAGCGTCTGGACATGGCCAATGTCGGCGGAGTGTTCGCGGTTCTGGTCTGCGGAGGCGCCTTTGGCATTTTCTTCGGCTGCTGCGAGTGGCTGTATGTGATCAGGAAGCGAGCGAACCGGAAGAAAGTATCGCTGAAGACGGAGTTCCTGTCGGAGTTCAAATTCGTCGCCGCCTGCCAGAGCAACGTTCGCATCCTGAGAGATCGAAGTGACGAGATAGACTCTCAGCACTCTGCCATGTCAGAAGCCTCCACAAAGTCCCGAATAAGTCCTTCTTAACTCTCTCTGCGCCACAAATATTACTTATTCAAAGCGATCCACCCACAAATATAGCCAAAAGAGCCAAAAAGTGAAGACAAAGAGTGGAAAAAAGGCAAACTCGTGCAAGACTTTCCCTTTTATTTCCCTCTAAAGTACTTTTTTATTCACTACCCCCAAAACCATGAGAAGAAATCCACGTCGACTGGCAGACATAACATGAAAAATTGCGAAAATTCAATGATATACTGCACTCAACTTTACAACTTTATCAACTTCAAAATAAATCACACAATTTTTGCCAAAACCACACATATGGGGGAGAAGGAGAGACTGAAGGGCGCAAAAATGTTGGGCAATTGACGTAAGGGAGGAGAGAATAAAGTAAATATTTGAGAGCATTTGAGTTTAAAAACTTGCACACGTGGAGTGAATATGGAAATAATTCACTTCTTCAGCACGCGACGGATTTATTCTCCGCCAAAAGAAAATGTCTCAATATCAATCATCAATATTTACCCCGACAACACTGGAGAAAGGAGCTGTCTCTCATATCCATTACGCAATTCAAGAGGACATTCACAATTGTCACCACTCGAATCGATTGGAAGCTCTGAAAGCTCAGCGGTTAAACTAAACACGCTCGAGAGCTTCGGCTAATGCCTCTGAATTCTTTTACAGCAATTTATCACAGTCGCAGAAAAAGCGGGTAATTTAGTGAAAAATGTATCCTCAGGACAGGACTTCCTTTTCTTGCTGTGGACTTCAATAGAGTGAGCAAGCGCTTCATCTGATTTTTTGGAGATTCATGTGATTTCTCACCAACTTTTCATCCCTCCTCGAGCTTTAGGCTTCGCATCCTTTTGCGCCCCAAATAGCCGGACTCTCTGTGTCCCTCTTCTTGCACAAGCAATCACGCTACCATTCACAATTCTTCCCCCCAAAATAGCACAGACAACACAAGACTTTCGCTCTCTTTCTCTTCGCTCCCTTTTGACCGCCACAAGAAAATACATATTTATGGAATGCGAGAAGGGAATGAGTTGGGAAAAGAAAAACGATTTTATGTCAAATAGCGACATTGCTCTATTAATCACCGCAGAGCCTGTCGAGAAAATTCTTGCGACTCGCTCGCAACTGATCGCATGGAAAGAGCATGACAATCGTCTTTGTAAGTGAAAAGAAAAGCCAATCTCTCTATCTCGGCTCCGAGAATCAACTCACTCACAGAGCTTATTCATCCAAAGTTCAAATGAATACACACAATAAAAACTTCCTTGTCAGCCATCTTTCAGGCCTGATTCCACCCTTCCAAGCACACGCTTTCACCCTCTCACCCTTTTCCCCATTGGCTTTTTACTCATTGACCAATTGCACACCACAGAAATCTCAACCCTCGCCACGTCCCGAAAAGAAGAGATTTTCCCAGCAACTTCCGCGCGCCAGTGAGAGGTCTGAGAGGAAGGAGGAAATCGTGAATCTTATGCCCACTGAGCACATACATATACATAACCAGAGGGATCAAGAGGTTAGTCATATCGTGATATTAATGTCAAATCGCCCCGAGGAAGTCAATAAAAACTCTGGTGGGGAATTAAAAGTTTCCCAAGTCCTTAAAATAAGAAGAAGTTTAAAGCCATTAAGAAGCATCGAGTGATTTATGCGATATTCATGTGAAAGTCCCCTCATGAACATCCCCTTTTAGGGATGCTCTCTGGTATGGAAAAATATTAATTATGTTAGGGAAATGCTGTGTGGAGGAGAAGGAAAACCGTTCGGGTCAACATCCTAACGCCTGGGAAACACTCTGTTTTCCTTCCTGTATTTTTGGGGCATATTTCTCTCAAACAAAATATCACCATCGCTTTCCATCACTTTGATGGCATTCTTTCCCCGGGAAAAACTTCCATCCTTTAGCACACTCTGAGCCATATGATGAATCGCCTCGCAGCAGAGCGACAAGAAGCACAAGCAATATGTGAGCGACAAGTAAACAGATTGAAATTCACACTGAAGGCGAGAATTAGCCAAGAAAGACACAAAGATACATTTTGCAAAAATCATATGAATTATGATGGCAGACACGTTTGATTTTCATCGCCAAGCGATCTTCACAGCGCACAAGATATCTCAATAAATTGTCCCTCCTTCGTTGGGCGAGCAAGCGAGAAAAAAGACGGGAGAAAATCACACAAATAAGATGCGTGGCGCATTTTATGCTTACGAGGGTGGAAAATTTTACCGCGAGAAAAAGTCCTCAGAGCCAAGCAAAGCAGAAGCAAAAGGAGAGAAAGCGCAGAAAGAGTGGCTCTTGAGACCTTTACCTCTTATTTTGCAATACCATCAATTGGAAATCACAAAACAGAGATTTCGCAATAGTGTTTTCCAGCTTAACGACCACTTTCACTGTGGTGCGCTTCAGCCACAAAACTTCCCCAATATCAAATAAATTTCCATTACAATTCAACCCCCCAAACCACAATTTCATTACATATTTTTTCCCACCCTCACTTTTGGCTGCCATGCTAAGTAAATTATCTCATTTCAAATGAAAGCTCCATGCGATAAATTTGTAAATTATTATGACAATACCACTAAATTTGCCAAATACCAATTTTCCCCAATATTCATTGGGGGTGGACGGGGGGAAATATATGGGAAAATGAAGGAGTCTCAAACTACTTCACCATCTCGCAATGCCACTTAAGCCACCCACTATCGAGTGAATTGATTATAAATAAATAAAAATGAGACTCACCTGAATCACGCTGCGAATTTTCCTCTCCCACCAATCAATTATCTCACACTCCCCAGCGATGCTTTTCATGGAAATTTTTCATCGTACACACGCTCTCTTTCTCTCCTCGTGCGAGATTGAATTTAAATTTCAATATGCGGTAAATTTCATGTGATATCTCTGCCCAGAGAGAGAGAGATGCGAGGAGAGAAAGGAATCCCTATTAGATTATATATGCTGAATACATAAATATGCACAGAACTCATTGTGCATTCCTCATAGTTTATACATTTTTATCATAGTCAAACTCACCATATTTCTCCATTCAATTTCTCCATACCAAAGCCCGGAGAGAACGCGCGTCTGGCGCGCTGAAGAAGAACCTTTTTCGCTCAGCCACCATTGTTGGCGTGATACAAAAGTTCTCAAGCAGTGCCAAGAACGCATCTGAGCCATGGTTCTCGAGAGAGCTTTCGCACTGTGGCTTCTTTCTTACCACGCTACGACGCCGGCGAAGACGAGCATCACGACGACTCAATAGACGAAGACCTGCTCCTTGAGGATTTCAACAAATATAATCGACTTTGGCGCTCTTTGGCCTCGTGATGAATTCGAGACTCCGCTCAGCTTTAGTTCAAATCTTGATTTCACGCTATTCAGTCGATTTCACATCTTCTGCTCACATCTTCTGCCGGCATTCCGCAACTCCCTGTCGCCCTGTGCTGAAGTGTACAATGAAAGTGAGAGTGTTGGCAGTGGATTTTCCATACATTTTCCATTTAAAACACAATTGACTGCCAGCAGAATAAATTCTCCTGAGACGTGAGAGAGAAAGAGAGCAGATGTTCTAAGACACTTAATTGGAAGGAAGTCCAAGACAATGACTCTGTCAGTGTAGAAAACTCTCACTCTAATTGGCAATAGGTGAAGTCTGGAGAGAAAGAGGAACTCTTAATGAACTCATTGCGATGCATTTCGTCCATCGACAGTGAAGCGTTTACATTTTGCACACAGTGCACAGCTTAAAAAGGGGGTGGAAAGTGATGAAAATTAATGGAAAGTGACACCAATGAGGAAAACAACGACGTCAATTAGCATAATTGGTGAGAAAATTTTCTCTTTCTTGAGCCCCACAAACACACTCAAGTTGCACGCGATCTAAGAAATTGAAATCCATTTTCTTCCTTCGACAGTAAAAACTCAAAACTTTTCATGTCACCCCGAAATTTCTCATTCAAAACCTACCCAAGAAAAAGAAAAGAAATGAGAAAGTGTTCAAAGAAAATATGTGTGAATGCAATTTGTCTGATACGAAAAACACACCCTCAATTGAAAGTGTTACTCTCTTTACACTTTTCTGCCCTTTTTCAGCCAATAGACGAGAAAAGACGGAGAGCTTTGAGTGAAAATTTAAGCAAGACACACAAGAGATAGATAAAATATTTTCCATGTAAATCTGACTTGCAATATTTATTTTCGGCAACAACACAATTGCCCACGAAGAGAGTGAATATGTATAAAAGGCATGGAATTAATCGACAGTGACTGTGCAGAGTTTTCACAGAGGATTTTCACCTTTCTCACACCCTTTTCCATTCACACACCCACAGTCTTCCTTCCGCCACTGGTGGTCAGAATTAATCTCAATTAACACGCAAAATTGCCAAAAATACGCACAGCAGAGGAGAAAAAAAAAGTCCCAAAATCTCCGGGAGATCTTTTAACATTTCTCGCCTCAATGAAAAATCCCACCCGCGGCAGTTAAATATGAACAGAGAAGATAAGCACTAATGTACTGTCTTTTTGCAGGTTCATCACCGCAGAATGTGATTTAAGAGGAAGAGTGATGGAGTGTTTACGCAGTTTGGTGTAAATTAATAAAGAAAAAAAACATCCGCATGAATGAAAAGACACGAGATTAACTGATGCGCATTTTGGGGGAGAACGAAAGAAAATAATTCCTCACTGAAATATTGTTTAAAAGCACGAGTGATAATATTAAATCATGCCAATGATGCACTTTATCACTTTTATGGGAACACATTCAGTATTGTTTATCCACGCTTCGATATAATTTACAGTGGCAAATTTTCTCGCGCGTCCGCCCATGAAAAATGATCATTGAGAGAGAGAAGTAATAAATAGTGATATACAAAGTATTTTGCCAAAAACCACTGGTCGCAGGACTTGAAGAAAAGCAATGGAGGAGCGCGCTGAAAGGAGGAAAATTCCCTCATCTCTGATCCGGGCGCTGTCGTGGCCGCTCCTGCCGGCGTCCGCCGCCCCCAAAGGCTCCAGCACGGCGTGCAGTGACCAAGAGAAGCATCCCAATGGGATTAATATCAACAATAATCACACGAGAGGAATATCCGCGTCGCCGACATTCCAGCAATTAATAACGGCGCGGCGTCTGCTCTATCGTCATTACTATCCGGAGGGCGGATGGGGAATTGTCATAATAATCGTGGGAGTTCTCATTCAGACACTCACGCACGGCCTGCAGCTCGCCTTCGGGGTCTTCCTGGCGCCCACGAAGAAGAAGTTCCAGCAAACATGGATAAATGTCGGTGAGTCAATCACAAACCCCCACGAAATTGCGCCCAATCTGCCAATGAGACCATTAATCACAGCACTAAAAGTCAATTAGGCAACGAGAGAGTGCTTCATCGTGTCAAGCACGCCAATTGAAAAGTTTATGGAAAATCAATTAGAGAAACAGAGTGGAGAAAAATTCCCTCCGAAAACACCCACTAAGTTGCCCACAATAAATCCATTAAATGCAATTACACACTTTTTTCTCACACGCAAATTTCAACCCAAAGTTTTATGCACGAGAAAACAGCCACAAAGTTTACAACTTGAGTTGAAAAAAGAAACTCCAATTGTTGCATGCTGAGCAAGGAATGCTAAGTCAACGATAAAATCGAGAGAGCTTTTGCCACTTTGACAAATTTCATCTTTGAGAAATTACACAATATTTGTACAATAATTCAGTCATGCATTAATATTGAACAAGGGACAATTTGGTGCTCAAAGAACTTTCATTTATCCATAAATGATCTAATCAAGAGGCAACTTCGCATAAAACTTTATTTCCTCTCGCTTTCTTCCTAAAATCTCAACTCCAAACACGATTTCATCAATAGTCCAACTTTTTACGACATTCTAATTACACAGTAAAGTGTGGATAAGCGACAAAACTTGAGGCAGAGATTTTACCCTATTTAACAGCTTATACTTTGCATTGCAATTTGCTGTGTGTGTGAGAGAGTGAAGTTCAGGCTCAGAGGGACATTTTCAGAGGAGCCATAACAACTTTATGATGTGGTTTGTTGTCACCCCAAAAGAAAACTTTCCCACGTTTTTGGTGTTTCCTCTCTCTAAAATCACCAAAAATCGTCTACCTTCACTCCGTCATAAATGCCACACAACATGTTCCTTCTTGCGTCCTTTCGGAGCCCCGGAAAAGTGTCGGTGACTCTTGTTATCAGGATTTGACAATTTCTCTCTCACACTCTCTCGAGTGGCTTTTCCTGTGCCGGAAGACATTGCGTGGCGGCGTGATAAATTTACTCTAGAGTAATTTTCATCAATACACTGGGAAATCCATGGGAGGCAATAAAATTTATGCCCTGAAACCTTGTGTGCCTCATCATCATCCCCAGCGATGACGATGAATCTCGTGAAATATTCATTCGAACCGCAGATGCGTGAGAGAGGAAAAGAGAGAGAAAAATCCACCGTGAAGCCTCTGGGTGTAGAAAATAAATGAATGAATGTGTAGCTATGAGAGAACAAGTCAATAAATGTAAATTATCCCATTCACAGAGTCACACACAAGTGGATTAATATCGTTATATTGTCAGAGGGTATTGCTCTCTTTCGGCCCCCAAACGATAATCTATCCCTGCGAGTGGGCAAAAGTGAGAGAGAGAGAAAGCTCCAAAGAGTGGGTGGTTTTGCGAAAAGGGGGCAAAAGCTATTTTTAGTCTATAAATTTTAACACGAGTAGAACATACACACCAAACTTTCCCACTGCAAACTCCGTGCGAGATTGTAGTCCGCGTGTGAGGAGAGTTGGAAGCTTTAAAGCCATATCATTTTCACACAACTCACCCCCCAACCCCCGTGACAACACTTTAAATTGGCCCATAAAATCTCCTCTTACACTTTCTCAACTTAAGACTCTCTCTCTCTCCCGTCGACCCAGAACACAACACGTACTCTATTCATCTCAAGCTGGATTTCAAAATGTTAATTATTGCACATTTAAGCCCAGGGTGACTCGACGCAAGTGTCAGTCGCTCAGACGAAAAACTCTCCTCCACTTCTGAAGTATCGTGGAAAAAATTATGTAAATCTTACAACCCATCGAGGAGCTCTGCGAGTGCCTAGAGAGACGCAGAGCTTCTTCATTCTCATCATCGCATTATCTCCTCGCGGATTATCACATTCCGACAGAGTGCAAGAAAAATTAAAGTGTTTAGGGGAGAGCGGGGCGAGTGTGGATTGTCAAACAACAGGTAAAAACGTGATCTGAGAGAAATTATGAGGACTTTTCCAGTAAAACTCGTCATTTGCACGATCTTGCGTTCATGTTTTAAAATCTAGAGTATGTTTAAGACATGTGAATGACTTGGATTTCGTGGTAAGAGACACAAATTATGTTTACGCTATAAATCTATATGTTACAAGGGGGAGATAATATGCTCTAAATCTAGTAAAAGAAATTCGTAAACTGTTTTCTCATTATTTCCCAAGATTCCATGTGATATTTCTGTAAAAATCCACTAAAAACCGCTTTTTTGAGCGTCTCTTCCGACCATAACCTTAAAAATATCACTAAAGGATTTTAAAAGACTCCAATTGGAAGCTTCAAAATCCCTGATTCGGACGCAAAATCGTGGAAAAAGTGGTCTAAAAACACAATTTTCAAGTCCACAATACTCATTTTGAGGTTATGTTGGACTTCAACACAATTCAAAGTGTTTAGTAATGTTTTATCGCATGAAAATGCTATATTCTGCTAATGATTAGCAATCTTGTCGACTTTAGCATAAGAATTAAAGTGCTAAAATGCAAAATATTCCCTAAATCCGTCCATAATTCATCACGTAACTTAAAAATCGATTGTTTCTTGGTTCAATTCGAAAAGAAATCTAAGGAATCATGGATTTCTTTTGGACTTTTTAAACATTTCAACTTCTTAAGTACTTCTGCTGAGCTGTACACCACTTCTGACTGTATTATCTCCCCCTTGACGGAGATGTGATCATTTCGTCCAACACTGGAGGCGGAATTGGAGAGAAATTCATCTTCCCAAATCCATGGCAAAATAAAAAGCCAAGAAGTCATTTTAAATTGGCCATAATCAATTTTGCATCTTCTCCGCCCATAAACACATGTTTTATCCAGAAAAAAAGAAGAAACTGCATCAATTTTGCTGGCTATGCAAGGTGTATACGCAAAGTTAAAAGTGAATGTTGTCGCCCTACATTATGTATTCAAATGACCTTTCTTACCACAACTCCAACATATATGTAGCTCTCAGCTAATTTATTTTCCTCGCCTGGTCCCATCATCATCATCATCGACTCCACATCATCGCCACTCATTTCCCAATCAGCTCACACACAGTGCAGATCATCCGAAAGCCACCCAGAGAAGGATGCGCCATCATGGGAGATGGCAAGCAAAAGGAGATGGAAAAAATCTGCGTTCACGACGGTGAAATGGAGCAAAAGACAAGAAAGAAATTGAAATGAAAGACCAGGCAAAGTATCGCAAACAAATAAAAATACCATTAACACGGGATCGCATAAAAGTGATGCAGAAAAACAAGTTTTGTATAAATGTGTGCAAACATCATTTGCTCAGTTGGCTTGCTGATATGCGCGCCAAATGAGCGGAGACAACATTGCGAATTTTCCGCTCAAACCATCCCCAGAATTGAAGGGTGGTTCAGAGCCTCAATCTCGGCCCCTTTTTTCCGTCGCATCTCGCCGCACATAATCACACAATGGACTTCCATCGCCGCCGCACAATGCCAATTTAGTCAGAGTTTCGGATTTCTCAGCGCCGGGAGCTTTTTTCCTTTCGCTCTCTCTCTCTCTCTCTGTCTGTCTCTCTGCCACTGGCCGGAAGTCAGCAGTCGCGCACGCCGGGAAAAAAGCCCAAGAGAACAGAGTGAGAGAGCAGTGCGGCCGAGCCGCCAAATGCACATTGCAGGGCATTCGGGGATGTAAGAAGTGAAGCCGAGGAATGCCGCGGAGCGCATTGTGAGAGACACAGACACAGTCAATGCTGGCGCACTTCAATAACGCAAAAGTCAGTGCGCCACATTCAGGCAACATGATGTGCCACAATCTTTAGCTTGTTGACTCTCCCCAGTGGGGACAGTGTATCTCTCTCTCTCTCTTGCTCACCACGCTCGGGCCATATACACACGACATATATGAGCAGAGAATTGTACAATCCCAACAAGCTTATACTATTTGACTCGCCAATCCGTTCAGTTATTCAGCAGCAGCAGCAGCGCGCGAATCTCTTCTTGACCAGCTTCGCAGTCACCGCGCGCCAACAGTGTGACTCCGCGGAGTGCGCGGAGTGTCTCAGATCGCCGCCAGTGTTGTTCGCCCCAAATGTTACCCCCTCACACGTGTCTGTGCACCCTTATCACCAGCCACACACCGCCGCTCCTGACCATCCACCGCCCGCCTCGCCTTCCTGCCACACTTGCCGAAACATCCCGCCAGAGGCCAGCGAGTGCAATTAAATTTTACTATCATATTGTGTGTGCAGTTCGCCAAAGCTCTCTCGCGGGCACTCCAATATCGTGCTCTGCCCAACATATCGAAAGTGTTGCATTTTTTCCTCCCATCGGCAATCTCTTTTGCACCGCAAGTGTCTCACTCGCGCAACCTGGGCTCGTTTCACGGCTCAGAAGACAACAACAGCGGCGACAAAAAAACCGTCCACCGTGAAGTGACTTCGAAAAACCAACCAATTTGAACTACAACAACTTGTGCACGATTTTAATTATCTCTTTCCCACCTCACTCAACTCACCAACCGCCATGAGCCCAAAACACGCACACGATCTTTGGAGTAGCATTTTGAAATGCCCTGCCAATAAGAGTGCCAATATTTGTTGGAGAATCGCTTCCTCTAGAGAGAAAAAAAAGCGCCACTCTATCTAGAGTTTGGCGGTGCTCTAAGCTAGAGATGCAGGAAAATCCTCTCCTAATTGTGCTATCAAACTCCCATGAAGACCAAACACACATTCACTCCTGAGTCAAGGAAATTTCCAAGTCATAATCACAGGGAATGACTTTCTCGAATTTTATCTCTTTTGCAACACTATCAGGATATGTCACACCATTGTTCACATACAAGCTCTCTCTCTCGTCTCCGCCCTCAAACTACCCCGCAAACACTCTCGCAGCACCACAATCACACCAAAGTGACACTAACTCTTTAGTCTCCCACAATAAAAGTAGATACACTTCAATATTAAGTAGATTACTTCCATCGCACTCAATATCTGCAGCAAACGAGTGCTCTTCTCACCCCAAGGAAGATATTGCATGAGAGATTAGGATCGACGCTCTTCCCAAAACACTAAACTGCATTTCAAGTGGGTTTTCTTCACCATAAACACAGCACAGATCCATTGTGTGATCCACACATATGCTTTTTTGAGCACTTCGTGCGCGCGTAATTTCCATTTAAATTCTCCTCAGCGATTAACACAGTTTTTTGGTCTTTCACTCGCTGGGACTCAAATTACGTGCACTGTGCGCGAAGTGACGATGGAGGCCAATTTACCAGTCAATCACTTGTGATCGGGCGAACAATCAATTTCTTGGTGGAGAAGAAGAGTGAAGAGACGCTCAATTAGTGTCATATTTTCGTGACCTCTTATCGCTGAGAATCATCGCAATGTGCTTAAGTGTGGGGATTAAAATTGATTTCCTTGATTGAATTGACTTCGCACACGATTTCCAGTAGGGAGACTGACCCAGATGGCGCCACAAGCGATCTTCCGCATATCAAATCAATTCTCAAGATGGCAATTCTTGCGTGCGTGTTTTGTCACACCGCGCACACAGAGAGTGTCCCATTTAGCCATTTGGCTCTCGTGAAGAGTGGAAATTTATTGCAATGGCATTGATGACAGTTGAACAAGGAGAATATTTACCGATGGTGCAGCATTTGGCATTCCACGCTTTCCCAACACTGTCTTTCTCTCTCTCCACATCTCCCCCATTATATTTATGATCCCCCTTAAATACCTTTTCTCACATTATTGCCGTCATCATGCGACATCCCGTCCGCATAAGTTGTTGCTTCCTTTCCTGGGGTTTGCACACAAACGCCACATTTCTCTCTCTCTCTCTCTGCACCTCATGAAATCACGTGGCGCGCAATTCAACGATATCGCGAGGAGTGATTTTCTCCCCGCTGAAGATCGCTTTTCACCTCTTGTGTACACATGTTCATCTCCCGCGCCCTCCCACCCCACACACTGATGTCTCCAAAGTCAATTGACTTTTCAATTGAAGAACCCCCCACTGTTTTCACATCATTGCCAACAAATATCCATGCTCTTCGCCGTCTTTTCATCCTCACATCGCCCAGAGAGCCACCAACAGCACACAAATTCCGAGAGAAATAAATGTGTGACCATTAAATTCGCCACAGGAATCAATTCACCTTTCTATTTTGGCATCACACACTGCGCTAAATGGTTTCAATTGCGTCTGCTGAGCTGGCTGAGAGAGCGAAGAAGGAAAAAATCCGCCACATCTTAAGCCACCCAGATCAACTCTTCTCACCAGTGGGTTCCACATAATTGAGATAATTGTCGCCGGCACAAGAGAGTGAAATTGACTCGACCGCTGAAAATGGCAATTTTTGGACAAAATCCAACATAAATACACTCAATTTCGCGCCCAACAATCTCTTTTGTACACCATTCAACACCATCCAAAAGAGCTCCGGCATGGATTTCACAGTGAAGTGACATGATAATTTAGCCGGCAAAGAGTAAAACAACATCACACACTCCTCAGTGAAATAACATTTTCCCTCTTAATCGTTGGAGAGAATTGAGAAAAAATAACTTTGCCAAAGTTCATTGCTCATGTTTGAGCTTCGACACACACACACAGATAAATTATTTATCTTAAGGAAAACTTTTCACTTCTCACACTCCAATTTCCCCAATGATTGTCTCTCTATTCTTCTTATTTATTTAAAACTTCGCCACTGAACCGTGCATCCTTCCCATTCTCCAAATTAGACAAATAGTGCCATTCCCACAAACAGAGAGAGAGAGAGAGAGAGCTTTTAAGGATATTTCTCCCCATATCAGTATAAACTTTTCAATCTGTCGCCCTGTGACCTCAATCATTCACGCGCGAACTTGAGCATATCCAATTAAGGCGACACTTTTTTCACCACTATGAGATCTCACTGTCTTTCATCTCCCCCAAAATGGACATTACAAATGATCCCAGCGATGGTCAGAAAGTGTGCGCGGAGATAAAATTAATTGCATATGAGTAACAGTTGAATTTACCATACCCAAAAAGCCCCACAGAGTGTGTGTGATCTGTCGAAATAGCAAAAGAAGTCTGCAAATAAATGTGCTGCTATCGCGCTGAGAAGAGACAATTAATATGGATTTACATGAATTTATCACAACGAATGTCTCGCGTGTGTGCCAATGAATAGCTATAGAGGAGAAAATGTATTGGGAATTGAGTGTAATATCCGGTGGTTAAGTGAAATCTCTGATTAATCCGCGCGGGGTGAGATGAGTGTGCTGGCAACAAGTCGCAGATCTCTCAGGAGATCGCAATCACTGCCTCACATTGCATCTCAGTCATCACGCAATGACTCGGGATTGGGCTTCAGTGGATCATGCAGCGATCTCGATCACGTTCATCACCACCATCATCATCACAGCCAAGAACCAAAGGTGAATCGATAGAGAAGCAGCCGTTGCCCATACAAAAAGAAGGGGTTGGCAAGCAGAACTTCCGCAATCTTTGCAAGGAAAGAGCGCATATTTCTGCTCAGGAGAAATTGAGGGGTGAATAACTGTCACGATCAGAGTTTATGCGGGAAATTTGACACAGAAATTTCATTTTATTTCCATTTAGAGTATTTGAAAGGACTGAAGATGCTTTAGCAATTCGAGTATCAAACAATAAAATCAATCTTTCTGCATTTTCACAGCTCAAAAAGCCAGAAAACTTAACTCAATACAAGAAATACTCACATTTAGAGGGTTTTGATGGAGAATTTTACCATTTATAGCATGTTTTATCAAATTTTGGCTGCTTTAAAGACTATTTCATTGGGATTTTGACAATGTCTTAAAATATTTTCCTCATTATTTGTCAAATCGTGAGGAATCTGATCATCGATCGCCAATTTAAACACTGTGAAAGACACTTATTCACCCCCTTGGGAGAAATAATCCTTCCGCATTAATTGTTATTGCTCTCCAACTTGCCAAAGGGGGATTTTCTCTTTTGCCACACCCTCTTGATCTATGGCAACGGAGGAAACGTGAGATCTACAGCGAAATCCATCCTCTCAGATAGCTTATGGTGCTCGCCTCGTGACAGACCTGAGGCAATTAATGACTCTCCGGCAGCATTACTACCCCGAAGGTGGCTGGGGTTGGCTCTTGACCAGCATCGGGCTCACCATGCAGTGCATCTCGCACGGCTTGCACACCTCCGCCGGCGTCCTCATGGTGGAAATGATGCGAACCTTCAGCCAAAACATCTTAAACACAGGTACAGAGAGCCAGAGAGTGAAATCTATATGATAAGTCCGAAATTCATCTCACGTGCCAGCGCAACTTCCTCAATAAATTGCCTCACGTTCAATTTTTTGACTCCATCTCGAGGCCATAGGCAAATCGCACGACGCGACAAAAAATTATTACTTGGCGCGCAACTCATTATAATAAACATTTTTGTTGCCATTTCATCGCGCGGCAGACAAAAGTGTGATTAAAGACACACAAAGTGGAAAAAAGGACACCCAAATAGAGAGACTCCTTAACGAGATTTTTGTCTCGATGGCATATCGAGGGAGTGGAGAGAAAAAAGGCAACACAAGAAATGTGATGGTGATTGTGGAAAAATTGCAATTACATTTTATATGGACAAATTAAATTTTATCGATTTGCTCACAAAATATTTCTTCTCTTTGGCCATATATATACAAAAGTGCGCGCACATCCAAATGACAACTTTACTAACTTATTTCCAGTGAGCAAGTCAATAAGAGGGACTTTTATACCACACTTAAACTAACAAATTGAAAACATGACAAAGTTGAAAGATTTCATTGGCAAATAAAATCACACTTTTTATTGCATTCGTCTGTCTTTTCACACTCATAACATATTCCGTCACTTCTTATTTTCTCCCTTTCTCTCGCCATCCGGCAAACATTCCACATATATGCATATGTATATGTCTATGGCCGAAAGATTTGCCGATAAGAGGGATAAATAAATTTATGGATTAATAGTAGGCAAAAATATCATATTGATATCATTCAATGGGGCTGTATTTCATCCACAACTTCCTCCATCTTCCGTGGCAAACAGAAGCAATCTTCCGCCTTCAGCCTCAGGACAAGATTGCGGACAGACGATTTCACACAGTCGTGGAGGAAATTGAAAAAGGAAAAATATAATCAGGAATAGAAAACAAGGAGCTTGAGAGCGAGAAACACATGTAAAAGCAGCATCTGGCGGAACTTTTGTCTATCTTCAGAGCCCATGAACTGAAGAGAAGGAGCAACAAAAAATGCCAAACTTTGGACATTTTGCAAGTTTTCTGATATCTCCCTTGAGGGAGTGGAAAAAAATAGCGGAAGAAATTGTGTTTATACACACAGAAAACACATCCTCAAGCTGATAACTTCTTTTCCTTCCCCACCATCTTCTCTCCTTGTGTGACACTTTTCCTCAGCAAGCGACACACACACTCGCTCACGCGATGGCCCTTGAACCCGTGCAATTGTTCTCCGCAGTCTCTCTTATCTTGAAGACAACATCACACAGTGTTATATAAATTAATCATCCAGCTTACAATTAACCTCACATCGCACCCTTTCTCACCCATCTTCCTTGCCGCATTGTCAGTGGAAGTGAATTTGATAAATTGATGCAACACTTTGTCAATAGTTGTATTCTTAAGACATTCCGTGGCAATGCAGATCCACAGAGGAGAAGAACAAAAAAGGACACGCCACGGGAGTCGAGAGGAGATGAAAGATGAACCACATTTACTCCCGCATGTCAATTTCAACTCAACATTCTCCCCCGCATGAGAATCCAAATGGGACAAGTCATTTTCAATGCCACTGAGTCCTTTGAACTGGCCATCAGAGATGGAAGTTCTCCAGATGCGAGAGCAGAGAATCCAAGGAGTCGAGAATTCTGTGCAAGATTTAGAGAAAAAGAGTGGAAAATGAAGGAGAAAAATATATTTTAGGTGTCAAATTGTCTCTTTAAGAGTTTTTTAAGCTCTTTAATATCAAAAAACTGATATTTTGTGGGTAGAAATAGAAATTTGAGGTTAAGTTTAAGAGAAATATTGAACGATTAAAGGACATTTAATGGTTCTTCTCGACTCTCGACTACAAATATCTGTCAGCATTATTAAAGATTCTCTTATGTGCATAAATTTTGAGATTTTCCAGTCTCAGACTCGTTTTTATCGTAAAACCTTGCGCAAAATCGTAAATATCCGATCAAAGATCAAGTTTTAGAGTAATTTTGTCTATTTGTTGGTTTTTACAAGCTTCTTAGTAGAAAAATTCGCTTTTTGCTCCTTAAAAATCGTGCATAATTATTTTATTAATAATAATAAATTTATTCTTCTCCTCCGCTATTGCGGCTGCCGCCAACTTCACAGCCGACCTCCCCGAGAAAACGGTAGAAAACTCGGAAAAATATATTTTGAAGAGATAGCAAGAAAAAAATTGTTCTATTGAATGAACCGAAGATTCAAAGAAGAAGGAAACGTCACACTGCATCCCCAATATTACCAACCCCTTGAGATGATGTGTCATGGCGAAAAGCCAGTGTAGAACAGCAATTCAACTCTGTTGAGTAGAGATAATACGAAGAGATATCAAGAGGGAAAATCACCGGCACTTTGGCAAACTTGTGCAAATGATGGAATGATGAATGGATGTCATGTGACGCAGAGGGATCCAACTCTCCATCAAGCAGGAGCAAAAAGGGGCCAACATATTTCACATTCTTGACAGATGTGACACCACACTAATATGCATTTCTTGCCACTTTGAAGATGAAGGAAGTGTCCTCTTCCGCCCCCCAATTTCTTTTCTTCCTCGTGCGGCCACAAGATGAACCTTTCCACCCACCATCATCAATTCCCCCTTGGCGATGTAGTGGAGGAAGAAGTTTATAACTTGATTTTTGAAGCATTTCACACCACATTCGCCCCTCTCTCTCTGCCCGCGTAATAAATTCCCGCTGTGAAGTATCCCAACAGCCAGAAGATTTTCTCCTCCAAATTGATTTATCATCCAGCACACATTTTGCTATTATTAAACGGAGGAGTGAGAGAGAGAGAGAGAGAGCGCCATCGAATATCAACCCACAATCTCTGAACTATGCAAATAAATCACACTCAACTTGTGCATAGCATCTTTCTTCCCACCTGTAGATTCACCAGGAGCATCTCTCACGCTGATTATCTCCGGCAAATGTGTTCGAATTTCCACTCACAGTGTGATACCTCCCAGAAATCGATGAAATCTGATCTGCGAATTTGCAAAAAAAAGCCAAAAACCACCAAACCTAATGGAATTAAGTTGACTGGGAGAGTGCGGAGACGGAAAAAATATGACTGTATTACATGAAATTAATTGCCATTTGCCTCGGGCGTCACATTGATTAATGGGGATGAGGAGAGGCCCTGCTTATTCTTTCTCCTCCTCTTTCTCCCTCTCTCTCTCTCTCTTCTGAGAAATCTACAACATTTACCCAGAAAGTCGCGACTGTATAATTTTACACTTTGAAGGAAATTCCTCAATTAAAAACAGGAAAGAACCCAGAAATTTTTTCCTTTCACCCGCACCATTAGAAAAATAAATCGAACTCCATCAGCGCAATAAATCTCATCCTCACTTGCAGATCATCTTCCAAGTTCATTCCCCAACTTCAACCCTTCGCGCAAAAAAAAGGGATTCATTGAAATTCTTCCAAGATTTCAATGTAAACTGAAAGAATTTTGCACCACAAAACTTTTTCAATTGACGCAGAGAATTTTTATTAGAGACACTTTTCATCAGCGTGACAGTATTTTTCACTCTCCTCCGTAACTTCTCTTCAATTCCACATCGCGCTTTTTGACTTACAACCACGCAGAAGATAATTCTCAATTGCTAATCTCCAGTTAGATTATCTCTCGCCTCAAGAGCGCCTCGAGCGTGCGCGCCTTTGATCTCTTCCACACCACATCATCTCAGAGTTTCGCATTTCTCCTCGAGTGTCTCTCAAGCCATGGATTGCAGAATGCAATAAAATTAATTGCAATTTCAATACGTGAGCATCTCATCACATTTTCTGATTTATGTGCGGTTAATTTCAGCCTCTAAAATGGTCAAATGGCATTTTTCTCTCACTCTAGTCAAGTCGCTCTAGGCAAATAAACGCGATATTGCGCGCTATAAAACCACTTGAAGCAGCATCCAATGCAAAATCTTGTTGCCCATTTTAATGGCAACGGCAAAAGGAAGTCTCCGCGAGTGGTGAAAATTGCGTCCAGATATTTATCAAATAAGTGTCAATTCAGCACTTCTTCACGCGCAACTTCTCAATGAATAATTCTTCCTTTTACGACTTTTTCCCCTCCACATTGTGCATGATTTCTCATTTTCCGCGACTTTTTATTGTTCTCCCTGTTCGTCCTACATTTTACATTCTTCTCGCAATATTTTTTCTCCTTCATTTTTATGGTTCTTTCTACGCTGTGTGAAAATTTTCCAAACCATTTTGATCGAATAAATCCTCGTTGAAACTTTCAATATTAATTTATCGTCAATTTATTGCTCTATTTTGCCAATGCGAGATGGAAGAGAGAACGCGAAGAGTTGAAAAATTATTGCCAAAATTGTTAAAAGTAGAGAAAATTTCTCACACAAACATCATCACTTTTCACCTCTAATCAGTGCTCAATAAAATTTTAAACACTTTCTGTTTCTCTCCGCGCGTAAAAACTCGCCTCCAACCCTCCGCTTGAGATTATATAAATTAATGGGCACATCTGATATGCGAAGCTTCTGTAACTCTTGTGGAAAAATTCACCAGCTGAAGAAGAAAAAAAATCCCTGGGCATGAAGATAAAATTTTACGATGCATCGCAGACGGAATGAGAGCGTGAACTAACCAGAGAGATTTCAACTTCACTTTTATGACTATCGAGTCGGCAATAATAATCGTCCGCCATATGAAGGGGTGGTAAATACACACCCAGCGCAAGAATGCGAGAATCGCCGTGTTTTTGATCGAATCTTATTAAATACAGCGCGCATTTCGACGGCCGAATCGAAAACTATGAAAAGCCTTTTATTTGTTTTTCCCGTACAGAAATTTTGAGATTTTTATCTTATAAAGAAATAGGAAAAGATCTTATTTATCTAAGAAGCACAAATGAAAAAAATTTTATGTTTTCTGAATGAAAAATCGAATTTTCATTGTTTGCGCCAAGAAAAATGTCTCAAAATTTACAATCAAACGCATAAAAAGTCTTTTTAGAATCATCCTAAAATGTTTTTTAGACTTTGAATGAATATTTCTCATATCTTTTAAATTTTTTCACTTGAAAACATTAAGAAAAAGTTCAAGTGAAGTATGAAAAGTTGATTTTTTAGAACTAATTTCGATAAAATTGACTTTGGACAGTAATATTTTAAGATTTTCCATCAATTTTGCTTTATTTTAGTCAAAAATTCCAATAAATACCAAAAAAATCAACTAAAATATTCACAAAATAATAAATACAGCGCAATATTTGCACTTTAACGAACGATTTGAAGGCGTTTTGAGTTTTTTGAAGTAAATTTGGCAAATTTCGCAGCTTTATTAATGCTAAATTTTTAATTCGCTCTGCTGAAAAATTACATTTTTGAGTTTTGATACTTTTCGAGGCACCCGTCGATTTGTGTACACTTTTCTCCACACACTTTGCGTCATCATAAGCCAGTGAAATTTATGCTGAACGCGCTCATTCACGAACTTGTCCAACTGCGCTTAATGCGGTATTTAAGAAGTGGTCAAGCATCGACCGAAACTATTGAATTCCAATTGAATTGCAGCAAAACTTGCAGAACGTGAGCATCTTTTGATTTCCCATGGGTGGGAAAATTTCTTCCTCATGCACCACAATATTGTGTGTACGGTCAAAGTTTTCAATTTCAACTTTATAATTGCTCTAGAGAAGTCGACACGAGTGAGAAATTCCATCACGCAATTAACATCATTTTTCCACCAACAACTTTCAACAACTGGATTTTTACTCGCTACACGACAAAATTCCCCCTCTGCAATATTGTGAAAATGAAAATTTTCCCCCCTGGTTGTGGAAGACAAGAGCGCACACAGAGAAGAATGGAAAAAGAGGCCATTCAATAAACCACCTTTTGATCCACCCCTGAAAAAGCACACAAATGAAAACACTCAAAATCCCCAAAAGCATCTGCCATAAAGTCAGAAAATATCACAATCAAATAGACACGCGCACAAGAGAAAAACGGAAGGAAAAGCAGCAAAAATAGAGTGTAATAAAATTTCAAAATTATCTCCATTGCGCGCAAGAGAGAGAGAGAAAAACCTTTATTACACTTATTAATAAAACATTTTTCAACCCCATATTGTTCGAGGAATCAGACAAGCCAGAAAATTTTCACGCAACATTTAATTTGAGTTGCGACCAGCGATGAAAATTCCACCCAAAAACGTTAATTGCCATTAAATTATGAAAATTTATCCTTCGAAAATGTCGCACGGAAAATTCATTGAATCCCACATAGTCATAATGGCAGCAATGTTTCATCAGATTTGTGGCTTTGACTCTCGTGTGCACTTTTCCACCCACTTTCCCCCCCTCCCACCGCCCAGATTCTGCCGAGACATTTATACAAAAGTATCCGTGGAAATGGCCTCAAGGGCGGACAAGAGAAAGAACATAAACGCTGCGGGAAAAATGGATCAAATGCTGCATATATTGACTTTTGGGAGACAAATCAAACAATAAAAATCTTTATAGCCAACAAATGTTTCTCCATTCGTCATCCTTTGTGTATCCAGAGTTGAGTGAAACCACTGAAAAATTAATATATAATTTCACTATAAAACCAAAAACTTTACCGAATGTTTAAAGCTCCCGAAAGATAATCTAGAATTGATATTTGTGCAGATTGCAAATCCAAGAAAATGATAAAGATGTCTAGAAAATCACACTCGCTCAGCTCTGTTATCTATTCTGAAGTTTTCTTGAGCACTTGGCACACAAATTTCAGAGCAAGAGTCATCGATTGGAACGAAGAGCGCCTCATCCAGGATGGCACGGGCGACAATAAACAAGCCAAGACTGGGAGAATGAATTCTCGGGTCTCCTAGAGTCAGGAAATTCCTTGTTGATATTTGCCCCAACACTCGACCGCTTGTCCATGAATATTCCCGGCTTTTTGCACACGAGAAGTGTTAACCAAGGGGGAGATAATATATCTCAAATCTGGAATTTGAAGCCTGTTTCCACATTAATAATTTAATTAATCCAAATGTGATAAATCATATGAATCTCTTAAGTTTCCATCCTACATTTCTGCAAGAATCCATTATAAACGCTTTTTTGGTCATCTTTTCTAACCATAACCTCAAAAATATCACTAAGAGATCTTTAAAGACACCTTTTGAAAACTTTCCAAATCACAAAATCGTTCTTTTGATTTGCAAATGAACTCAAAAGTACTGATTCAGAGTCAAAATCGTGCAGAAAGTATTCTAAACACCTATTTTCCACGTGCAAATGACTATTTTTGAGGTTATGTGCGATCTCAACACACACTTTGCAATGTTTCTTGGTATCAATGGTGCAGGAAAGGAATGTTTATTGCCAATGACTAGCGATCTCTCGGACTTGAGCATAAGAATTTATGTGCTAGAATGCGAATTATTCACTAAATCTATCCTTGATTCGTTACATAACCTACAAAAAATATTATTGTGATTTTTTCTTCGTAAAAATCAAAGGAAATCCAAAGAATCTGGATAATTTGTGAGTAAAAGAAGCACTCAAGAAAGAAATTATGCCAATTTTTTAACACTTCCACTTCTTAAGCACTCCTGACTGTATTATCTCCGCCTTGACTCTGTCTTTGCAGGATGGCTGGGAGCTCTCTCGACCGCCGTCGCCCTGGGCATCTCGCCGATCACGGTGGCTCTCTGCAAGCGCAAATCGACACGCCTCACCGCCGTCATTGGTGGTCTAGTCACAGCTCTTGGATGCCTCTTCACATCTTTCGCCTCGCAATTTCACCAATTGTTCTTCAGTTATGGTAATCATAAGTAATACGCATCTCTTCTCCTCCACCAGTCTTGGCCCTCTAATGAGGCCTTCATTGGAAATTATGAGCTCGTAACGCAGTTTCCCGCGGCCAAATTGTGCCGTCATTAATGAGTTGCGGAAAAAGGGTTAAGGAGAAAATGACCAGATCCACACGAGGAAGTTAAGCAGCGCGTTGCTCAAAGTAACTGAATTACACCCAGACAAGCAGTGTTAAGAGCCCAATGAGAAAATCATCATCATCATTAAAATTCCCCCCGTCTTTTAAATCCGGACAAATTGAACTGAAAGCTCCACGAGGAGTAAAAAAAAGAGCTCCACAAAATCAACTAAGCGCGAGCAATTTGAAATCAAAACCTCGAGCGATTTGCATAGAGACAAGTGTAGACTTTTTTCTCTCGCCTATCCAAGACAAAATGCCTTCTTTTTTTCCTGCCATGCAAAACGTGCCACTCTCGTTTACTTCTCACTCAACATTTCTTTTTGCTGGCCTTCAGTGTCTTTTTTCTTTCTTTGAAAAATCCCCAAAGCAACGGCTTTTGATATTGGAGACAATCTTCATTGTCTCTGGCATTGATTTTTCTCATGCATGAGTTCTTCAAAACATTGAGCCAAGAAGAATGCAACTCTGACGGTGATGAGATAAATGAATTGATTTTCAATTATTTGACCACCAACAACGAGCTTCTTCAGCACCGCAAAAGGCGAGAGAGAAGACACGAAAGGAAACTGGGAAGAATGATGAAAGATTGCAAGCAGTGCTGAGAAAAGGCGAAAGCAAATATCTTCAAGATGAAATGGAGTTTGATATCAAAATACAAAGTAGATCAACAGCCACAGGGCAAAATCACACACAAAACACACACATTCGCCACAGTTCTCCTCACTGGTAAACATCACGAGAGTTTAATGAAAAGTTCTTCATCATTTTCCATCACTCTGTGACATGGCGGAACATCGTGTGAAGCTTCTTTGATTTGTGCTCAAGGAGTTGCCGAGCGATTGAAGAACTTCCCAAGCGACTCTCGATGCTGCTGAAGTTCCTCACAATTCCAGCAGAGCAAATATAGTATGAGAGTTGCGTGAGAAGAGGCAAAAGATTTACTTTACACCCATTATGTCATGACAAGTGAGCGCCTCATCAATGAAATCTCTCCACACTTTTGACTCAATATATGGTCAAAGCCGGAGTTGTGGAGTCAAGGAGTGGAAATTGCGCGCTGTGTAATCACACATGCTCACACTCAGCATATATATATCGGCCAGATTACAGTCCAATGGCAGGAAAGAGATCAACGGGTAGAGGGAGAACATGAAAGATTGCCGCTCGGAAGAAAAGTGACAAGCAAATGAATTAATCAATCATCGAGACTCAGATGAAAGTGACATGACAGCCATTCATGCTCACACTTCTCAACTCTCGCGCGCGCCCAAATTGAAAGAAATGCACGCAGTGCGAGAAAAAAGGCAGGAAAATTGATTCCTAGCCCATCGCAACTACCGAAACACGCCAAAAGTTTGCCAAAGAGAGCAAAAAAAGCACTCTCAAATTGGCCCCGAAGCATTCCAGCGGCGGCGGCAGGAGGAAAAAAGCGATCAGGTGGATCCCGTGGAGTGAAAAACTGATAAGCAACTTTGGTCCATTTATCATCTTTTCCTCCTTCGCCACCTCGAGCCACGACAGCAGTGCGTGTGACAGCGAAAAAGCCCTCCGGAGGAGAGCGCAAAGTTGACCACAAGCACAATGCCTCTGAGATGTGGAAAAAGTCACACACACCTTCCAAAAGAACCATTCATCTTCTCAGCTCGTTACATTTTCCTCACCCAGAGAAATTAATGACAAATTTGCGACAAAGAAAATTCACTTTTCATCCTTCTCCCTTTTGAGAAAAGCCATCAAAAACCCTGAGAAATTCATATCTCACAGGGCTACAATTGGCTTAAGCTTGAGGTAGGATCTCGAGAGACACGGAGAATAAGCTTGATAAATAGAGTCCACCGACACCGAAGGTTGGATTACATCCGAGGGGTGAATAAGTTCGTCAACCTGATGACTTTTTAGGTCAAAAATAGGATTTCAAGATCATTTTTAGGGTATTTTGACCAAATAAAGCTCAAATTCGATGTTAATATCAGAAATTTCACGAAAATGTCACCCCTATTCCTCACCAGAGGCCGTTGAAGCATGTAAGCTGGCACTAACGTCTGTTTTCCACCCCATTTTGCAGCTACGGTTGTCGGAATTGGCGTGGGAATGACCAGAGACTGCTCAACACTCATGGTGGCGCAATATTTCAAGCGACGCCGGGAGTTCGTGGAGATTTTCATCGTGGCCGGAAGTGGTCTGGGCATAACAGTCATGTCAGCCTTCATAAAGTCCTCCATAGATTCAATTGGATGGAGGTAATGTGGGTTGGGGAGAATTATAGTGTGCGCAGAAGAGTCCTTTTTCTTGCAATTAATTGCCGAACTCATTAAGTTTTATTCTATTCACCCCCTCGCAATCTGTCTCAACAGACTGGGGCTGCAGGCAGTGACTGGCGTGGTGTTTCTCACATTCATCCTGGGCACATTCTACAGATCCGCGTCCCTCTATCACCCCCAGAGACGCGCCATACTGCATCTGAAGAATCAGCGGCGCAAGATTAAGGACAAGAACAAGCAAGACGATTCGCCGCCATTCTTCGACTTCCGCACCCTTCGCAGCAAAACCGTGAGAATCCTCCTCATCTCCACTGCCATCAGGTGAGCCCAGTGCAATTAATTGCCGCGCGCGGGTGCCGAAATGAGCAATTTCCTCCACAGTGGCAATTACAAGTCGAGAAACCGCACACACTTGGCAGACGGAAGAGTGAATTGAGAGTGGAGGAAATGTGCAAGTCACTTTGGTAGCCACCTTCATAAATTCATAATTCAGCAGCGAGATGATTTATGCTGATTCTTTTTTGCCACCGAGACGAACTAATCAGTGGCTCATGAATTAACCATTCAAGCGCGCGTTTCGTCATGTAATCGCGAGGCGAAAAAAAGCGCCAAACAAGAGTCAATTTAAAAGAAATCACAGTTGAGATTCTCTCTCTCTCTCCGCAGTGGCTTCGGCATCAACACCCCAATTTACTACCTAGCGCACCAAATGGAGCAGGACGGCATCGGGGATCGCATTGTGGTGCTGCAGGCGTATCTCGGGCTCGCCTTCATGCTCGGCTGCGGCGCCTTCGGCATGCTGGTGGTCCGGAACAGCGTGGAGTGTCGCATCGCGCGCCAGTATCTCTGCCAGACGAGCATCTTCATGTGCGGCATCAGCATTCTCGCCTTCACGGCCGTGCACGGCAACTATCACGGCTACGTGATGTTCGTGTGGATCTACGGCATCTTCTGCGGCGGCTATCACTACTCCCTCAAGATGTACACGTACGAGAGAGTGCGCGCCCGGAACTTCGCGCGCACCTGGGGCTTCGTGCAGTTCTCCCAGGCGGCGCCCATCGCCCTCGGCGTGCCGCTCACGGGATACATCAGCGAGAGGGCCGGCGCCAAGGAGGGCTACTACTTCAGCTCCCTGTGCGCCCTCCTGGGCTGCCTGGTGCTCTTCTTCGTGGACCTCCATCGCAGGAATCTCTCGCGCCACAAGCACACGCGAGCCAACGGAACGCGCCATCTCTGCACATCCGACTCCTGTCCGCAGCGGCGGAAGCTGTCCTTCTCCCAGGAGCCCGACCACGAGCCTGGAGTCCTCGTGACCGGAGCCACACTGATGATTGGCTCAGAACTCCTCATTCCTCAGCTCACGGACAAATTCCTCGAGCCGGCGGCTGAGAAACCCGAGCTCACGTGCATCTCCGAGGAGGGAATCGCCGACATGGACCTCCCGGACAATCTCCTGGACGACCTCGACTACGTGGGCGACTGCATCACGTCGTGCAACAAGGTGGAGAACTTCCTGATGCTCAGTGAATTCGAGAACAACCTCAACGCCGAGATTCCCACGCTGCTGGAGAGGAAGCGCCGCCGCGTGTCGATTTCCATGAGCAAGAACGCCAAGATCGCCGAGGCCGACGAGGAGACCACGTCCAACGGCGGCGAGAAGAGGATTCCGTGCGGAAAGAACTGCAAGCTGGACTGCCCAGAGCTGCCGTCGAACAGCCATCGGCACCACAAACTCTGGCATCCGCCCGCGAACGCGATAACTGTGATTGATGAGGCTTCCGTCTGAGCCCCAGGACACACTGCCCCCTCAAAGCATCTCAATGTACCTGACCAATTTCAATTTTGCACCGCCGGAAGCTCGGCCGGAAGCGCCGCGAGGACAGAACGCATCCCCAGAGAGAGATGGTGGGAAGAGATACAATAAATGTATAGATCTGTGTATAATAAGACTGTAGCCGCAAATGCAGGAATATTTATCGAATTTGTGTAGTGAATATTTCAAATATAGAGCACAGAGTGGATGGAATAAATAGGAATTTAGCCATAGAGAAAAGCGCAATTATTTTTATGGAGGGAAACCACAGCGACGCCTCTGGTGGCTGGGCACCGTACTATACAGTCTCAGTTTTCTACTCTTTTCCGCACAATTTGACAATGCTAAGTCATATTTGGTACAAAACTTCTACTTACCGAGCCTTCACGAACATATTTCACGTATTTTCACTGCAAAACATCACGTACTTCACTCGAATTGAGAGGCGAAAAGCCGCCAGTAGTGTTGAATCAAAGATATTCACCACAATATGGCCGCGCGGGGAGTCGCGTGGAAATATGCCACCAGAGGGCTACGTGCCGCGCCTTGACAATCTCAGAAATTATAAAAACATTGGATTTCATCACACTTTACCACTTTTTATCGCCGTCCCTGCGAGTTGGAAGACTCCTCAAGTCATCTCAGTGTGTGCTCGAGTGTCTCGTCAGGCTGTTGCAGCCAAGATCTCGCGATGTCTCTGGCTATTCTGTACAAAGCGGCCTGGCTTCTGGTGCATCTCATCTTCACGGTTGTGGAAACCGTGCTCTTCTACCGGAACCACCTTCTGCGGCAGCTCAGGAAGCTCTCCCCGCGATCACAGCCCCAGAAGACACCCACCAATCATGTGGAGTACCTGAAGCTGCATCGGGAGTACCTGGAGAAGATCCCACAGCATTTGGCAGTGATTCTGGGCTTGGAGGAGCCAAACTTCCAGACGCTGGCCAACATCATCTACTGGTCGATGGCCAGTGAGATCAGCTACATCAGCATCTACGATCATCGAGGTGAGAAAAAACCGCCTATGATTCTCAGAATCGCGCTGAAATTGCCACAAAAAAACCCAATGTTATGATCGCGCTCTATTCGCCGTGAGCACGAAAAAAACAATCCCATTAATTACACAAAAATTACCATAAAAATCTCGATTATCTAACAAATGCTCGACAAATTACTCTGAGAAACGAGGTTTATAGACTTGCAGAAAAAGAGTGAATAGTTGGGGAAACCTGCCAATTGCTGCGCTGTCTCTCGTTCCAGACATTCTCCAGTCGCGCCAGGCGGAGTTCCGGGAGTTTGTTCTCCGGCAGCGCACGACGCCAGGACACGTGGCGTTCGCCTCGGGGCCGGACACGAGCGACGGCAACGGCTTCAAGCGGCAGATCAAGGTGCAAATCCTGTCCAGAGCGGACGGGAAGCAGACCATCGGCGATCTGGCGCGCACGCTGAGCCAGGAAGTGCAGAGAGGAGAGCTGCAAGTGGACCAGATCGACGTGGAGTTCGTGAACAAGCGCCTCGGCGACCTCACGGGCAGAGTGCCCGATCCCGACGTGGCTGTGTACACGGGAAGCTTCTGCTGCACCTACGGCTTCCTGCCCTGGCAATCCAGACTGACTGAGTTCATCGCGATTGGGACGCAGGAGCACTTTGCGCTGGACGACTTCCTGGGCGTGCTGTACCAGTTCGCGCGGAAGGAGCAGCGATTCGGGAAATGAGGAATTCTCTTCTGTTCCTCGTGGTGTAAATATAACGTAGATGATTTTTGTGGTGTTGCGACGATGATTGGTGATATTATTGAGGGCGGAATTACAACAGAGATGCTTCTCAACATTCCTCAAGAGTCCTTTTTATTTGGTAAGAGAGAAAATTCAGTGAAATATGCCTAGAGAATAAACTTCAGGGAAGCCTTAGATGTCGAGAGTGTGGTAAAATGTGTGGAGCAGGGCGCCTAAAATGGGAGGGACTTTGGGGAAGATCAATTAGAATACCACCTGCGCGGCGCTTCCTCAGTGGCGGCCGTGTCGCGACGACGACGACCGCCGCTCCCTGGACCGCGACCTGGAGCGCCGCGAGTTGTGCGACGAGTGACTGTGGCGGCTGTGCCGATCGCTGGAGCGCGATCTGCCCCTGTGGCGCCGCCGCGAGTTGCTGGACGACGTCGAGGACACGTCGTCGTCGTCGCTCGTGCTCACGCTGCGCCGCCTCGAGCGGCCCGAGCTCTTCGAGTTGCCGCCGCCCTTGGCGCTCGGCGCCGGCGCCACGGCCGTCGCCTCGCTCACCACTCGGCCCCTGGGCAGCCCCGGCGCCAGCGGGTCCATCTTGTACGCGCCCAGGATCGACACGTGCGTCAAATGCGTGCCGCGCACAGTGTCGCGCGGATCACTGAAGCGCGATTGCTTCTTCGGGCGAGAACTGCGACCTGAATGGGAAGAGAGGCGCGCTTTAGCCACGGCAAGTCACTTCCGGAGTCCCCACACAGCCCAAGGGGGAGATATTGCGAGCTAAAGTGATTCCTTTCCACTTTTGCTTAGGAAAATATTCTTTCTAGCGCGATTTTTAATGTTTTTGTAAGTTTTTCGACCAATTTAACTTCAAACTTAGCGTGAAAATTGCATTCTAGCAGTTCTAGCAAATATTTAAAGCTGTTTTTTAACAATATCTGTTCGGTTATTGTTGAAAAAATGCCCAATTAAGCTTTCTAAGTTGGATTCTTAGTGCAATAATCTGAAGAAAACTTAAATTGAGAGCTGGAAATGTTTTCCGCGCATACATTATCTCCCCCTTGGCAACATCCTCTCAGAAATCCACCGTTTTTCTCTCTCTCTCATTCTCTACAAAACACGCCAGATTTTCAAGTGACTTCAGACAAGATTCTTTTCATTAAACAATAAATCAGGAAAAGATGCCAATTCGAGAGCGAAGAAGAGTTGCGAGCAAAGGAGGAAACATCAACTTACCACTTCTTGAGCTATTTCTATCAAGTTGTTCAGTCTCACCATCTCTGTTTCTCTCAACACTCCCATTGTTCTTCGCCGCCGCGTCATTAGACGCAGCGGACAGCTTCCGACGCTGCTCTCTCTCCTCGTTCTCCACCCTCTTGCGCTCCTCGCGCTCCTCCTCCTCCGCCAGCTGCTGCTCGATCTCGCGCGACGTCTTCTTGAAGGCGTTCACGTGGAACTTGATCCTCTCCTGCAAACATTCAGACCGAATATTGAGTGCTTTCTCCTCTGGAGACGGGAAGAAAGTTTACCTGAAGCTCTCGCTCAGAGTCCTCAGAGTTGCCCTCGTCGCTGTCGTCATTCTTCCCGGACGTCTGAGTATTCTCCTCCTCGTCGGCATCGCTGCCCTCGCTGTCGCTGGTGCCGTAGATGGCCAAGCCCAGCTTCCCCGGAAGATTGCTCACCGGCAAAATCGAACTCTGAGCGACAATGACTTTGGGCTCTGCGAAAAAGCGGCGTTCTTGAGCATGTCGAAGATTAAAGCTACAGTAAAGGTACTCACTCTTCCTCTGAGCTCTCACGAGAGTCTCATTGGCAATCTCCTGGATCTCCTCGTTCGTCACCTCCAAGAGAATCTCCGTGAGAGTCCTCCTCACGTCCAGCATCTGTGCAGACGCGCAAAGGAAATCAGTCAGGAAAGGCAAAGTAAATCATCAGAAAACACTCACCAATTCCTCAACTGTCTTCCTAACAACATCAGCCTTTGTCTCTGGTGACTTAGGATCATTGCTTATTCTCTGCCTCGCCTTGGCGTCCGAGAACACATCATCAGCCTCTGAGTCTGAGTCAGATTCCTGCAATTTCCCCCCAAAATCCACATGAGACAAAAGGACATTCTTTGGTGTTTGCGAAATACTCACGAATTTGCTCTTCTCCGGCATCTTCACGTCTTCCTCGCGCGCCTTCTTCAGACTCTCCAAGGCCTTGAGCGCCTCCGCCTCGGCCTTGCGCCTCTTCGCCAACTCCTCCTGGCGCTGGTGCTCCTCGCGCTCCCGCTCCGCCTGGCGCTGCTTATCGCGCTCCATCTTCTCCAAACCCTCCCTGCGCGATCCCACATCCCCCGAACACACCCGAGAGACACAATTTCAACACACACAACAACAATGCGGGAGACGGAAATGAGAAGAAAACAGAAGATTATTCCACCTGTCCGCCGGCCGCGGGCTCCTGGAGCCCACTGGCGTGAGTTATTACCGGATCCACGCTGGCAAATTCTTGCGCTTGGCCGCGTCAATCGTCGTGGTGGTGTCTTCCTGAACAAAATTCACATCGGACTTTGACGCACTGTTACTTACTTGACTGTCCTCCTTGGCCGGCAGCGCGCTGGCCGCCGGGAAGCGCGCTCGCGGCCACGGCGGCGCGACCAGCTGCTGCGCGATGGCCGGCGGTGGGTTGCGGAAGCCAAGGCCGCCGGCACCGCGGAGAATCCCCGCGGCGGGCGGCGCCACGATGCTCGGGCCGGACCAGCTGTTCCATCCTGGGCCTGCAAACGAGCTCATCTCAGTCGCACGCCGCCCACAAACACGCCCGCACTTACGCCACTGATTCTGCGGTCGGAAGGAACTCCAGCCGGCGCTCCACTGACTGCCGCCGCCGCCCGAGGACTGCGCCGCGGAGCTCTCCTCCTCCTTCACCACCTCCATGGGCGCCTCGCCCTGCTCCTCGAAGTCGCTCCTGGTCAGGGGCGGCGGCGGCGGCGCCGCGGGCATCTCAGCGGCCGGACAGGTCTCCTTCATCTGGATCCACTGCTGCGCCAGAGCTGCCCAATCCACCATGTCATTGGACACATTCTGGTAGGCTTGCGGATTCAGCGACCAGGTCGTGCTCTGGTAGTTCTTCTCCCGCGCAACACCTGCCGCCTTGGCTTTATCGATCGGGAACATCGCTGCTGACTTACTTTCTCATCACGCACGCCGCAAATCTCAGAGACTCTCTCTCTGTGCAGAAATTGTGTGTTGTTTTTCGCCAGAAATGTCAGAACTTTTCATCCCTCGCGCGCACACCACACACCAGAGGCGCTGCTCGCCAGTGAGGAGATGCGCGCCAAATTTTATGGCACCGCAGAAGAAACAACGTGGGAGCCAAGAACTCCACTTTTCCCCCGTGAAAACCACTCACAACCCCTCCGTGGTGGTTCGGTGGACATCACGCCAATTCTGGGGAGTTTGCACATGCGCCATGGATGGTGGAACGATTGATGATTTCTCACGGAATGAATCCGGGTTGTCTCTCTTACGGGATTACTTGTTGATTTGGGGGTAGTTTTCCACTAATCCACCAGCAAAACGCACAAATCGTCAACGCTATTGTGCCCAAGAAGTGGTGCTGAGCTAGCAAAATCACCACCCTTGCGTGGTTGTTGAGGAAAGTGGTGAAAAATGAGGAAAGTAAGTTTTGGGGAAAGCAATGAATGAAGTCAGGAGTGCGTGTTGGCTCTCTCTTTCTCTCTCTCTCGAGGGTGTCTTTCCACGGAGAGAAACCCCAACGTGAATCTCCCACGGACTATGCGTGGTGGATCGCGAGGAAGTGCTTAGACAACTGCCCCAGAATCTCGCCACCTTTCCCCAACATTCTCCCCAGTATCCGTCGAACCGTGCGCTCAAAACGGTCGATAACGCGCTCTCGGGAAAGTTCTGTGCAATGTCGTGTCTCTTGAAAAGTTCTGTGATGCAAATTTAGCTCCTTCTGCAGCAACAGACACCCCAGGTCACACGTCACACTCACGCACGTGCGCGCACGGGTCACGAGAGCCCACTCAGACTCACACCCAAGTCACTCAATCACGCCGCGAACGGCCACAAAGACACACTTTGCAAAAAGAGCTCCAGTGCGATGGAAGAAAGCTCGTGGAATTGAGTGTACGCAAAAGCACAGAGGACGCTTTTATCCGCACTCATTAAGCGTTTTTCCCTGCTTCGCCCGAAATTTTTCACCACAAATTTTGGGGCCACCGCGACACTCTCAGAAGCACGCGTCCCTTCTGTCGCCCTCGCAGCATCTTCCCTCGCGCTGGGCCAGCAAAAGGAGGCGCGAAAGGGGCGCCCGAGAAAGCGTAGCACAAGAGAATGGAGATGAAAATATGTTGCGAGGCAGTTGATGGAATTTTACAGCGATAGAATTCCAGCAAGAGCGAATATTTTTTTCGGTGAAATACATGAGTGATAGAGGCGCACCATCACAGGATCCGCAAGATTCACTGTGAGGCACACGAAACACACACCAAAAACACAATCACTCTATATATAGAATTGCTCTCAAAAGCTCTCTTCACACTGAAAAATGGTAACATTTTTGCTGTCGTTTTTCCCAAAAAGAATTACCGATTTTTCCGTTTGCTTCATCTTTCTTCCTCTGACACTCTCGCTCTCTCTCTCTCTCTTTCGCTGTATCTCTCTCTGTTATCCTTCTGCTGTACTGAACTGCGAAGATTAAGCTCTTATTAGACTGACTGAAAGCTCAAAAGATTCCCCGTGATCAAAAAGTGTTATGATCAAAGTAGAAAATGCTTCAAATTCCCGTAATTTGATTAAAAAAAAATATGCTACACCAAAAACTTATGCTTTAGACAGCGCAATTCAAATGCAGTCGACAAAAGAGAATTTCTGAAGAAAACTTCATCAAAGGTTTCAATTTGAGAGTTTATAATAAGAAGAAAAAGTGAAGATAAGCTCTCTTCTTTCGCTGCAAAATCATTTGATATTGCTAAGTAAATTTGTTATTGTGTCCTTAACAAATGATCTTAGCAATTTTCATACCCACGACGAAGGTCTTCGTCCTCTTCTGCATCTCATGGAAATTGCTCCTTTTCGTCCGCGTCGGCAAAGAGAAGCAAAGAAAAGGAACTGTGGCATAAAAGAAGCAGAGAAATTCAAATGAAATTGAGGTGCAAAATAGAGTGGAAAAAATCTCAAAGGCAAATAAAAGGGGTGGAAAGAGGAGAAATTCCATAGTGAAAAGTGGTGAAGAGACGGAGGAAAAGCTCACGCGACAGAAGCCATGCAAATTAAATGGCAGGAAACGCGATTAGGGTTGTTTGTGTGGCTTGCGAATGGGTGAAAAAAATGCTTTATATACCCTCACCAAATATAACCTCTCCAGACTGCGTGTGAACGACACGGAAAACAATTCATTAAAATTACCCTTCAAACATTTTTGGCCGCAGCCTTAGCAATGGAAATACTGACTTGTTCGTCTTCTGGAGTCCTTTTCGCGGTTTTTCCTCACCTCTTCTCATTCTGTGCCACGTGAATTGCGCGAGATGAAAACTCCCTGCCAGTCTTAGACGCATCAGCATCTTTATGGAAATTGGAGCAGAATTTACTTCAATAATCCCCACACCGTCGCCCACACTCACTCTTGCCATTGCGCAAGGGGGCGATAATACGAATGTACACCACGTCTGACTTCAATTTCCTCTAATTCACTTAGAAACTAGTGCAAGAGACGAAAATGTCTCGAGTTTAGACGCAATTATCGTCAATTTAAGCGGTTATTGAGTGACTGAATTCGTCTTAAATTTGTCAAATAACTTAAACAAGCTGTAAAATTTGAATAAAAATAATCAAAAATGATTATTTTCCAAGTAAAATTGCAAAAAAATTTAATTGAATCATATTATATTTCTTCATTTTCTGTGTATTTCATTAAAATTTGAATATTTGAATATTTTCTCCACATATGTGCGCCAGAGGGCAGCCAAGTTGGCGTGGGGGATGCTAATAATATCGCATTTTCGCATAATTTTCTCTCTCTGCTCACGCATTTTCACACTTTATCATTTCCTGGCGTGATCCTGGTCAGGAGAAGAGGAATTTTAAGCGCGAGAGTGAAGTTTTAGGGTAGAAAAAGACCGGACCACGATCAGCTGATCAGTTTATCAAGCTTGAAAGGCATGAAGAGGTTCCGATTAAATCAAGAAATTACTGATTAATAACAAAGTAAATGATCTTAAATCGTGAATAGCTTTCCCTTTGGCTGTAGAATTGAGTTTGAAGTATGAAATATTCTCACATCTCAATTCCCCAACACTTTCGCTGAGCTGCAGCACAATTTTCTTCCTCTTGTCATCACACGGAGACTTGTGAGAAAAGCCGGCTTCGGGAGAAAGTGACTGTGGAAAAATTTAATATTGATTGACACGCGTGTTGTTCCTCCTTCCCATCCAATATTTCCACGTTATTGTTTCATTATGTGCTTCACCTTTCTGCTGAGTGGCGTCTGATAAAATTTCCCCACCCAAGGGGTTTATCTCCCCCATCGGAAAATCCCACGGAGAAATTTGCCATCATCCCCAAAAACACTCATCGAGAGTGTAGGGAAATATCTAGCAGATTTATTGGTGTATCAGCCCCAAACAGGGGGGAGGAAAAAAAAGAGGAGGAAAATATGCCATCGAGAGAAGGTGAAATCGATGGGAAAAGCCATGTGAAGAAAAATGAGAGAAAATTCATAATTTTCATTGTCAAGCGCACGAGAGTGCGGAGGATTTTGGTACACGCAAAAAACATTCAAAATAAATTGAGGGAAATTTGCGAAATATTTCATGAATTGCCGAACAAATTTCCCACAAATTCTCCTCCAAAGCGACACTTCGCGAGGGGCTCCTAACTCTTCACTATTTATTGCTTTACAATTTAATGGAACTCTATTGAAAGTGTGCCATAAAATCACCCATTTTACAGCGTATCAATTTTCAATCTGGGAAAAAAGGTCATGTTCAAATGGATCAGAAAGCAATATAAAATGTTTTCTTTCTATCGTCACATTCATCACCTGTTATCGCAAGTTTTCTAAAGAAAAAAAACTCCCAGGAAGCTTTTCTTCACATATTTTTGAGATATTTTCCATAAAATCGAAAATTTGCCACAAAATTGTACAATGCAGAGCAATTCAAAGATTTCATGGGGTTTTTCACCCCTTGAACGTGAATTTCCTTTGAATTCCCATCATCTTTTCTCACCCTCTCCGCCGCCCCACGGAACGGGTGAGATTTCCATGGCACGGAGGAAAATGGCAGGCATTGTTGATTGTGATAAGAAGTGAAAGATGTTCACATTGTTCTCCAGCCTTCCGCTGGCCCACAAAATACACACAATCTATTTTCAATACAGCCAACAAATGAGGTGGATTTCTGGATTAAGAGCAACCCAGGAGCATCGATTAATGGGTTTATTTTCAACCCTCTCAATTGCTGCTGTGTTTGCACATGAGAATCATTCGCCATGTGAGCCAGAAATGTTATTATTAGCAACTGTGATTTCTTCTTCCGAAGCCTTCGGGCGATGGAAAAATGCGGAGAGGGAAATAAATTGAAAATTAGGCACTGAATAACTGGGGGAAAATGTATCCTCTTAACAGCATTTTTATTCAAAAAAAAACATCCCCAAAATGACTGTAAAGACGACTGTTATTTTCGGTGATTTCTCTCCCGTCATTCGACACGATTTCTAGTGAACACGGAGGGGAAAAAAAGGGAAAAACCACCATTAACTTTTACAATATTGCTGTCGGTATTTCGTCGGACGCAGTGGAAAAAATCCAATTACACAACTCATCAGCCTTTTTGCGCTGAGGTTTATTGAACCCCATTTATTGGCAATTGTCCAGAAAAGCACGCAAAAGACCAGATACTTTATCCACACACCCTAATTGGAATCCTTCGTGAGCTGACTTTAAATTTCCATCTCGTTTCGGAATTGCGATTATGCCAGAAAAATCGATTTTCTCCGCACACGCGGCCAAAATTCACTGTAATTTAATTGCAAATGAGCACAGAAATGCATTTTGAAACTGCCTCGATTTTTATGCACGTTGTCAGTTTGTGTGGAAAATCCCAAGGAGGAATCCTTGCCATTCAATTTCACCATCGAAAAAGCTCATTTCCTCATTATTCTCTCACACTGAGAAACTATCGCGCGTCTCATTTGATAATAATCCCCGTTGAAAACTGTCGTGAAACATTTTCCTCTTGCGTCAAATTGAATTAATGTGAAATTTCAATGAGTGGCAACGAAAATGTAATTATTTCTTCGCTAATCTTGAAAATTGTGCCCAAAATTGAATTTAATCTAAATCCTAGAGCCAAAATAAAGTGCAAAAATCTTGGCATTATATTTTCAACCATCACTCTAAGACTTAACTTTAAAACTTTTCGACTTTTGCTGGCACATTTTGTGCAAAATTCACCCAAAAAATTGCACAAGAATGAAAGTTGTGAACTTTCCTCAATCACTTCCCGCTCAGATTGCTGGAAAAACAGACTTGAAAAAGTTCATCGGATTTTTTTTCTTCCTCTTCCACGGAAAAACCTTGGGAAAAACTCCGGCATCTGCGATACATTAAATTCAATCAAAGAAGAGTGATGACATGAGAGTGAATTTAATCATCGTGTTTTGGGGCTTTTAAAGAGATTTCACAATGTAAAGGTGGAATTTTGCCTCAAAGATTGCAGAGATTTTAATGAGATTTCATCGTATATTAAAGCTCTTCTTGGCAATAATGTTGAGAGAAGAATTAAGAGCTTTCAATCCCTCTTTTAATATAATGAAGCCTTAATTAAAAAATTAAGTCACGCGAAACGAACACGAATAACTTTTCTCTCTCTCTTCCATTCGCAAATCGATAATAATTCACTTGATCATCTCTTCTCCAGAGTGTTCTCGTGATGACACGAGAATAAAAGCACTTCGAGAGACATATTGAACTGTATTTCAGACACTCTTAATGCTTTCGCCCAAGAGTGGCGAGGAAAAAAAGAGCCTTGTTGAAGGATGTTTAACAGAATGCTCACAACTCTATCAATCATGTTCTCATTAAGTGGAATTTGATATGCATTTTATAGCCAACAGATAATCATCATTTTCTTATCTCATGGGGATTTTTCTGGATTTCCATCACAATTCTCTTGCCCCTTGAGAGACTGAAATATTTTGCACTGAGAGAAAAGACAGGCAAAAAAAAACCATCACGATCTTCCTCTTAAGCTTCTTTCGCCTGAATCTTGAAAGCATATTTCTATTTGCCATCAATGCGGAGTTAATTAGGCGTTGTGAGAGAAAAAGCAGCATGGAAAAACTATATACTTTTGCACTAATGGAAAATTTCTCCAAGTGCACAAAGCAATTTGCCAGAGCCACCTCAGCAAGAAAAAAAAGGAGCCAACGATGGAAAACACTCCACAACTCGCATATTTTCATGAAATATTTTTTCTTCTATTAAATTGAAATTGCATTAATTCAGCAAATGACTTTTAAATTTCATCACAAAGAGCGGCAATATTTCTAGCAGACCCACAAAAATATACATTCTCCCTATCTAGAGCGGAGAGCCAAGGGAAAAAATACCTACTTGAAGCGATTGTGTGGGTGGAAAAGCTCCTTGGAAAGCACTTTTCACCCTCACGTATTCATTTTTTTTCGCCTCCACTCGCAGAGCTTCTCAGAATGTATGAAATTATCTAATGGGGGAGAACTTTTCTCAAATTCACTTGACAATTTCACACTTTACACTGATTTATATATTTCCTGCCCCAACTCAAGATGCTCTCTTTCTCTGTGGAACTTGTCTCCTTGGCAAAGTGGTGTAAAAGGGAAGAAAAACAACGCAACATTAAAATCTTAATGTTCCTCCACAACATTTTTGCATTGCGCGCCAACAGAGAGGGGAGGGAAAAGGGGGTGAAATGTTGGTGTGGATGAAAAAGAGATTGACAGAAGTATGATGAGGGAATTTCCTTTTATTCTCTCTCTCGCGCGCCTCACGACTTTTCCCCTCCCCAACCCATCGCAAGCCGGGTGAAAAGCTACACGAGGAGATGAATTTGGTGGCGAGGGAGGAAGGGTGGAAAATCAGTGTGTGAAAAAAACACAAACACACTTCATCTCTCTTGTACGACGAATATTTTAGCACGAAAACATCCCCAGACAAGAGAATCGTGCGAGAATTCGCGGCGTCTCGAGCGACAATTTTTCTAGGTCAAGCGGCATCTCGAGAATTTTAATTGTACAGCCACACATTCTGAATTCCACCCCCTTTTGTGCAATTATACATTTCCCAACACCGAATTTTTTCCAGCTCTCTCTGTCGGCCACTTTAAATTTTCCCTATTTGTGTTTATTTCGTTTCATCTCTCAACTCCTTTTTTTCTCACTTTGATGTCGCTAGAGAAAATTTGTCAAGTAATACCCTTTGATGTCAAAGGTCGCGTGAGGTGCAAGGGGGAGATAATATGGCCGTAATCTGTATAACTCCCTCTTGACACAATCTTTACCCAATTTAGATAATTCTGAACGCCTTTAAAAGCATTTCTTAACGTTTCTTGCACTCATTTCTAGCTTTTGTCACAATCTAATCGATAGCAAGAGGTGTAAAACTGCCAAAAGCTTAGATTTCAGATTGTAAGAACTGATTTAAGCATCCCTGAAATTCTTTATGACAAATTTCTGTCTGGATTTTCTAGTTTTGTCTTTGGAAAATGCCTAGAAAAATTCTAACGAAATTGTGAGGTTATAAATGCCGCTGAAAAATTTTAATCAATCAATTTTAATCCTTTTTACCCTGAAAATGAATATATTTTATATGAATTGAGGTTTAATTTGCCAATTTCAAGCACAAAACGCAAAAATAATAACAAAAGAGAAATTCTTTCAGGCTTAGCGATATGTTTTTACGACTAACATTTAGCAAATTTGAAGTTTATTTTCTGAAACTGAGAAACATTTCCAGTTACAGAGTTATTTAATCACCAGAATCGGGTTTAAATCAACCTAGAAAAGCAATAAAATTGAATTTTCTAAGCACAATAATTTGGAAAATGCCTCAATTTGCTGCAATAGAAGCTTTTGCAATGAAAATATTCGGAATATTTTAACATTTTCTCTTCCTGACATTTCCTTAAAAAGCTGTACACCATTTCCGACTAATATCTGCCCCTTGATGGGGTGAATAATTCACTGAAATAGCTTTGAATTGGATATTAGAAGTAATATAAACGAGCAACAATTTCGTCCTTTACTACCTTTTCTTCCTTATCTCTATGCCAAAATCGGGCTTAATCGACTGAATGAAGAGTGTTGAATTCAAATTTCAGGCAATTCCACTTGATATACACCCCTCGGCGTGCCGCAAAAGGCCCTTTTGGTGCCAAAAAGCAGAGACTTGAAAGGGAAGCAAAATGTCGATAGATTTCTCAATGCACTGCAACATATCGAGCAGGAAAGATTAATTACAGTGCCTGGGAAATAGAGAGCAACACCGAGCGCTGGGAATTCAATTTAATCCCCATTGACATGCAATAGATTTATATCGCCTCTTTTTCATCTTTCGCCACATGCAAGGACACTCCTAATAAAATTGCAAGATTGCGCTCTGGTGGGCAAAACTCTTCGGTGCTATATTATGTGCACACATTGATTTTGTGTATATATAGAGGGATGGAAAACCGAGAGTGCGGTTGAAGAAAAATCACCCACTCATAAATTCGCTTTAAAAAGGCACACGCTTGAATACAATCATGTGTTTTCCTCTGCAATTCTTTATCTGTTATTGCTTCTATCTGCCACAAGTGCTTCCACAATTGACACCCGAGTGTCCTCTTTGGGTCGAGTTGTGAATACATAAATTCCACCCACAGGATGGGAGCGGCATTTTCCTCTCTCTCGAGAGAGAGAAAGTGTGTGTATATAATTCAATTTGGTGATAAAGCAAGTGATTTATAGGTGCACCCAATATTAAGCCATTAAACCAAACTCTATATACACTTTCACTGTATTTTCCGCATATTTATCTCTGCAAAACTCCATTTTCACTCCGCATCTTAAATCTCTGAAACTTCTTCTCTTGGCGCACACAACCACCAAAAGTGTCTGTAGAGAACTGAAGGCGGTGGGAGAATTTGATTGCAAAAATTAGCGTATCGAATTAATTTAGGAGAGAGAGGAAACGGAAGAGAATAAGGGTAAAAGTAAGAGGGAGAAGACGGGCGGGAAAATGCCTGATCCAGACAGTTACGATGATGAGGTAATTTTTTTCCTTCCACACACACTCTTTTGTTATCTGTTTTTGGACTGATGATTTCTTTTGCCCGAAACAAAAATCAACCCCTTTCTTTTCTTCATTCAGAGTGAAACCCAAAATTTCAGCACCAGTAGTTGAAACTCTCTTTGGATTGCAACTCATTCTCCCTTTTCTTTCTCTATCCTTTTCCACCCATTGATTTGTGGCCCATCAAAGTCGACAAGAATTTTTCCTTACAATATTCATGTCTTTTTGACTTTTATCTGGAGAATTTTGTGGTGACATTTTTTTCATAACCATCTAGATGTGTTTCTCAGCCAGAACACTTTTGACTTGTGTTTTTTCTTAGAAGTGATATATTTATTGTGTCTTGTTTGGTGCTTTTGATTTTCATCTATTCTATCTTATTTTTCCTTCTCGCGCTCACCGAAAAACAACAACAAAAACAATCGACAAGGACGAAGGAATTGCGAGATAATCAAATCGAGATATTTCTTCACAATTACTTTGTATCTTTCTTTTTTCCCTTCATATTTTATACTATTTTATACCTAAACAACGTTTTTCTTTATTGGTTCTTCAGAATGACAAAAAGCAATTTGAATTTGCTGAAACATTTCTTATTTTTCTCTCCCCCTCCAAAGAAAAGACAAGCAATTATATAATTTCACTCTGTATTCTTCATCTGTTCTCCTCTATTCTTTCTCATTCTTTTAAGCATCACTTAGTGGAGTGCAAGTAAAGTAAAAAGACAGTCTAATCTTCAATATTTCACCTCTAGAAATTTCGATATAGGCAAATTTGCAGAGTAGTTTTTTTGGAAAAGTAGTTTTTAGAGAGCAAACGAGTTACATTTACAAGTTTCGTAGGATATTATTATGTACTTATGTAAGCATTTAAATCATTTTCCACGCTCATTCTTATCTGCACAACAATTTTCCCCTGGGAAGCTCATGTGGATAAGTTTTCTCACTTTTGCAATAAATACTTCTTTCTCACTTCTCTCTCGGACGCAACTTTTCCCATTAATTGGCCTTTAATTAAATTTTCCTGGGTGTCGTGAAACATCTAAATAATATCTCATGACCACCAAATGGATTTGCGCGCAAACTTTCAAAAACACCCACTAAAACATGGATTTAATGAGCATCTTGGCAGTGGAACAAGTTTGTCAAGAAGTGATACTCCAAATGAAAAGCCCTCTCAACCCCCTTTTCTCCCCGCCATCCACCCACACTTTGTTGCCACCCTTCAACGCTCCACTTATTGTCCTTCTCGCAGGGAATTTATTTATTGAACGGAATATCGATTTCCCAGCTGAAGAACTCTCCTCAAGAGCACCTCTCGTGCATTTTAAACACTTCCGTGTCACTTTCATCCCTTTTCAATTCTTCTGTCTCTTTTGCACTCAATTAATAAATCAGTCTCTTTAATCTTTAAATGCCATCCATTAAAGCTCACTTCATTTCCTATTCGAAAACTTTAATACAATAACGTTTATTATCAAGTCTAAGGATTAATTCAATGACAATTGCATTGTCTCCCCATTTCAGCTTGATGACTAAATGTCTGGATAGACAATAAAAAGGGGGATTTAGAGAATATTTCCGGCCTCTGATATTAACTTATGAGTTATTGCAGAGGAAAAAGCCTCGACTTCGTTGTGTCTCTTCCTGTAAATAGCTCCTATTTATAGTCTCTGGCAACATACATAGGAACGAATATGCTAAATCTCCTCTGCTCTTCTCGCTCGTGATATTTTGCAATATTTTTCTACTCTGCATGGCTTCCACATCTCCAGCCCCAGATCGAATAAACGCATATGCATCTCATCACATAGATTGGGAAAGCCGGAGACTCTTCAATAATTCCCAACCATCACCAAAAGTTGGGAATTTCCGGGAATTGTGACAACAACCATGAGTCAATCATGAATCACATCTTCATAATGCAACCTTTCGGCATCTCTCTGTAAATATTTTGTCTGTCTCTCTTTGAGCATTCTTCAAATTCATACAGCATCGCACACCAGAGTTTGCTCTTTAGAAGTATACTCAACCCACCCCAATTCCCACACTCCTCCAATCCCCGCCAGCCAGCAATTAAAGCATGTGATAGATAATTAATTGGATTTTCTCACTCCTCCTCCTCCGGGACCAGCTCGTGTCGGCAAATCAGAACCAACGAAATTGGCGCGGAATTCTCATTGCCCTCCTCGTGATCATAATCGTTTTGGCGCTAATTGTCACATCAGTGGTAAGGCATAGACGATGCATGTCTGCACCATTTACTCCTTCCCACGCCCTCGTGCAGGTCCTCCTCACGCCGCCCGACGAGGGGCCGCGCGTCAAGGGTGAGCGCATCAAGCTGCAGGACATCGTGAATGGCGAGTACAACGCGGCGAAGGTGAACGGCGACTGGGTGGGCCCAGATGAGTTCCTCTACGAGAATCAATGGGGCGAAATAAGTCTGCTCAATGTGGCGAATCTCTCTGCCAAGACACTAATGTCCAACACAACATTCGTAAGTCATTTCTCTCTGGGATTTATTAACCGCCGAATCGCTGCGCAAAGGCGGAAAAATATCGCCTCATTGGCAATGAAATGTCCTCGGCGCTTGCATTGCAACATTATTAATGGGGTGCAATTGAAATTGTTGGCCCTTTCCCAAGGGCGGGAATGCAGAAATGCCTTAGACCTATTCCAGAAGGCTTCTTCTACCTTCCAAATGGTGGATTTCATCATAAAATCCAAGACAATTCAAGACTTTTCGTAGAATATTCATTTCTTGCTTCACTGAGTGGTAAATTGCCTTGCAGAAAGCTCTTGCTCCGGCGAAATTCTCCGTGTCGCGCGATCGAAAGTACCTCTTGTTGGCTCACAATGTCCAGAAGCTCTTCCGGCACTCCTTCCTGGCGCAGTACAGCGTCTTCGACACGCTCTCCAGCGAGACGTTCCAGCTGTCGCCGCTGCCGGAGGATCCGCAGTGGCCGTTTCTGCTGCACGCCCAGTTCACGCCCAACAGCAACTCCATCGTGATGGTGCACAAGTACGACATTTACTTCCGCACCAGCCCCAGATCGCAGCAATCCTACCGCGTCACGAAGACGGGCGTGCCGGGCGTGATTCACAACGGCGTGGCGGATTGGCTGTACGAGGAGGAGGTCCTGGGCACGAGCGCCTCCATCGCCCTGTCCAACGACGGCCACCTCATGCTCTACGCCACCTTCAACGACACCCTCGTGAGCGAGCAGAAGTTCTCGTGGTACGGCGTCACGAATTCGCTGGGCGGCGAGAACCTCTACCCGGAAATCCGCGCCATTCGCTACCCAAAGCCAGGCACCACGAATCCCACCGTCACGCTCAACATCGCCGACCTGGCCAACCCCAAGAACATCAGAATCCGGGCTCTCACGCCGCCCACTGTCCTGGCAAATGAGTGAGTATTTTGTGTGTGTTTTTCCATGCAGAATCGAACAGGGAAGCTCGCTTGCCAGAATCAATCGGAGAAATATGTTCTTGTTTTCGAAACTCTCAGCCATCGATTACCAAATCTCGACAGACATATAAATCAATTGATAAATTTACAGTACAGAAATGAATAAGAACACAAGGATTTGATGGATTTGGTATTAGAAACGGATCGAGTAACAGAGATAATCTCATGGCTGAAGTGTGAATTGTATGCGAAAATTGCCACATTTTCCCTTCAGCGCGCAATTTCAATCAATTAATCAACACTTGTCAGTGTTCCTGATTCACTTGAAGAAACTTCTTCAGTCAACAAAATTTCCAGCATATTCAGGGATACTTCAAACTTTCGCCAATAGTTTGGAAAGTGATTTTTCCCTCACCAATCAATTTATTCCGCCCCCCAAAAAGCTGCACAAAAGGGATGCCAAAGTCTCTACTTCAAAACTTCCACAGGCCATTATTGGAATTGCTAATTAAGACAAATGTCTTGGGGAGTGAAATGGGATAAAGTGTAGAGAATGTAAGAATTTCCCCTATGATTCTCTTAAGCCAGCATAAAAATAATGGAATTCCCAAGGAAATTTTTGATAGCATTCGAATAAAGTTATATTCACTCATTCAACATCCTTATTCTTCGTGCAGCGAAGAAAGCGCATCCTGCTTGGCATCCTAGTAGTTTGTAAGAATGTCTTTTCCCGAGCGACATTTTTCCCATTGCAGAAAGTTAGACTTTTCCTTTTCTTCAGCGAATGACAGCATGTTCTTGTCTTTTGAGAAATCATTTAAGACATTTCTGAAGCGCCAAAACACCGCATTTAATGTCTTTGTCACGAACTGAAGTGTGATTTTTTCTGTGGCGGAAAAAGAAACTTCCTTTTCCCCCTCAATACGTTGATGATGGGCTTGTGTTTTCCCACAATTTCCTGATAAGCTTCCAATCAAGCGCGAATTTTGAACAATTTTCAAAACATACTCACTTCCCATGGCTTAATTTCCCAGAGAGAAAATACATATATGTACGTTTTGGGGGTGAATTTGCCGTATGGATGACTTTTGGAATTTTCCACATGAACAAACTTCCTCAGTTTGTTCGGGGAAAAAAGCACAGAATACATGTGAATATTGTTTTAAAGTTAAAGCCTATCAAAATAGCGTGGCTTAAATTCCCTGACAACTGGAGTAAATCGAAAATCAAGCGCATGAACATTTGTTGTGTGGGATTATTTTTGTTATTTCCCGCATGAGGTGATAAAGAGAAATATTGTGTGGCAATTGTTGCAATTTTCACGGGAGAAAATGGCACAAAACCTGCGATATTTTAACATAATGACTCAAATAACACTCAACAGGGGAATTAAAAGTTTTTGTGCATAGAAAATGAGGAAAATGCACTGTTTGCCATCACAAAAGCGAATAAATGCGAGACATTTTTGATGTATTGAGCCAATTTCGCCAATTCCTGTGTCGCCTGTTTGATGAAGCTCACCGTGAAATTGACTGGGCGAAAGGAATAATTGGCCGATGTATCGGGAGATTAATTCCCACCTCACTCCGTCCCAGGGATCGATACTTCACCAGTGCCGCCTGGATATCCCAGACCGAAGTCAGTGTCGTGTGGCTGAACAGGCCGCAGAATCTATCTGTGGTCAGTCTGTGCAAGAGCCCAATGTGGGAGTGCCAAGAGGTGAGAAAATGCACCCAATTTCGCCCACTTCCCGCCAAATCAACACGCTTTCCTCCCGCCTTGCAGACTCACCGGATTAGTGGCGACAATCGCGGCTGGGTCGATGAGTACTCCGTGCCATTCTTCAGCGCCAACGGCAGCTCCTACATCGCCGTGTCGCCGCTCCGTGACGGCGGCGCCGGCCACTTCCGCCACCTCGTGCACATTCACATTCCCAAGAAGCAGATTCTGCCGCTCACGCACGGTCGCTACGAAGTCACGAAGATCGTCTATTGGGATCAAATCAACAATTTCATGTGAGTTAATTGCCAAAATCGAACACAATTCGACGGTTTTGAATCGAAAACTATGAAAAATCGACCGTTTATCGTTTACGACGTGCATTTTTTCAAAGAAAACTGCTTCAAAAATTGCACTCATTCGTTTAAAACATGCTCGAGAGTTGATTTTTAGAGCCTATTTGGATAAAATGTACTCGAAAACTATTAAAATCGGCTTTGGAAAGTAATATTTTCAGTTTTTCTATTAACTTTGCCATAAAAAATTCCAATAAATACCAAGAAAAACAACTAAATTGTGAACTAGACGATTAGAATGTGTTTTTATGGAAATTTAGTAAATTTCGCTACGAAATTAACGCTATAAATTTGAACTCTCCGTGCTGAAAAATGACGATTTTGAGTTTGATTCTTCATAGTTTTCGAATTCAACTCGTTAAATTGTTTCCAATCTTTGCACTTTTCATGAAAAATCCTTTATAAGTCATATCATAGACAGTAATATCTCCCCCTTGTTATTACTTCATTTCATTTCTGTGTAGAAAATTGATTATTTGTCATAAAGTGTGTGACTGGATCTAGGCCAGATTCCTGGGGCTTCACAGTGTCTGGCATTAAAAACCACACAACTCGTCATTTTCCTCTTTTGCCAGGGTGAAAAATCACATGCGATAAAATGCTACAAATTCACTAAATGACCCACTTTTATCCTGAGATATTTTCCACCCACTTTCCTCAGCGTCGGATGGAATCCTTTCTATTCCCAAACACTCATTTTTCACTCCCCTAAATACCAATTTCATAATCTTATTACCCCTCTCGCTCGCTCTCTCTTCCGCCCACGCATTAACCAACATTAAATTTCACCCTTGAATTTTCCACGCACAAAACTCCGTGCCGAGCGAAAAAGAATGACTAGAGAGACATGAATCTCCATTGAATTAATTATTGTGCAAAATGGGATTATCATTTTCAATGTGAACGAAGAGGAAAAAGGGGACATTCACTGTGTATTTATATACATTATACCTGAGAGAAAATCTTCACATAGTATTTTCTCGTATTTCACAGTGACTGGGAAAAACATTCCTCTATGGCTGAATCACAACCATTTCCTCCTAAATTTCCTCTCACTGGCGCGCAAAATTCATTATCCAGCGAAGCTTTTCCAAAATGTATTTTGGAGAATGTTTTCATTTACAAATCCAATTTCCAATTATACCCTTGATTTTCCGCAATATGGCTCTTAACATTCCAGAAATTGTGTATGGCTTCGGGGTGTGAAAAGTTTTCCATATATAGATAAAAACTAACCTCTCTCTTTCTCTCTCTCTCTTCGCCATTCACTGCGACGAATGCGACTAATGGAGAATTTAAATAAAACACCAATAACAGAAGCACTCCCATGAGCATTCATGCAAATACGAATAAAGTATCATGAGAATTTTCGCATAAATCACACGATAATAATTTATCAAGTGTGCGACTGTGGACAAAAACTCCGCCTATCGCATACACACCATTTCCCACGGAAAACTATATATTCCCCATGCGAACTATTTCTGGTGGTGGAGAGGAAAAAAAGGATGAAGTCAACTCTGCCAGAGACTCAATTAACAATTTTCACAACCCTTTTTGTCGCTTTGGGGGGAGGGGGTGGGAAAAAGTGTGGGCGAGAAGAGGAGAAAGTAAATACGAGACCTTCAAGAAAGTGTATCCCTTTTCTTGACTTTTGACCATCACCACAGCCCTCGAGGCAAATGATACTCTCACCCTCGACGCCTGGAATCTCTTTGCTGGGCTGGAGAGAAAGCAGCTGAGAGGAAAGGCAAACTTTCCCCGGGCTACGGATCTTGATAGAGGCACGCAGAAATGACAATGTGGCCAGGAAAAATGCCTGAGAGATAAAAATTTCAATCAACTTTCCCCTCTTGGCCACATTGGCTATCGAACTGAGAAGCCCACAAAACTATTTTGTAGGGAAGTGAATTCTACAGTGATTTCTTAAGCTTATCATCATCTTAGCAGATTTCCTCACAAACACGAATTGCTTCTGGCAGAAAATTCCACGATAAACTCAGCGGTTTTTCGCAAGTTTGATCAGATATTTAGGCTGCGGTAAATTTGGGCAGTAAAAATAATCAATTTGGATAGTTTTCGATAATACATTAATATAATATAGGATAAAAGAGAAAAATACCAACCAAATAGAACAAATAAATGCAAAATGCATTTTTCGAAAATTGACCAATTAATTTATTTTCCAATCAAACTAATATTTTCACTGACCAAAAAAATGTTATTTTACCGAAGGAATTTTGCTTGGATTATTTTTGGCACATATTTATGCTGGTGTTAAAAATAGTGATAAACATATTTCACTCATTAATTCCACCCACTCAATTATTTTCCAATTACTCTGATGAAAAATGCACCGAAATTTCTCACTCGAACCTCCCACGAGACTTTTCGCCCCACAAATTGAGCGGGAAATTGACTTTTCCATCCTTAATGAATTAAAGCTATTACCTGGGCACGCCGGAGTACCTTCCCGGCCAGCAACACCTGTACCGCGTGTCCTCCAGTCCGCCCAAGTTCGGCGTCCCACTGCGCCCGCCGCGCTGTCTCACCTGTCCCAGCGTGAATCGCGTGGGAACCACCACGAAATCCCCGCCGCGACTCGTCACCACCTGGGAGGACGACTGGGAGGATGAGGTGATCACGCCGGCGCCGCCGACTGTGCCGCCGAAGCGGCAGAAGAAGAAGAAAAAGGGTAGGCTTGAGCTCAATCTTGAGCTTCCTTAGACACACACTTTAAACCACGCCTCCTTGCAGACTCCGCCCCGCGCGGCCCGCTGCCGTGTCAGTATCACACGGCACACTTCGCCCCACCGAGTGTCACGCCCTTCGTGCAGATCGACTGCCTGGGCCCAGAAGTTCCCACGAGTGCCATTTACCGGATAGTCCATGAGAATCGCGAGAAACCGCTGCAACTCGTGCTGGCGATTCAGAACAACACGCGCCTGCGCGAGAAGGTGGCCAAGATCGCCATGCCGCAGATCAAGTCCTTCCCCGTGATGATCTCAGGCGGCTACTATGCTCAGGTGCGACTCTTCCTGCCACCAGGCCTCCGGGAGGACGAGATCACGCGCTATCCCATGATCCTGCACGTCTATTCAGCACCCGGAACGCAACTGGTCACGGAGAAGTGGCGCATCGACTGGAACACTTACCTGGCGGGCACTAAGGACTACATCGTGACGCAGATTGACGGCCGCGGATCCAGTGGTCAGGGCTATCAGCTCCTGCACGAGGTCTACCGTCGCCTGGGCACCGTGGAAGTGTCAGATCAGCTGGAAGTCACCGAGTATCTGCGGGACAATCTTCACTTCGTGGACAAGCGTCGCGTTGGCGTGTATGGATGGAGTTTCGGTGGCTTCGCGGCCACTCTGGCCCTCGCCAATTCCCAGTCACTCTTCCAGTGTGGCATCAGCGTGTCTCCCGTCACGAACTGGAAGCTCTACGGTGAGTGATGACCTGTTGAATAAATGCTAAAATTTAAATTATCCCCCTTAAATTGCACACAGAGATTCACGACGCTGATAAAATAAAGTCTCATGATAATTCACAAACTGAGAAAGCGTCCTAAAACAACACTCTGTCATAAAAATTATTTCCATCATCGCGCATGATGTCCAACACAGTTTAATTGCCAGCGTGAAAAGTTTCTTCTGCTCATGAAAAATTCACTGCCTTGGAAATCATAAAACGCGCCATTTGGGGATGCATCCTGACAGAAATGGAACTGTTTCATTATTAATAGTGTGCAGAGAGGATTAAGCAAAAGTTTTCAGGACTATTTTGTCACAAGGAGCTGATAATATGTCTAAAAAGTGTACCCTTTTTCTTGAGTCGTGTTGTGACTTAAAAGGAGAGTCATAAAATAAGTTTTTACTGAACAATTTGATAAGATTATTTATTCGAAGCCGCTTAATGATGCAAATATTCAAGCAATTCAACTTCTAAACACTTCTGCTGAGCTGTACACCACAATTGTTGTATTATTTCCCCCTTATTTGGTCGCTCAGAAGGCTCATGGGCACTCGTGAAGAGTGAAATATTAACAAATTAATTTGTCTAATTAATATGCCGAAAGTTGTGTTGAGTTTGACTTGAGCCCAGAGGGAAAAATGTCAGGCCCTTCTTTGTCCCTGAACTGACCTTCTTATTGCCTCTTCCGCACACCTTTCTGCGCGTCCCGGAGCAGATTCGGCTTACACGGAGAGATACATGGGATTACCGAATGTGACAGACAACTACAAGGGTTACGAGGAGGCGGACTTGACGAAAATAGCTGACATGCTGCGAGACAAGCACTTCATGATGGTGAGTCCTGAGCCGCATCTGGCGTGACACTGGGCTAATGAGTCTCATCCGCAGGTGCACGGGACGGCGGATGACAATGTCCACTTCCAGCAGAGCATGATCCTGGCCAAGGCGCTCGCGACGAAGGGGGCGCTGTTCAAGCAGCAAATCTACCCGGATGAGGGTCACAATTTGTCGGGCGTGAAGCGTCACCTCTATCGCTCCATGACGCTCTTCTTTGAAGATTGCTTTAAGAAACAAGTAAATGACAGCCTCCTCTTCATTGAACCCTTCTAAAAGAGACCAACACATCACACAAGAACACGAGTTACGAAGATCCTCTCTCTGTCTTTTGTATTCAGCCAAAATGTGTGTGTGTGTTTCTTCTCCTGCATGATTTTGCAACCCTCAAAAACACATCTTCTTCTTCTCTTCAACAAACAATACTGTGTCTCAAAGTGTTATTTGCTTTTTGGTATGCACGACAGCACAATATGTTGGCCAACACACAACACACCAACACACTTCTATCTGACCATTCTTCTCTGCACAGATTCCCATTGAAATGAAGTCCGGACTCGGAAATGGTGGTTCATCGGATTAAGTCTCATTTAACACGCGCTACAGCCTCCCTCCCTCATCCCCCTCGAGATGATTAGGTGACTTAGAGGAGAAAGAAGTTTTCAAAAAGGAATTTGAGTGATGCTAAAAGTGCCAAATATTTGATGTTGTGACAACATTCGCACCCACAAATTTCACCAGAGAGACCACGAAGAGCGAGAATCAGTGAACAAAATGATGTATATTGTTGGCAAAACCACAAATCTGCATGTTGATGGTTTTGAATCATGCTCAAATTGTTGCAAAGCCCAAAATTGTAGATGGTTAAAGCTCACTCATGTATAAGTGAAAAGCTTTTTGTACAAAGCAATGCCATATAGAGGAAAATATTAAATCTTGTGCATGATTGACAATTTATTAGCGCCAAAATAAAAAATTGCGCCCTCCAAAATGTGCAAAAAAGTGAGCACTAAAAGAATTAAGAAAATAAAAACGAACTGTAAATAGAGGAATAAGGATATCTAACTACACAGGAAATTGGGCAATACACGCAGGAGGAAGGAAAAAAGTTGTGCAAGAGAGAGAGAATATTCCTCCCTTTTTGCGCTCCACATTAATAATTCACATATCGAAATTGAGTTTTTCGCTTTTCGCAACGTCCAACGCACTCTGCAGAGCAACCAAGAGTCCACCCACTTTTTTCCTCCCACCCTCTCACATCAAGCAACTTTCAAAGCAATCTCTAGCACGTAAGCACGCAACAGTGTGAAATTATTTTGTCTTAGCTCTTAGAGACACTCCATTATTAAGCAGTCTCATTCGATCATTATTATCAAAAAAAAAGAAGAAGAAATGAAAAAAAGAGGAGAACGGAGAGAAAACGCAGGAAGAAAATTGGGAAAATGTCAATAGAATTACTGCCAATTGATGAGAAAATTGTTTAGAGGACGCGAAAGAAGCTCCGAAATTAACAAAAGGTCTCCCTTTTCTTAGATGTTTAGTACGAGAAATATCATGAGTGTGGAAAGAAAATTTTCTCTTGAAATGATAAAAAAAAAGAAGCTATTTCGGCCTAAAAGACACCTCACCATATTTCTTCATCACATTTCCCCTCCCCCCTAAAAACATGATAAGATAATAAATTTAGCGAATAGAGTAATGAAAAAAACAAAATGTATTCTTTAAAATTGACAAAAAAAATTATCCCACTTCATCTCTGCGAGTGAAAAAAAGCATTACGTAGAAGAGAGGATAAGTAAAAAGACTTTCTAAAAACAAATTTCTAATAATAATAATATATATAAAAGAAGAAAAAGAAGTGAGAGCACGAGAGAATAACTGAATTAATGGATGAAATTCCTTTATTAAAGCAGACATTTAGATGAATAAATTAAATTAAATTATTAAGGGTCCAAATAGACACACTGACACACAACAAATAAAAGACATTTTGGGAAAGAGCACGAAAAGGAGAATGCGAGAAACACATAATAAATACAAGAATGGATATCATTGATTGGGACAATGGAAGTAATAAAAAAAAAAGTTGTTGCATAGAATATTAAGAATACCAAGAAAACCATACAATTTAAAAGTAAAATGAAAGATAAATGTCGTAATTTGAGAATAAAACATTCACGAGTAATAATTATATGGTAATATTGCCTTCTTCCTCTAACGTAGAAAAAGAGTTCCAGAAATGAAAAATTTTACTATAGAGAAAACAAAACTGTATAAAAAAGGACATAAAACTCCTCCCCAGTGATTAAAGGGACAAAGACAGAAAGAGTGAAACAGAGAGAATATTTTAGGCGCAAGTTGCGAAGAAAAAAAATGAGTTTAGACATCATTTGTAAAATAATGAATTATAGAAAAAAAGAATATTTCCACTGTAAATATAGCGTTTCCATTGAAACTTGTGTGCGAAGTTTCTTGTTACTTGTTTAAACCACGGCAAAAGAGATGAACTTTGCGGGGAGTTTAATTGAATTCTAGCTGAAACTTTCCATCTTTACTGATAATGGAGTTCTTTTGTTGCAAAGAAGAAAAAAAACATAGGATGAAAAAGAATCACTTTTCAATCGAATTCAATTAATTCAAAAATAGAGACGATTTAGAGAAAAGAGTCACAGAGACGAAAAACGAAAAAGATAAATTTAGAAACTTCTCTGGAGCACAATTTTGAAATTATATTAAAAAACAAGACATGAAAAGAGAACATTTGAGAAATGAATGGAAAATAAAGTGATTGAAAAGATGAACAGAGTTTTACTCATTTTTAAAAGTCCTTCTAGACATGAAAAATGCAGCGAAAAGTAAGTTTTCTGCAAACAAGTTTAGAAAAAGCTTAAATTATTCTTGATTTATATGACGATAAAAGCACAAATTTCATTTCCATTTTTCTCTCAGTGTAGTGAAACAAGTATTTTATTCCCGTCTTCTTGTGAAACTTGCAGTAAATTACGTAGAAAATGAAAAGCAATCATTTTCCAACAAACTTTTTATGGCTCATTTAAATTCAAACTCTTTTTCCTGGTAAAATCATTAAATTCTCTAACTATCTAGTATGAATATTCTTCTCAATTCCTCCTCAATCCAGAGAAATCTTCTCACGGGCCGTCTTAACCTCTTCCTGACCGCTCATGACAGGCCATGCTGTCTGGCGGCGCCGTGCGCAGCCGCGGCTATCGATCTCCAACGGGGATGGATTTGTCGCGGTGTCTCGTCACCCACATTCTGTGATTTCTCCCTCAGGCGTGAAATTCGCAATCATTTCACGCGGAAGTCCTCGCCAAGCAGCCCGTGACGATCCCCCAGACGACTGGCGATGAGAATCTGTGCTCAGTTCCGTGGCCGAGGAAGCATATCACAGTGAAAAACAGCGCGGAAAAGCGCCCAGAACGAAGGAGTGAAAAATCTCACGGACAGTGCGCGTGAAGTGTCAGTGAAAATTCCAGGAAGTTGAGCAAGTTCGCCGGCTGGAAAAAGGGTTGAGCGATGAGCAAATACCAGCAGGTGGTGACGCAGGAGCAGCAGAGCCAGGAGGATTCGCTGGAATACTTCATTCGCTTTCCCACGCCAAAGAGCGGAAGTGGCGAGCAAAATGGAACTTCAGAGGCCGATTATGTTTTCATCCACAACGAAAATCACGTTCCAATCGTGCTGCTGCTGGGCTGGGCAGGATGCCAAGATAAATATCTGATGAAGTACTCGAAAATCTACGAGGATCGAGGGTAAATACACGCTCTTTTCTCTCCATAAATAGTGCTGTGCTTGTGTGGGGATTTTCACGCTCCGCACCAGCAATCGATATTGATTGTTAATGCTTGATTACTTATTAATAGAATCGCTGAATAAAGTCTCACACTGAGGCCAGAGGTTGTTGCCCAAGTGACACTGAATTTGGGCTTGTAATATTCATACTAAGTGATCCCTTTGTGGGAGTGAAACCAAGGTTTCCAGGCGACCATTCTCAACTCTCTCCGCATTATCTGTGGCCAGGAGAAGCGCGCACACACTGACTTTCCCGCCTTTTTCCCACCTCAGACTGATCACCGTGCGATACACGGCGCCGGTGGAGAATCTGTTCTGGAAGCGATCGTCGCTGAAGCTGATCGGCGAGAAGATCCTCAAGCTGATCTACGACATGAATTTCGACGCTCATCCGCTCTTCTTTCACGTGTTCTCCAACGGCGGCGCCTACATGTATCAGCACATCAACTTCGCCATGCGACGCTCAGCGCGTCCCGTTCACGTGCAGGGCATGATCTTCGACTCGGCGCCCGGCGAGCGGCGCTTCTCCAGCCTCTACGGCGCCATCAGCGCCATCTACGGCCGCGAGCGGTCCTTCAACTGTCTCGTGTCCTTCCTCATCTCCGCCACGCTCACCGTCATGTGGCTGCTCGAGGATTGCTACTCGGTGGTGCGCAGTTTCTGGAATCCGCAGGAGCCGCCGCTGTGGAACCCCATGAAGAACCTCAAGAACGCCACTCACTCGTGCCCCACGATGTTCCTCTACTCCAAGGAGGACACGATCATTCCCTACCAGGTGATTTCGTCTTCAATTCACTCATTTGATGCCCGATTTTAATCATTTCCTCTGTGACGCCTTCCCAATCGCCGCCATCTTGACTCTAACTTTGAAACATTCTTTTTTCACCCAGGACATAGAATGTTTCGCAGACTATCGACAGAGCAAAGGCGTTTTCGTGAAGAAGATCTGCTTCGAGAAGTCTGAGCACGTGAAGCACTTCATTGTGCATCCGCAGTACTACGTGAAGTGCGTGTGTCGCTTCATCAGCGACTGCCTGGCGTCCTATCAGGCTTCAGGACCGTCAACGAAGATCGATTGAATCGACTGCTGGGCAATAGAAGCATAATTTCTTAATCACTTGAGCACTCACTAATTGCACAACTTTCCACTTTGGTGATATACTTGAATGGGAGAAGAATAGCGTTATTTTTCCTAAAGACGAGCGCCGCGCCAGGAAGGAGGGATAAAATCATGAGCAAAAGGACATTTTGTCAGCCTTATCGATTGAACTTACGAGAATTATCTGTTATTCACTGGAGGGCTCTTGTGTGTCTCTCCCAATGAATTTGAGATGCTTTAATAGGAATTTCATTAGTTAGTAGAGACTATTGAATGATACAATTGTTGCTAGACATGTATTTTCAGGTATAGGAATTAATATAGGAATATTCACGAAAGAAAAATTGCAAAGAAAAAAAAACTCTCTAGGGCAAAATAGCGTCAAATTACAAAGAAGAAGAAAAAGAAATCTACTCAAGCGACTCAAACATATTTTATTTCTGGGTGATAATTTAGCATTTAATCTATTATATTCTTTTTGGTGGATTAACTCAATAAAAGAAAGTCACTTTATTATGTATTTTGAGTGATTTATTGACAAAAATCGGGTGAGATTTTTGATGAGTTCGCGCGTCTGACGCCATAAACTGAAATCCGAGGCTCGAGTTTCGCAGTGCTGCCCGCGAGAGCGCGCCCAGAGCGGCTCTCCGCTGGCAACACTTTAGATTGTTTACGGTGAAATCTCCAGTCAAGGAAGTTTCTCTGCGGGGAACGGGAAGTTGAGGCCAAAAATGCGAAATGCGGAGGAGGAAATCCACTCGGATGGACAGTTCGGCTACGCACATGACAACAGTGGTGTGGTGGAGATAATGGGAGAGGTTCCGTGCGTGGCGGAGGACGTCGTGACGACGGTGGACTTCAATGAAACTGCCATCTCGAAGCTTCTAGGTTAGTTTCTGCATTTCCGCGCAATTTCACCTGATTTTATGGGATTTCTCTGGGCGAATCACACCGCAGATGCCGTGCAGTCGCTGTCCAAGATCCAGCAGACGCAGAAGCGCATTGCCGACATTCTGGATTTGACGGAGGACGAGGAGAGTGAGAACGACGTCGATTGCACTGTGACGTTTCCGCTGAAGAGCCTGAAGCAGTTCCAGAGCCTCGAGAGGATGTCCAACAACGAGGCGTACAGGAAGAATCTGGTGAGATTCTGCCCAGCAGAGGATTATCAGAGTGTAAGACACTCAATGCTGTGTGTTCTTGCAGACAAAGTCACTTCGGTTGCTGCTGATCAACGGGCCAATTCAGGATCCCGTGAAGAACCTCCTGGACGACTCCATAGCCATGCACTTCGTCTGGGATGACCTCAGCAAGCCTTATCTCATCTCCCTCCGGCAGACGATCTGCTTCGGACACGTTATTTACAGTGAGACGCCGCAATTTGCCCCACAAAAGCCTCTTTCTCAGCCACTTTTCTTGCAGATGCGCTGGGAATGTGCTTCTCTGACTACTCAAACTTCGTCCGGACGTGCCTGTCGATGGCCCAGGCGAGATCTCAGAATCGTGGCATGAGTTCACCGATCACAATCCGACCAGAGACGCAATTTCAGCACTTCGCCTATCTCGTCACGGACATTTCCCAGAGAATCTCAGACGTTGAGATCTTCCAGAAGAAAATTGAGTCGTACACGGACTTCAAGAAGCACGAACTCGACCACAAAATCTACTTTCCCCTCAATTCCATCACGAGTTTGCAGATGCTCGAGAGCGCTTTGCGCTACAAAGTCATTCAAGATGAAGTTGTGAGTGAAGAAAACTTCTCCGCGGGAGATGAAATAGTGGCTAAAATGTGTGTCTTTGCAGATTTCCTACTGCAGAGAATTGTATAAGAAAGACAGATCTCTCCAAAGTATTGTTCTAAGTCAGTTTTTAGCAGAGTTTTCAATCGCTGGGCCGCTGAGGAAGAGTGATATCTTCAAGTTCTCCTTCTTCAATCACTCTCTCTACGGTGAGATTGACTTTTCCGGGCTGGAAATTGATGTTAAAACGACTTAAACTTCTTTCAGTGGCTCTCGAGATGACTCGTCAGGATTATGAGATTGAGATTACGCATGAAATTGAGTGCGCAAGTGAGAAAGTCTTTGGGAAGTCCAGCAAATTGGTGAAGGAAGATGACGTGGCGAATCAGGAGATTGAGGCGATTGAGAAGGCGCACAAAATTGTGACTGAGCGGAAGATTGTGCTGATCAAGAAGGAGGACTTGACTGAGCAGGGCATTCCGAAGATGTTCAGGGATGTGCTGATGAATCGCTCTGACAATGACAAAGCGACCATTTTCACTGACTCGAAGAATTTCATTTCATTTGCCAAAATTGATTCAGCCAGCAAAACAGTGTCAAAAGATTTCCACATTGACAATATTGAGGAAAAGGTGTCGAGATATTTTCCACTGACATCGCAGAAAGCTCTTCGGCAATTCAACATAAAGCTGTCTGATCAGCAATTCAAATTCTCAATGGTGAGCAAAAGCGCATATTTATAAGAGTGTCAAAGGTTGAGAATTCTAACACATTTTTTTCTCTTTTGGGTTGTTTTCAGCAATACTTGCTCGATGAATTCTACTACAATCGCAAGTTTTCCATCAAAGACATCATTGCGGATGACTTGCTGGCCAATGTTAATGAGCTGGAGTTGTTTGGGTGCTTCTTAATGTCGAATTTCCTGCCACTTATCTTGTCTCTGCCGCCAAAATCCTTCCTCAGGATGGCAAAATTGGAGTTTAGAGCGCTCAAGACGGCCTTAGAATTGAAGAGAATCAATCACAATGAGTTCATCAGGGTCAAAATGGAAATTGGCCAAACGATCGAAGTGGAGAATAACATCAATGGAACGGTTAAGCAGTACTTTCCCATCGCCACGATTGAGGAGTTTGACGATATTGAGCGAAACCTTGAATATCCGGACTTTTACAAGGAAATTGTGAGTAAATTGCGCGGAATTCTTTACCATTTTCCCTTGTAATTCGATGTTTTTCACACAGTCGCATCACTGCAAAATTGTGTTAATGAAGGAGAAGAAGTTCAAGCTGAAGAACTTCGTGGCGGAGAATCTGTTGACAAAGTATAGCGCGAAAGGAAGTGCCAGCACTCTTTCGCTGATCGAGACGAAGCTCTTTGGGGACATTTTGAGGCAATTCTCGAAACTCTCCGAGGCGGATTTCACGTCAATTGTGCAGAAGCATCACAGTATTGTCATGAGTAAGATGCGAAATAGTCAAGGAGCGATGATGGATGGCTTGGAAAACGGACGAAAGCGACGAAGGCAGTTTGTTGAGGTGATTTTTCCACTGGCCAATGAAGAGCAACTGGCTTTGGTGAATGATCAACTGAAGGATGATGGCTTCAGGACGGAAATTGTAAGTGATTTCTTATGTTTTCACACAATCAGAGAATCTTTTCATACTTGTGAGTTGCAGGAAAAGGTTTTTCGGAGCTTGATAAATCACGAGGAGGGAAAAGGTGGTCAGGATATTCCTCTGGATGACATTCTGGATGATAATCTTATCAGGAAGCTGACGTGGGACAATAATGAGGACACTTCACTGAAGAATTACACTTTCTTCACGACTTCTCTCTTCAGTAAGTGTGCAATTTTGGACACTTTCACAGTGTTTTTGGCTTAGTTTAACGACATTTTCTGTCCTCTCTTCAGGTGTGATGAACATGGAGTGGCTGGAGTTTGAGAATGTGATGCAGAAGACACTCAACAGAATGATGATGCAGGAAAGGTGTGAATCTGGGAACTCAAGCACTGACTTTGTCATCATTCCGCCGCCCAAGCGGAACAGAAAGAGCGAAAGTCCGATGAATACGTTTGTGGATCAGAACGAGGTGATCCTCGAGACGCCGCAAGTGTGCCAGGAAGTTGAGGAGACGACGGAAGAAGTGCCACAGCATCTGTCAGAGCAGGAGAATGAGGATTCGCAGGAAGTTGTGTGCGGCACGGACGACGAGAGCTCGAATATGAATGACTTTGAGCAGATTCTGCCCATCAAGACCAAAGAGGAATTCGTTCACATGGAGACTCTCCTCACGGACAAGCACTTTTCCACGTATTTTGTGAGTTTTTCTTCTTTCAATTCTCACTCTTGAAGGGTTGAATTGTCTTGAATTTGAATTTTTGTGTATTTTTCTCGAAAACAGGGACTTTTGTGTGGCAATTGCGAAGATAGATCGACTCTCTTGAGCAACATTATCACGGAAAATGCTCTCAGGTTCTTCACATGGACAGGAACTGCGGAAACTCTGTGCTTTCAGGACACAATTCTCTGCAATATTCTCGCGAGAAAAGCGTACGAATCGAATCCTGAACTGCTCAAGAGCATCATTGATTCTGTGGAGGAAAAAGCGCTCACGCAAGATGTTGGCGCGCTGTTTCCCATCTTCAACAAGAGCCATCTGAAGACTGTGGAATCATATCTGCCCCACATTAGGCAGAGAATGGTGAGTGAGAAATAAGCATTCGGATCATTTCCGGCAATTTGGCTTAATTTCGGGCTGTTTTGAAAAGAATATCATCAGAATTCGGATGGTTTTTCTGGGAATTTTCTTCGTATTCGACTAAGCATTCTTCTGAAAATTATCTAAAGTTATTAATTAAAGAGATTAGATTTTAGCTTAAAAGAAGTTTGATTTTAGCATTAAAGAAGTTTGATTTTAGCTTAAAAGAAGTTTGATTTTAGCCTTGATTTTAGCTTAAAAGAAGTTTGATTTTAGCCTTGATTTTAGCGTTAAAGAAGTTAGATTTTTGCCTTGATTTTAGCTTAAAAGAAGTTAGATTTTTATACCTTAACAATGTGATAGATTTGAGTAATTTTTTCTAGAATCATTCTCAGATCTTCTAAAAATTATCCTCAAATTTTTAGAAATCAACCTCAAACATTCTAAAATCTATCCTCAGATTTTCAATTAGGGATTGCGTTCTCTGTGAATCGTGATTGAATGTGAAAATGTTTTGATTGATATTTATACGCTTTCTTTTGGTCTTTTTCTTCCCTTTCAGATCGATTATTTCGCTGATATCAGGCAAAATGTGGGAAATGAGGTGTTGAGTCACATGTTTTCCGGTGAGATGATAAGCAATTCTGGTCAGTATGAATTGGAGAGTCTTCCCAAGTCGCCCTTCTTCAAGGAAGTCGTGCAAGTTGTGTTCAAGGATCTCAGAAAGTCACAGATAATGAATGCCATTCGGGATGAAATTGAGACGCCAGAAGCGTATTTTAGGCGTATTTTGCCCGTGTCGGAAATCAATCTCGGCACATTTGAGCAGAAGTTGCGGAAGAGGGAGTTTCTGGAGTGTCTGGTAAGGATTTTTCCACATGATAAATGGGTCGAATTGAGTTGTGAGATTAAGCAGAATTTGCCCTCCAGATTGCCATTTGCTGCAACTTCGTGCAGAAACACACGGACGGATATTTCCACAAGTTGATCGACAGCGAACTCATTCAGCAGTACAGCTTCAATGGCGAAGACGGACTGCGATCGATTGACAAGTCGGCGCTGTACAATCTGGTGCTGAAGGAAGTGTACAAGAAGTCAGACATTGAGCTGCAGGCGAAGATTCAGATGGAATTGTACTTGGCTCAGGCTTTGGCTGACTACAAAAGTAAGTAAAACAAACTCAAAATGTTCCTCACGGATTTACAGCACTCGTTTTTTCTTATTTTATTTGTTTATTAGAAGCACAGAAAAATTGTTGTACAATATTTTTTTTTGTAATAACGGGAAAAAAATCTATCACAAAATGAGATTTTTCTTTTTAAGTTTTATAATATATATATATATATATTAGTAAAAGTTTTATCGTCTGCAAATTGTAATGAGTGTTGTTGTTGTGATGTTGATTTTGGCAAGATGAGTTTTTATTTATTCGTATTTTGGTTATTCTTTTAAATGTTCTTCATGGCGTAAAAATGTCCAAAAAAGACTCTCTTTCTAGATAGATAACAAAATTTTTTTGATAACATTTTTCTGAATGTGTTGTGAATATGAAGGAAAATCCACAAATACAAATTTGTCTTGTTTAAGCCATATTATTTATAGATTTATTCAGCATTGAATAACTTTTTCTAGACTGTCAAATATTTAAGCCATATTAATAGCATTTTTTTTTGTCTCGAAACAACTGATTCTGGAGTAGATTTTATTAAACACTGTGTTTTTATTTTTTGTCTGAATCCCACTTTTTTTTGTCCCATTAAATATAATTTGTGAAAATATTATTATTTTTTAATTGCATGCGAATTAAGTACCAAAAATAGATTCTTTTTTTTTCTTATCCACAAAATGCACAAAACAGTAATTTTTGGGGTGTAAATTTAACCACGAATTTGGAGATTTTATTAATCCTCTTCGGCTGACTTGATTTGACGTTAAAAGGAGTTGCTAATGTCGATTTCAGAATCTTACAATTTATGCAATTTATTCGAGAATTTCCAGATTGATTCGATTCGTCGTGAAAAATATTTCGTGATTCAAAAAGGACGTAAATAAAAATAAATGAATGAGAGAAATATTCTTTTCTCACCGCATTTTTCCACTAAACTTGTGGTGAAAATTTTTATTTTACTCAAAACATTTCTTAATTTTTGCATTTGTGGTGAAAAATAATTTTTTCCACGCCTTAAAATAATCATTTTCCTATAGAATCCTTTCTAACATTCTCTTTAACGCTTTAATGTTTATTGTTTGGTTTTGAATCTTCTCTAAAAACCGTATTTTAAGCTCAAAGTGTCATTTTTCACCTTGTTTTCCACTAAAATCGCTCGGAAAGCTACTAATATTGCATTTTCACGTCATTTTCCATCCGTTTCGTCACACATTTTCACACTCTTTGACTTCCTGGAGTGATTTAGATCAAGAAAAAGAGGAAATTGAGCGTGAAAATAAATCATTTACACTTAGAGAATATCATTAGAACCCGAATTATAGCCTGAAATATGTAGAATATTATCCAAGGAAAAGCTTTTTAGATTAAAATTCAACATTATAACTGTCATTTTTCACAGGAAAAACATTCTAAGCTCATCATAATCACTAATTTGGGACAAACATTGATGAATTGACACGGAATTCAAGTTCTTTATGGCTTCGTTTGTTTATTTAAAATAATCTAAATTACTATTAAATCCCACCATTCGCGAAAAGCGACAAATTTAGTAAATATTTATAATTGTATCTCCGACATTAGCAATCCTTTGCTCAAATTCCAATCGAAAAGACTCTTTTTAAGAACTGATAGCAGAGAAAATCCGTAATTAACAATGACAAAGACTCAAATTACTCTTACAAACACACATTGAAGAGGCAAAAGTTGTGCTGAAAGAGTTCAAAATTGACAATTTAATGATTTAAAATTTAAATATCAAATCTAAAGGTGAAATTACTCACTGAAAAGAGTCGCAATTCGCTCGTCTTGTATTCATTGGGAACGTCGCGGTGGTCTTGAAAAGGTTAATCAATCGATAAAATGTAGCGTCACAGTCCGAAGAGGGTTGAAGACAAGGCTGAAGAGTGATTCACGCCTCCAAAGTCAGGGTTAAAGCGCGAGGGTTAAAGTGACATTGGCGTGTTTGATGTGTTTTCTATATTTTCTACTCTTTTCTTATATGTATAATTCGGTGTATTGTGACTAAGCTAAGGTGTGCAGACAAAGACAGAGAGAGAGAGAGACCACTTTGGGGTCTCTGTTGGGGGAGATTTGGCCGGAAAGCTCTTGTCCTCTCGTGCATGCGCCCGAATGTTTGCCCAGACATCAATAGATGAATCCTTACCTTTGCAGGTGACAAATTGCAGAGTTGAGTGGAGGTTTATCGGGGGGTGGACGGGCTGCGGAGGTGGCGCAGGAGGAGAGTGGAGTGATGATGGTGAGAGTGTTGGACGGATCTCAGACTTTTTGCCAGATCACGCAGCGATTGTTGGCCGGCATGGCGTACTGGCGCACGAGGTTGATGCGAAAGTTGGTGGCGAGCTTCTGCAGGGCCAGCAGGTCCTTGATGCCGTGCCTTGGATCCTGCGAGCGGAGCATGCGGTCGAAGTTGACATTGCTGTCGGGCGCAATCACGCCGTTCTCCGCGAAGGGGCCGTACGTGATGAGAAGGCCACCTGCGCGGAGCAGCCTGGAGCTGTTCCTGAACAGACCTTCGGTGGTTTCGATCGGCGTGATGTGAATCATGTTGATGCAGATGATGTAGTCGATGGTCTTGCTGCGAAGGCCGCCGCTGAACAGCTCGTGTGTCCAGGATTCGCACGGCAGCGTGATGTCCACGAGCACGGGCGGATGGATGTTGCGCGCCGGGCACTGGCTCACGTAGCCCTGGATGGAGGCGAGGAAGCGCTCCGTGATCTCGGAGGGCTGAAAGCTCACGTGCGGGAACTCGGCGGCGAAGTGCACGACGTGCTGACCCGTGCCGGAGGCCACCTCGAGGGCCGTGGAGCACTCGCCGGACGGCGCCAGCTCGCGCTTCAGCACGTCCAGGATGGCGTCTCGGTTGCGCTCCGCCGAGGGATTCCTCAGCATGTTGAACAACGACTGGCCACGGACGCGGAACGGCACGGAATGGCGCGACAAGTGTCCCGCGGCGTCAAAATAAACGCCGAGACCTTGGCGTGAGTGTCAGAATCACATGGAGAGGGAGAAAAAGACGCGAGATGTCAAGAGCGTGCGCCATGCCAGCGACTTCCTATAAAAACTCTCTCCAGGTAAATTTTTTGAACATTCAAACCCGCCAACGATTCACCTGTTGACTTCTCTCGCTCGGTTTCTTGGATTCATTCGTGAATTTTGCACTTTTTTCATTGTGGAAAGTCCATTTCTCCCTCAATCAAGGCAGGATTGCATCCTGAAGGATTTATTTACATTCAAATCTTGCCACAAATGCACAGAATTTGCAGGACCTCAAATTATATCCTGGCATTTTGTTGTTTTTGAAGGCCAAAAGACCAAAAACACCAGAGAATTTAGCTTAAAATGCTGAAAAATCTCTTAATTTAGAAGATTATGTGATTTTCTTGTTTTTCTTTTATCGAAGACAACCAGAAAGAAGCGCGAAATGAATTGCAATTTTGGATGATTTTTGCAAATAAATAATTTATTGTCATTTCTTATCTTCATCATCATCGCGCTATGCAATAATCCAGTTACAATATCTGCAATTACAATATTTCCTTACACACTAAGAGACTAACAAATTCGAGTTTTAAATTAACCGTGGTTTTTTCTTTCTTCTATTACAATTTTACTTTCACAGAGAAATAAAATCATTTTTAGTGGGTTAAACTATTAAATGCATTTATATCAGATTTTCTCGGTTATCGAATAATAATTCATGCTTGATGCGATATTTATTTACACAATGTAGCTTTTCTTTCTTTAAAAAAAAAAATCTTCAACCACTTTCACAAATAAGTCAAACTTATAAGATCAACTTTGGCTTTTCTTAAATATGCGATGAAGAAACGTTTCTGAGAAGTAAAAAAAAAAATTGAAAAGAGAAAAAAAGTACTAAATTAAGCATTAAGAGTGCTTTTGAAATATTGCACGTCTTTTGATTGTTTTTTTTTTCTTCTTTTTTGAATATTCGTCTCAAAAATAAGAAAAATTACGTTTTCTTTACATTGTTTTTTAGTTCCACTAATTTTTTTATGTGTTTCTTCTTTCACTAAAACCGTATACGGAGATTATTATTTTATTAAATTTTCATTTCCTGTCTTCTGAATAAATCGCCAATTCATGATTATCTTTTTCTCTTGAATAAGTATTTTTTTCTTCTTTAATTTACTTATGTACATATAATTTCAATTCGAAGAGGGTGAAACATTGAAAATGTATTGGAGAGAATTGTTGTGATATTTTTTTTCCTTTGAATATTGCATTAATATGGCTATTTTTTCTTCTTCTTTACTATAAGATTTGTTATTTTTCACTATTTTATTTCTTTTTTTTAACATGAAGCAGTCCTCTAAGTCTGGTATTATTATGTTTGATTGTTGGTAAAATGGCAATATTAAGCAGTTTTTTCTATCTATTCTTCACGGACAATCTTCTCACAATTCAATCATTTCACAAATATTCATTATCATTGATACATTTTTCTTTTCTCTTTCACGTGATATAACATTTACTGTAATGCTGCTTTTCTTTCTATATATTTCTTTTGCTCTAGAGCTTTCCAAAGAGAGAGATTGAGAGAGGAAGAAGAGTATACGTTAAAACCAGTCGATTATGCGGAGCTCTGGAGGAAATTGCAGGTGAGTCAAAAGTCCCTTTTCTTCGCGATGTCATCATCTCGTATACAAACTGGCCATGCGACGCCCAGGATTCTGCTCTTAGAGCACAGACGTCGTGACGACGGCGGGCGCCGGCGAGGCCGGTGACGCCTTGGGACTGGCGCTGTTGGCCTCGGAGATCCTCTCCGGCAGAATGCTGTCCACGGAGTTGCCCTTGCAGTAGAATTTCTTGTGGGCAATGAAGGTGTTGAGATAGTTGAAGCGAATGTCGCACACTTTGCAGTACTTCGGCCCGCCGGTCAGCAATGAGTCGTCCGGCGAGGGTGTCTTGGGCGGCGCCGGTGGCCCCAAAGGTGTCTCAGAGCGCTCGCTCGCCTCCACTTTCACCACAACATCGCTGTCGTCAATCACGAGCTCTGGCTCCTCAGTCTTGTCCTGCTCGGGCTCGATTTTCACCGACACGGAAACTTGGCTGAAAGTATTTAATGCATTAAGTTCATCTTCATTTCTCTAGCATTAACGATATACACATATATATATATATTTAAATATTAATTAAGTCTCCAGAGTTTTTATCCCGAGTTATTTGTGAATTTCATGAAGCCAAAAGAAAGAAAAAAATGTTGAATTTTTAAAGCAAGTGTTTGAAAGAGTAAATTGTAGTGTTTTTGGAAGAAGAAGAGCGTGTTTTTTACCTCGACGGTCGGGAAGTGTTGGTCGGCGGCAGGGTGATCTTGATGGAAGCGCCAGAGAGATCTGCACTGTTGCCGTTGTGGATTAAGCTCTCGCCTCCCTCTCCAATGCTCGGCGAGATTGACTGATGATTCGACTGCGAGTGCACTAATTTTATGTGTCGCACCTGAAGAGTTTAGAGAGAGTCTTTTAGAAGCTTAAGAATAATGCCCAAAACTACCTCATTTCCCCTAGTAAAAAAGGACACACACAGTAAAATATGAGTTTGTATTGCAATTTAACAAGATTGGAAATTATATTGACAATAAATTATATTTTATCATATTGGCCATTGATTATTTTGCTGAATTTTATTGCACAAATGCGAAGAAAACTGTTGTTAATATTGGAGATTTACGCAAGCTATGAAGATCCTAGCGAACGTAGCGGCGACCAGTCAAAGTATTGACGCTCACTTAAGTGCATAGATGTCGCATCATGTAAAATCATGCCATTTCAATAATATACTTCGTGATTACAACACAAAAAGAATTGTTTAAATAGGAAATAACCTCAAAATTGAAAGATTTGCATGTTCTCAGGCTTTTTAGGACACAAACATAATTTTATGAAGTTGAATTTCCTGTTTTACTAGTGAGTTTTTATCCGAAAAAGCACAAAATTAAGCAATTTTGAAAATTGCTATGAAAATTGATGAAAAATTAGCTTAAAGTGTGCTGTAAATTGATGTGTTTTTTAACACTATTGAATTTCTTCCATCGTCCGCGGCGATCGCTGACCGAATCCATTTCAATCCTTCGGCTTCGGTTCGAGTTCTGCTCAAATTTGAGCTCTTTTAGCTAAATTAACTCTTTTTAGCTGAATTAATTGCTTTCTATGAGAAATGCGGACATTATTTCACTAGTTTTGCTTAGATTCTCCAATATTTGGTAGGCAATTCGGGCAGATTTCTAAGAAAGTCACTTTTCACTCCCGCCCTTCAACTCACCACGTTGCCTTTGTAGCTGGAGGAGTAGTTGCAGAGGTCGCACGAGTGCATCTGCGGCTGCAGCGTTTCGGGATTGATCTGCGCCGCCGGTGGAATTTCCACGCCGTCCTCCTCCAGGATGCACGTGATGTAGTTCTCCTCGTTGAAGTCCGTCGTCTTCTTCTCGAAGTGCATCCTGATGTGCGTCCGCATGCCGCGCAGTGTGTTGCCCTTGTAGCGACAGATGGAGCACCTGAACGCCTTCACGCCGCCGTGTGTCTCCATGTGGCGGCGCGACTCCGCCGCGTTCGTGCTCACGACATCGCAAATGGGGCACTTGTAGCCGCCGCTCGTGGCGCCCGAGCTATGTGACGCCGGACAGGGAATGTTGGGATCGTGGACAATCTTGCACTTGGCGCAGCGATCTTTCTGGATCAGCGATTGCTGTTGGCGACAATTAAGGGCTTTTCAGCGACAATCGCGGTAATCATTGATGGGAAATCGGGCCGCGATAAGCGCGCCGAGAGGCCAATAAAATTTATCAGAAAATTGCACATTACGACTGTTGATAAGTCTGCGATAAATACTTGGGGATCAAGCGCTGGGCAAATATTGGGCGCGCACATCAATTGCCGGCGCATAAATCTGGGCCAAGGGGGAGTTTGGTCTCACCTGAACGGCCAGCTCCACCCTCTTGGGGCAGTAGTACATCTGGTGGGCGCTGAGGTTGTCCAGAGAGGTGAACTTGATGCCGCACGCGGCGCAGATGAGCTGCTGGTAGGCCAGCCCGCCGGCCGTCTGCGGCCCGGTCTGCGCCAGCGGACTCGTGGCCGTGGGACTCACGGGCGGACTCACCTTGGCGCCCTCGGGATCGTCCAGGTTGCGCGCCGAGCAGTAGTGCTTCTTGTGTGCCAAGTAGTTCTCGTACTTGCAGAACACGATGTTGCACTCCTTGCACTTGGACACGCCCTGCTTCACGAAGATCTGCGGCGGCAGCGGCGCCGCGGCGGCCTGGGCCCCGGGACTGGGGCCGGGCACGAGCGGCGGCAGCACGGCCTCGCTGTTGAGCCGCACGAGCACCTGCGGCGCCAGTTCGGCCGGCAGCAGAGGCCGCATGAGGATGGAGTTGGGCGAGACGGAGATGCTGCCGCCGCGAGGGCTGTTGGAGCGCCGCTTGGGCGACGGAGTGAGTGGCGGACTGCCGGGAAGCGAGGGCGCGCAGACGATCTGCTCGGGAGTGAGCGAGTCGCTGCCCACGGAGACGTTCTCCTTGCCTTCGGCGCTCCCGTCGCCGTCGGCGCGGCTGCTGGCGTCGGCCGAGGCGACCGAGGAGAAGGATTGCGAGCGGTCTCTGGACGCGGGCAGTCTGCGGACTGAGAGATCAAGCGGGATGGTTGGGTCGCGCGGCTGCTGGTGCTCCTTCTTGTTCACCACGCGCAAGACGTCCGGAATGGCCACGCCGTTGTCCTTCTCCGCCGCCGGCGTGGGGCCCCTGGAGGGCGGCTGGTTGGGAATGGGCGCCTGCACGGAAAGAGCCTGGGCGATGGGCGTCAGGGCGCCGTTCTGCAGCAGGAAGCACGTCGCTTCGGGATTCGCAACGTTCTGCGCGAGCGACGTGAGCGGCCCAGGCAGGAGACTGGCGCCGCGGATCACGGAGCAGGGCACTATCACGATGGGATTGGTAGGCAGGGCCAGGTAGGCTTGAGGCTGGGCCGTGGGAGGACTCTTGGCGATCTCCGGAGGACTCTGAGAGCCGCCCTTGACCAGAGACGGAGGCTTGGACGAAACGTGGTTGAGATTTTGCCTGGAAAACACAGAGGGAAAAGAGCCTGTCAGGACAAGTTCAGGGGCCCCAATTGGGCTCTCTTGCTCACCCGTCCCTGTGCCTGGAGCTGCAGTAGTGCTGCTTGTGCGCCCGGTAGGTCTTCGTGCTGGAGAAGCGGATGTCGCAGTCGGAGCAGTAGCGATCGACCTGAGACGTCTGACTAGGAGGCTCGTCGCCGTTGGAAGTGGTGGAGCTGGGCGCCGGGGAGGTCTGGTGCATCCGCATGTGCCTGTTCAGGGACACCTTCTTGTCCGCCGAGTAGGAGCACTGGCTGCAGGCGTACTGCTTCCCAGTCCGCAGCGCCTTCGCCGGCGGCTCCTGATTCCCCGGCGAGTCCGCGGCCGCGCTGCCCTTGACCGCCGGATCGTCGGACTCCTTGCGATGGGAGCAGTAGTAGGTCTGGTGAGCCTCTAGCGTGGACAAGGAGGAGAAGCGGATGCCGCAGGGACCGCAGGTGAACACCTGCATCCTGGGCACCGCGGGCAGAGCGTCCACAGGAGACGTCCTGGTGGCGTGGATGACCTTCTCCATCCGGATGTCCTTGAGCGACTTGGTGAGTTTCTTCTCCGTCTCCTCGTCTCTGTCCGGCTTCTCGTCTTCGCTGCTCAGTCTGATGGCGTCCTTGAGATCCTTGGCTTCGGGCTGCAGGGCCGGATCCGACGCCAGCTTCGTGTTGAGTCGCAGAGTGGGCTTCGGCAGCGGAGTCTCGCGTCCGCTGTTGGCCTCCGAAGCGCTGTCCGGCGGCGAGGGGCGCTCCGGCACCGCGTCTCCGGGCGGCTCGTGTGGCGAGTGCGCCGGAGAGCTGCATGACGGAGAGCGGGGCGACTGTGGGGACTCCGAGTGACTCAGGGGCGATGCTGACTGGCCCACTTCGGTGGACGGAGACGCCTGGCCATCACTCTGCAGCCCGCCGCCTCCCTCCTCGCCCTGGTAGTCTTCGTCGTCCCCTGGAAAGAAGTGATCAAAAGCGGAAAATTGTTGTTAAGTTGTTTGGTTGGAATTTTGGGAAGTTTGGGCCTCATTATTTCCCCCTTGATTGGACTTCCCTCTTATCACAATTATCAGCGAAATTGTACAGATTAAACCGGTGATTTGGCGAATATTCCAGCCTTCCTCCGGCGGAAACACAGTCGCTTTAATCGCCAAGCTTGAAAGCCCACTTAATCGCGATCATTCGCAGGTTGATAAATAAATCAAGCATTTCCCCTCCTTTTCGGTTCTCAGCCAGAGAAACCACTCTTTGATCAACACTCCACGATACCGTTTCCCGCGGATCACGTGGTGGCCGAAGAAGCAGAGGAAATATTGAATTTATCACATTGCAAATTGCAAATTTCGCTGGAGAAAAGAGTTCATCACCATCGCCAATGCAGCAATTTATCCCAAGCGCGCGCGAGCAAAGAAGTGTGAAGAGGAATCTTCTTCTTTGCCTTTGCGCAGCAGAAACGTTCGGCGACTCGCGATTGCCCGCGGTGGTGTTTTTAAAGACTCTTAAAACCACCTCCATTTAGTATCACTCTTGCAATCATCTCGCCGCATTTTGAGTCCTGGGCTTGAATAAATAACAAAAACTAAAAAGTACTTATTAAAATAATCAAATTTCCCAATCAAGCCCTGAAAAAACGGCCCTTTTTCTCTTCCTCTCCACGCTTTGACGCGCCAGAGCGGCCAAATCTCCATCTTTAATCCTTCTCAACTCGCTCACTCTTCCTCGTGAGATGCAATCCGGACAGAGCATAGAAACACCCACGCAAAAGGTCCGAAATAGAGGCAAGTAGCGAATGGAGGAAGTGGCAAAGCTTGCGGTAATTGAGATTCTAGCGGAAGCCTTGCAATGATTGCTAAGCAATCATTGGAAAATGTCTTCAATTGATTTATTGAGAAATTAAAATCATTCTTTACTGTTTTAAGAAATTATCTCAAATTTCGCTAAATCTAGAAAATTCCTTCGATTTTTCGGTTGTCGATTGAGAAATCTTTCAAAAAAAAATCATAAAATGATTATTTTGCAAGAAAAATTGGTAAATAATTAAAAATTGAATATTCTCGTCAAAATATTTAAATAAATTGAATTATATTCTGAATATTTTATTAATTGTCGATTTTCTTATATTGAAATTTCAGCAATGAGCCAAAATTGTATCTAAGAAATATAATCTAAGTTTAAGCTGCTGCCTTCTGGCGGCAATTTTTGGAGAAAATAATCAAATATTTAATTGTAATCAAATAGTTTAAAAATAATGAAGATTATTCTGATATTTAAATATTTTATGGCATAATAAAATGGAAATATGCATGGAAATTGATTGAATAAGCACAAAGTTGATGATCTAAAATCGCTAGTGACTTTCCTCTTATTTAGAAAGATGCATTTATGCCCCACTTTTCCCTACGCAATTTCGCCATTGAAGCAAGTGTAGGTGTTCTTATGGATTTTTCATACTTTCCCAGGCGAATTTCGCATTGAAATGCATGGAAGGACATTGCAAAGTCTGCTGGGTGAAAGACAATAACTGTGATTGATGCCACACAGAAGGTAAATAAAAGTTTGTCTGCCAAGGAGCTAAAAAGTATCCCAATCGAATATGAAAATCACACAGAAAGTTGGAGTGAATTCAGCAGTGGAATCTCACGTGGAGGACAGAAGAGCGAGAGATCTCGCAATCAGTGAGAATCTCAGTTGGAACAATTTGCATTCTGTTGCATGGCGAATTATTATAAAGAATCTAATGCAAGCGGAGCATTATTTGTGCTCTGTCGTCCCATGTGGAATGCTAAATGATTGTCGTGTGGTGTGCACAAAAGGCATTTTCTTTCCTCCGGTGGCTTTCCTGTCGACAACCACTTGTTGCGCCCAACACGGCCAATTCTTGTAAATTTGCCATGTAAGGTGGAGGAGAGGAAATTTAATTAAAACGTCGCTTTTAAGCGCTAATAATGACATTCACGTTTCCAATCACATGCCGAGAATCGAGCCAATCAATTCCATACTCTCTCTCTGTCTCTCTCTCTGTCTCCACATCCTCGCCAGTGCTTTTTTATCCTGCGCGCGCGATTTTACACCCAAATTGTGTGGGATGATCCGCAACGGTCTTGCACCACATTCGCGAGCGCTTCTCTGCCATTCTCACATTCTTCTCCGCCAATCTTCAGCGCTTCGGCGATCGCGGGAGATTGATTTGGAATCAGTGCCTGAATTTATGGATTAGTTGTTTAACAGAGGCTGAGAGTTGTGGCGATGCAAAGTTCACGATAAAGGCCAAGCAGAGACTCTTCTTAATCATGCTCAGACTTCTTTTGCCGAGTGTTGAGAAAAGCTCTGCGAAATATTTAGAGCTTCTTCGTGATTTAGCGGTAATTCCTCGAACGAGGCATTAAGTCATGATTTATTATCGCGTATTTAACGAGCATTTAGCAAATTGAAGACACTTGGACACCTGTTTTCGGCATCCCGCTGCCGCTCATTTGAATACAATAGCAATAAGTCACCGCCAAGAAGCACAAAGCGTCCTCGCCGGGGTGAAAGAGAAAAAAAAATGGCCAAGCTCACAAACTGACAATAATTAAGAATTTGGAATTGATCTCATAATGAGGCGAGGGAAGAAATCGTGGCAGGAGCGCGAGATCCGTGAAGTTGGGGAAGGGAAAAAAAAGGCAGAACGACAGAAAAGTTTGGAATAAAATTGAGAGTCTCTCTCTCTCGCTTAGATTGAATCCATTCGTTAAAAGATATGAAATGCCTTCGGTTTTTATCTAGATAAAGGAATTAATTATACATAGGCGAGAGAGGGAACTGATTTCAGCTCCAGATATCGAACTGTGTTGTTTGTCTGCTCTTTTTTTTCTCCTCTCTTGCTTCCTTCCCAACCAATTTCGTTCTCGTAACAATTTTTGTCTTGTGCCTTGTTTTTTTTTTTACTCCCTTCCACGCTCATTCTTCCTTATTGTCTTATTGAAATTGGCCGGACGAGATGAGCACGCCGCCCCACGAGAGTGAGCAGCGGGGGTGGCGCAGAAGGAGGTGTGAAGTGGAGTTTTCCCTTCGAATGTGGACGAGATTTCGGTGCCCAAAACTTCCCACGACGAAAGAGAACAGCATTGATGGAAGGATAGGGCAAAAGGAGTCACGAATTGTGATGGAAAATGAATTAGACAGAACAGGGAAGAGAGTTAATTTCTGACACAGAATCATTCCACAGGTAATTTAGACATCATCAATTGAAAATTCACATCAAGCGCCTCGTCTTCTCGTGCGCTTCGCGGCCCGCAGAATGTCTCTATTTTCCTGCGCTGCTTCTCCAATTGGGGCGCTTCTTCTCATCGCGCTCTCTCTCTCTCTCTCTCTCTGAGCAAGAAAATTGTACAAACAAGCAGAAAACACTGGCACAAGCACAGAGAGGGTTATGTTCCTCAACTTCCAACTACAAGATCTTCCACCAGGAATACACCCAACTTTGATTTAACATTGTACAAGTACAAGAAATTCGTGATACAGCTCGCAAAACATTCACCCATGCCATCGGTAAACAAGGTGGATCGCGGAGGCCAAAAAAGAGGAAACTAAGACACTTTTCGAGAGCACTTTATCCACAAAGACGACGCGGAGAGCACACGAAGACACACCGCCAGAGCCAATTGAAATAATATTTTGTTGCAAATCACACGCGAAGAGCAGGTGATCGGATTTTAGGCCGCAATTAATGTTAACTCCAATTGATGAAACGGCATCGCGGATATGATTAAATGTTTGCCCGAGATCTTATCGCATTTGGCGTGATAACATTTCCACGTTCGTGCGGAAATTCTTCAGAATTTCAACGAATGAGAGATTCACCAAATATGTATTTAAAGAAGCAAATGCAGAAAGAGTCTCGTGATAATCGAATGCATTGCTTAGAATCAATGATACTCATAACGAATTAGTGTATAATTTCGATCGGAACAGCTTTTTCACCTGTATTCAATCGGGTTTTGGTAAAATTCCAAGTGGAAAATCACAAGCCGATTTTTGAGGAATCTTAATGCTCTCAATCAAATATGAAAAAAATGATAATTTTCCATGTAAATTTGCAAGAAAATCAAGAAATTAATACTTTCGACAATAAAATTTAAAACAATCAAATTTTATTTAAATATACAGTTTAGGGAACAATTCTCATTGAATCTTAGAAGCAAACATAACGGAATTCGCCTTAAACATCTGAAAAATTGCCCTTCAAACTCTTATCAATCAAAACAAACTCTGAACAATTATCCTGAAGACACCTCGGATTAATTTAAACCACTTGAAGAATCCAAATAATGAAAGGTTACTGAGACGACGATATTTAAATTTTAAAATCTCATCTTGTTTTCTGCTTTAGCTCGGTTTTGATATCATAAAGAGATTAAGGATTAGGCCGAATGTCTTCAAACTTGGCATGGTCGTTACTTATTAATGAGGGAAGATTGATGGAAAATTTCAGACCTCTAACTTCACGTGGAAATTCACAGCACACCGATATGTTTCAGTGTCGTGAATATTTAAGAAAAGAGAAGAAAGTCGCAAAACTTGCCACAAGCTGGATTTAAACGCCTAAAAGTAGAAATAAGAGGCCAAATTTGCCTTTGGAAAATGCAATCGGAACTTCTGCATGCCTTTCAAACTAAAAAATGATTGAATTTTAAAGTTAAAACCACGGAAATGCATAGATTTTTGCACAGTTATATAGAAATTCCATTCATAACAGCTCACAAGCCTTCCTTAGACAAAAGTCCCGAAACAAGGACAGAAACATTAGCGGCTGAATGGCAGCGACCGAAAACAGCGAGTGATTTGTTGCCGGCGATAGCGAGTGCCAGGAAATGTGACTCTCACTGATACTAAGTCAATTAATTTCGCCCATCTCGCCGGCGAGCCGGAGTGCGCCCAATGGCCATTGATTGAGTGTCCATCCATCCAAAATGC